AGATATATTTATATTATAAGTTGTTTTCTAATTCACTTAGTCTTTTTCTATATTATTTATAATAACTTATACGCCTCTATTATAAACTCTCTAAACGCCTTTCTAATAGTTCTCTTAATTAGATTATTTTTTAAAGTTTTTAGCGACTTTATACTTATTCTATATTTTCTTTAAAAGCGTTATTCTTTAGCTTTTTTAGTAATTTATAACGTTTTTATACTTTTTTATATTCTAGCGTAAATTCTAGTTTAGATTATAGTAATAATTTAATAATCGAAGTAGACTTCTTTTAGCCGCTTAGATAGAGTTAATAATAATCGCTACTTAATAATCGATATTATCGTTAATAAGGTTTTTATTATTTCTTTGAGATTAGTTAGTACTCTTTCGATATTATAGCTCTAGCGAGTATTCTCTTAAAATCTCGATATCTAGTTTATTAAAGTTTCGATATATTATTAGTATTAACTTTATTATAGCTAGCTTAAGCTTTATAAGAATTAGAAGATAGTTAGATCCGCTTTTAAAATTATTTTCAATATTATAGTTAATAATATTTGCTATTAGTACTAGAGTAGCGAATAGTAAATCTATTATTATTTAATAGTTTTCTTTATATATCACCATTTTACTAATAATATTTATTTTATAGCGAATTCTTTCACTATAAGTATTAGTTCTTCTACTCTCTTATTAATATAAGTATCTAATTTTCTTATATTATATAATAAAGATTAAAGTCGTCTAATATAATCTATTCGTTATCTTTAGACTTTATAAGTATCTTATATAATTCGTTAAGTCTATCTATTTATTAGTTACTAAGATTATAGATATTATATATATATATAATTCTATTATTTTTTAAACTTAATATTAAGAGTATAGAGATTTAATAAGTAATATAATAGATATTATTACTTTAGTGATATTCTCTTATTAATATAGAAGTATATTCGTATATTATTATAATAGAAGTAGATTAAGTTAAATCTATTCTTTAGAGAATAATACGATATATTTATATTAATATTTCTTTGAGCTTCTAAATTACTACTATATTGATATTATAAATCTTTTTATTATTAAAGAGTTCTATTATAATCATTCTAGATTTCTTTATATTATATTATAGTATTAATAGCTAACTAGAATATACTACTATTTCTTAATATTATTATTAATATTACTTACTCGCTTCGCCTAGTCTATAGAGTTTATATTCTCTTTCTAAGTATTCTCCTTTTCTTAATTATTAATAGATCGAATATATCTCTTTTATTCCCATTAACGAAAACCGCAATTCTCTTATTATTACTCTTTTGACTTAGAAGTTATCTATTATCCTCGAGATTATTAATTTCCTCTATCGCTATATTATTCTTATATCATTTAACTTCGTCTACTACTTTAGAGGGCGATCTATTTCTAGACGAGACCCTTATTAATAATATAAAGCATATCTTCTTTTATTTAGCTAAAGATTCGATATAGTAATTCTTTCGAGATTCGACGCTCTAATTTCTTTTCTACTAACTATTCTATCTCTATCTACTAGCCTATCGCGTATAAATACTAGCCTTAAAAAAATTCCTCATTTCGTCTATAATTAGATATATTCTAAAAGTAATTACTTAATTAATTACTTATTTAATAGCTAGTCGATATTTTCTTTATTATTATAAATCGTAAAGAAGTCTATTATCTCGCTATTCTTATTCTCGCTATCTCCCTCTTCTTTACTATATTATCTTATTTTAAGCTTTATATAGTCTCTCGCAAATTAAGTATTTGCGAGTGTTAATCGTGTAATCTTTATAATAATACTTTTCTAAGCATTTCCGCATACTAAGTAATTCTTTTTAAGGTATACAATTAATAGATAATCGTATTTCCAGTATACGAAGTATTACTTTAATTTATACTACTTATTATAAACGTAATAACTATATAATTCCGAATCGATAACTAGACCTTCTTTTAGTACTCTATTTTTTTCTAAGAATACTAATTTAATAATTAATGAATTTTTATTATAACTCTCTTTATTCGCGCTAAACTAGCTTAGTTATACTATATCGAGATTTAGCGTATTAATATTCTTATTTTAAACCCTTTTAATTGCCGTAGTTATATCTTTTAATATTAAATATATTAATCCTTACTCTATAGAGTGAAGATTATATATTTTAGTAATTACTCTTATATTATCATTTATCTTTAAAGTCTAATTCTTACTTTTTCTTAGTCTATTCACCTTCTTCTTATTTATAATTATAATATATATATCGTTACTCGCTAGCCTTCTAGCTATTCTAATAGATTTTCTTATAGTATTTATACTTTTTATATATCTATTAATTATCGTAATTATCTCGCTTAATATCTTTTCCTTTAATACTTTACTTACTATCTCATTTTATAACTTTTATAATAATCTTATTTAGCTTATTATATAGTACTTAGCCTTATTTTTAATATTACTAATAATATAATAGAAATTTCTTTAATAATAGAAGGATATTAAGGATTAGCTTAGTACGCTAGCGTAGCTAGCTATCGATATATTGCTTTTCAAACTAGCTATCTAATATTTAATATACATAATCTTTTTCTTTATATTATTATCTCGATTACTTAAGTTAATAGCTAGTTTATATACTTTATCTAAAACTATCTAGATTTTAGATTTATTATTCATCTTTTCTATAAATATTATCGCCGCCTTAAGAATAATAGCTACTTCGTCTATTAATAGTTTCTAATCTTTATCTATTATTTTTAATATAGTATTTATTAATAACTTTAATATAAATGCGTGCTCCTTGAAATTATAACTATTATAATTCTATTAGGCTAGCTAGTTTTATTTAATATAGTTATAGAGGTATAGACGTTCTCTAAAGTTAATTGAAGGGTCTAACCTTACTAAGTACTTTTAAATATGTGTATCTACTTTTATAGCTCAATAATATAGTTGTTGTCGAAAGTTTTTCTTTATATGTTGATTGGGCGGCTGCAACGAAAGTGGTTTAAACAAAAGAAATAAAGTTGTGCGTTGATGACGTCGGAGCGGGCTTAACTTTTCCTTCGGATTTTGGTTAAAGTATCACCAACGGCTCCGACGGAAATGGATAACAACGAATTCACATTTCCATAATAATGACATTATCCATGCCGGTGCCGAGCGTGTCTAGGTAACACTCGTACATTATGAATATATGAATATATGTATATATTTTTATCCTTTAAGCAACAAGCAATAGAATCACACCAGCCTAGCAGAGCAAATTGAACCATCTGCCTTTCTCTACCCTTCTTTCCTATCCTCTCGCTCCCTCAGGGCCCTCTCTCCCCCCCCCAAAGTCTTTCCTCTCCTGCCCATTGCTCACCACCAATGGCCCTCCCAGCTTTCGTCTCGAACCACCGCTCACGCAAAGTACCACAAGAGAAATCTACGGCTCATATCTCTCCATCCTCCTCCGGCCTTTCCCCTAACAATGACGCTCTACATCCTTCGCCCTCAACCGTCAGGGCAGCAACCCGCACTCGTCTCATTTTCTCCCTCCTCACCTCTCTCCTCTTCCTCATCGCCCTCGTCTTCCTCATTCTCGTCGAGGTCGGCAACACAAACGCTCATCGGGCAGTCGTGGGAAGCATCTACTTTTTGAAGCTCGACCTCAGCCATATCATTCCCCAAGCTGTTCCCCAGGCTACTCTCATCAATTCAATCGCAAGAACATTGGGGCTCCACGATTTCTATCAAGTTGGTCTATGGAATTACTGCGAGGGATATGGGAGTGGCATTACGGGTTGTAGCAAGCCGCAAACGCTGTATTGGTTCAACCCCGTTGAGATCATTCTCAATCAGCTACTCGCTGGAGCCACAAGTATGCCACTCATCATTCGCACTCCTTGTGGTACCTGTAAATGCTAACTGGCAAAACTAAGTTGCCCTGCCTGCAAACATCATTTCGGCTCTCTCTCTTGTCCGAACAGCTTCTCACTGGGTACGTACATTTCGGAGCTGACCCTTCCTATTTGGTGTTGAAATTGAGTTGCAAGAAATGTTTCGGGAGCAAGAAGACCTTTCTACTCCCCAGACCTCCATTTCCTACCTCGAATAAGCAATGCTGACCCCGAAAGATGTTTGCCCTCTTCTTGACTGGTGTTTCCACCTGCTTCGTTTCCATCTTCCTCACCCCACTGAGTATTTACACGCGCTGGGCGACTTTCCCCATCGCCATCTTCGCTTTCCTCAGCGCCCTCACAACGACTGCCGGCAGCATCATTGCCACCGTCATGTTCATCATATTCGAAAAGGTCATCCACAGCGCCGAAGGCGAGGTTAACATCGTGCCAGAGATTGGGTTCAAGATGTTTGCATTCATGTGGGTGGCTAGCGCGTGTGCAATTGTCGGATGGTTGGTTCAGCTAGGCTTGTGTTGCTGTTGTGCCAGCAGGCGCGACGTGAGGCTAGGAAAGAAGACTGGGCGGGCAAAAGCGTGGAGAGAGCGCGGAGAAGTGCCGCCTCATGAGACGCGGGAGAGAAAAAGGGGGCTCTTTGGGCGGAAAAGGTAGTCACGGAAGGCTGTAAATATGTAGAAAAGCCAATATCTCATTTCCTGCGTCTCCATGTATTTCGCGCTCCAGTAAATTACGAAATTGTCACGGAGGACCTTGAGAACTAAGATCGCTTTAGACGGCCATAGTATTCTGATGCAGTGTTTCAATTACCTGCTATCCTAGGAGTAACATACAATTGAGCAAGTCCACCGAAATGATATCGCACATGAAGAGCCTGGTGTTGTTCAATCCGTCCGAGACCTGACTTGCCATCGGTAGATAGTACTTCACCGGGTATCTCCGCTCGTAATGCTCGCTGACTGCGGGTAAGACTCGGACCTGGTAAAAGCATTGTGGGGGGTATAACGCGCTGATGCCCGAAATCAACCCTCCGAAACTCCGTGCATATGCCATATTGCTCCTCGCTACGCATCTCAAGCCTCGGGGAAATGTAACTCCTCGGCAGGCACGTTATACTGCTTAGCATCGTTCGGGGTTGTGGCGCCCTCGTAGCCAACCAAGGTCTTGTCCTCGTCATCTGCCTTGTCTTCATCATCCTCCGAGTCGCTCAAAACGAAGGCCGTGTCTTGAGTATTGGAGAATGTAATCACTCCATCGCCAGCATTCGCATCGGGTGCGGCCTGGGGAGCGGTAGAATACTGCTTTTCTTCCTCACTCTCGTATTCCTCCTCGTACTCCCCTTCCTCCTCCTCCTCCTCGTTCTCCTCAGAGCTATAGGATTCAGAAGCTTCACCGTCCAACTTGTACCCACTGCTTTCTTGAACATCCTCAGCGCTGTCATAATCTGCCCCTTCACGGTCCAGGAGGTCCCCGTTCATCCCCTGAGCATTCTCATCGCTGTTGTAATCTGCCTCTTCGCCGTTCAAGAGGCTCCCATTCGTCCCTTGGACATCCTCAGCGCTGTCATAATCTGCCTCTCCACGGTCCAGGAAGTTCCCAATCATTCCCTGCACATCCTCAGCGCTGTTGTAGTCCGCCTCTCCACGGTCCAAAATGTTCTCGCGGCTTCCCTTAACCTCAGCAGAGCTATTGTAGCCCGAAGCTCCGCGGTCCATCTTATATCCATTGATGCCCTGCGCGTCCTCATACCCAGCGTCCCCCTTGTACTGCAGAAAATCTTGGTATTCTTCGCCGTTGCAACGCACGCCTTGGTAGGCTCGTTGTATACGTGAATAGCTCGAATAGAGATGACTGGACCCCTCCTCATAGCCACTTGGCGATTGCTGCTCCTCGCTATTGAACGATGCGCTTCGAGAACGCTTTGAGTGACGTGCATAAGGATCTTCTTCTTCGTAGTCTTCACCACTCAGAGATCGCTTCGTACCATGAGGCATATTGACAACATCTTCATCAGTGTCGGAACACTCTAAACCTTGGACAGACACAGCCTCTTGCTGACCATTCTGGACACAATTTTGGCCAACAAGATGCTGATGATGACGCAGGTCGGGATAATCGCCTCCCTTGTTATCATTGTGGTTGGAAATTGCTCTGGATGACTCCCCATCTGGAATGCGCACGGCGTTACGTTGTCCCTGAGATTCGTTTTCGACATCGTTTGGGTGTATGTCGTTCAGCTTGTGGACGGCTGTAGACTCAGTGCCCGTCATGAGCTGATTCTTGATTTCCTCCTCGTACTTCGCACGCAATTCTGCCTTCACACCCGCTTGGAGCTCTTCGGCCAACTGCTGCTTGACCTCTGTCGCATACTTCGCACGCAACTCTGCCTCCACCTCCGGTCCAAGCTCTTTGATTAACTGCTGCTTGACCTCTGTCTCATACTCCGCTCGTAGCTCTGCCTTTACCAACGTTACAAGCTCTACTGCCAACTGCTGCTTAACTTCTGGCTCGAACTCGGCTTCCAACTTCGCCTTCACCACAGATTCAAGCTCCCCCACGAGTCTGGCCTTTGTCTGGTCTTTGACGTCACGCTCATACGCGGATACGATCATATCTTCGTCTTCGTAAACCTTCTCACGAATCTCTTCTCGGTAATGGTCTTCTAGAATTGCCTTGACGTTTTTGGTCATTTCATCGAGCAGTTTTCCCTTGTGATCGTCGATGGACAATCTGCTCTCTTCGGCACGGCGGCGATTAGCTTCAGCCTCAGCATGCCTGATTCGTGCGGCATTCTTGATTTCTGTCTCTCTCCTCGCCTTTCTTGCTTCGTACTGATCGTGTTCATCTTGCGCTTTGGCTTGTTTGCCCTTTTCGATGATGGCTTGGAAAGGTGCGTATGCCTTTCTATCGAATCCAGGGCCACCACGAGAACTAGTCATACCGAAGACATGCTTCTGCATTGACGATGCGTAGCTGGCTTCGGGTCGTTCCATTGGCGCACAGGTTTGCCCGACGCGACGCTGTGAGGTTTGAACGTTGGCGGATGCAAATTGAGATCAGGTGGCTGCAAGATGAATGAAGTTTAGAGAATACAAGCGAAGTATCTGTATTTAAACAGCGCAGTTATGTCGAAAGTGAAAGTGTGTGTACTTTATTAGTTGTGTGTGTCATGGAATTGGTTTGGAAAGATGGTGGTGAACGCGGTAGGAGGCTGGTAGAAATTACGCTAAGATAAAGCTTTAGTGCCCCTTATCTCGCTCGCAACTGACTACTCCTAGCCTTACGAAACCATTGGATGCGGGAAAAATTACCGTGCCCCACCAGTACAAAACACCATATGAAGAGTAGAGTATTTTAAGTAGTCCCTTTGGTACGGATTATGTAGATCTCGTCAAGCTCTAAGTAAAGTATTTTTACGCGGTTGTTCTTGTTGTGGAGATCAAGGGTATCTCTCACTGCTACTGCAGCTTTTGTAAGGTCGTTTGCCATACTACCGGGGATTTGTAAAGGAATTCTGTGTCTACCCAACACAGTCACTCATCATTGAAGACATAATCAGCATTCCTTCAAGCCAGCAAAATACAGCAAACGCAATGGCACCGGCTGTAACTATTGATAATACTTCAGACTTCGCCCTGGTCCAGACAAAGACAACAGGTCGCTCTTCACCACCGCGAAGCCTCCTGCTTTCCCCTCCATCCCTATCATCCCACCCAGAGAAGTTGAACAATGTTCTCGCGGCACATGATCGGAACGCCACCGACATCCAAATGCTCGATCGCCTATCTTTATCCCTCGTTTCCCTTCCAGAAGCTACCTACGATATCATTCTAGTTCTCTCAGGCGCAGACGACACACGAACAGAATCGAACAAGCTGCTCAACCGCGATGTCCTATCGCGCATCGTCCGATCTTTGAAGCCCGGTGGGAGGTTAAAGAGCCAGGACGGAAAGTTTGCCACAGACGATACAGAAGAACGGAGGGAGGCTATTTTCGCCGGCCTGTTGGTGGAAGGGGATGGTATGGTGAAGCCAGATCATACAGCTACACAATCGGTGCCACTGCGTCTCGGCAAGAATAAGAGCAACGGTGGAACGGCTACGACGAGCGCAGCAGGGACAGGCGCTGTCTCTTTGAACCTTAACGGAAAGCGAAGAAATGGGCCTCCAGCGTCAATGCAGCCAGCAGGCGTAGGATACGTTAATTTCAGTGATGATTTCGGGGCGCCGGAAGTTGATGACGAGGACGATCTAATTGACGAGGACACTCTACTTGATGAGGAAGACTTGAAGAGACCTGTTGTCCAACGTAAGTCTCCAATGACCGTCTATCCACTTCTGATTTTTTCCTGCTAACACAATTGCTCCACAAAGCACCCGAATGTCGGCCCAAAGCTGGCAAACGTCGGCGTGCTTGTAAAGATTGCACATGTGGCCTTGCGCAACGCCTCGAAGCTGAGGAACACGCCAAACGCTCTAATGCCGATCAAACCCTCGCAAAACTGAAAACGAACGAATTGGCAGAGGTAGATTTTACGGTGCAAGGCAAAGTAGGAAGCTGTGGTAACTGTGCGTTGGGAGATGCATTCAGGTGTGATGGGTGCCCCTATGTCGGTCTACCCGCGTTTAAACCTGGGGAAGAAGTTAGACTGGTGAACGATGAAGTTCAACTGTGACGGCAGATTCATCGCCACGACAACATATGTAGATAGCAGCAAGACCTAATCTTCCCGAATGGGCAGACACGCAAGCCCATTCACACTTCCTGGGCATCAGATCCCGCATCGTTATAGTCAAGGAATGGTCCACTTCAATGCAGTCAGAGCACATTGACGAGGAGGTCCCGACTCAGCTGTTTCTTCCTTCTCCGCAAACGGGCCCTGTTTCGGGCGGGAATATTCCGACTGCCAAGATTGTACTTCCGAGATCGTACTCTAGCAAACAGCACGTGCGTATTCTTCTCTCTTGAATAGTTTGCTCAACTGTGTTGATCTATTGAGTATCTTGTTCAGAAGGGAGTAGGAGAAAACCTCGCAAGTATTCTACCAGTTATTCAGTAGCTCTAGTACAGGTAGAATATCCCTATCATGTCTCGTCCGGTGTATCAACGGGCGTCTTCTACAAATCTAAGGCCGGGCACAGCACCGAGATCATTGGAAGGAAAATTAGCAATTGTGAGTACATTCTTTGGAAACAAGTCATCCCCAATCAATACCATGATTGAGTCCCAAGGCATGACTCATGTTGCCCAAGCTTAATCTGTGACCTGAGCTGCCTACCTCAAAGATGTCATGTTAACTCCGACATGTGCAGGTCACAGGAGGGTCTCGAGGTTTGCCTCAAAGTTCCTACAGTCCCCGAGTAAGAGCTGAAGCGCAACCTTAAGGAATTGGCGCTGCCATTGCCCGTAATCTTGCCTCGAAAGGCGCTTCTCTAGTCCTAGGCTATACTTCCGATTCCTCGAGCGAGCCCAGTGCCCAACTTGCTTCTTCATTGGAGAGCTCCCATGGCATCAACGCCATTGCGGTCCAGGCGGACATAGGTAACCCACAAGGTCCAGCCCACCTAGTCACGACGGCCAAAAATCACTTCGCCCACCCAAGATCTGGCAAATTCCAAATAGACATCATTATTAACAACGCCGGCGTCTCAAAGAACATGCCCTTAGAAGAGATCACCTCCGAAACCTTCACCCAACAGTACACCGTCAATGTCCTCGGCCCTATCCTTCTGCTTCAAGCCGCACTCCCTTTTCTGCCCAAAGATCGCTCCGGCCGGATCGTGAACCTTTCGTCAGTATCGTCAAGCCTAGGTTTTCACGGGCAGACGGTGTATGGTGGCACTAAAGCAGCATTGGAAGCCATGACTCGAACGTGGAGCAGAGAGCTGGCAGAGCGAGCAACAGTCAATGCCGTAAACCCTGGGCCTGTGGCCACAGATATGTACGAATTGACGGGTCCGGAGTTCCAACAGCAGATGAAGCCATTCATGCAAAATGCTCCGTTGCAGAGAGTAAGGGAAGGAGTAGATGACGAGAGGTTTGTCAAAGATGCCGAGTTGGCAGGCGGAAGGCCTGCATATGATCACGAGATTGCCGGTGTGGTGGGTATGGTACGTATTTTCGGAGTTCATATTTCCTCTTCTGGACCAGATCTTGAGCCTTGAGACATGTTTTGAGAGTGTCGACTCTGTAGACATATTCCAAGGTTCAAGATACCCTCTCAAATAGGCAACGCTGACTCTGAAAATATAATCCAGCTCTGCTCAGAGGACAGTGGCTGGTGCACAGGGTCCGTGGTTTCTGCCAACGGTGGATTCAAATTCAGCTATTAGATGTTTGATATCAGAAGACGAACAAAACGAAGCTAGAGTTCGTGTCAGTGTTCCGAAAATGCACGTAGATACTCTGGGGGGTCCCTGTGCCTAGACAATTGAGATCCAAAGAATACTAAGCACAACATCAAACCCCTTCGATTCCGCCTTTTCATACTTGAAGTTCCACATCCCATCTTTCTTATTATCCCAGTATGCCCCAGATGCCGAATGCATACCTCTTCGCCCCACCGCACTCCCTGCACCTACCGCATCTTGTGAACCGGCATTCGAAGGTACGTCTTTGACAGGACTTGAGTGTGGTGTGGTGTGCTGAATGATGGTACTTGTGACTGCAAACTTGTAGAGAGGTTGCTGGCCAGAGTGTGAGGACTCGGAGATGAGGTTTTGGAGGGTTGTATTTATGATGGCAGTATTCCAGGAAGAGGTACTGGCATGTTCATAGCTAGTGACCGATTCAAATGCGGAGTCGCAGGCCTAAAGATCTGTATGTTGGCAACTACCCAAACGAATTTCTTGTTAGCGAAGACATACATCGTTTGCAATGTCTGTAAGACGTGGGATTGGTATGGGCTGTGACGAGTTCAGCGGGTAAGGTCTCAGACAGCGATATGAGAGAACCTTACAGCTGTTGATTGAGCCTGGGAGCTAGGTAGTGAAGCCATGTTGTGGAGGACGAACAGATGAGACGGGTAAGCAATAGTAGTATCAATGATGGGATCTCCTCGTAAGTGGAAAATCGAAAGGAAGTTGTTCCTCACAAGACCAAACGCTTCCGGAGCTAGTGGAAATGCAAGACTCAGACGACAGATCAGCTCTTTTCACACACATTGCCGTTCCATCTTATGGAAAATCGTAACACTACGTCACCAGACAAACAGACTCACCAGCTTCCCATTCGAACTGCTCATCTCCATCATTCGCTTCTCATTCCTCCACTGCCGCCGGGTTCATTCGCGTTGCAAGTCCTGTGTAGACTCACTTCCCGAATACCAAGCCTATCAGACAACATTCTTGAGCAATACAGAAGCACCCATGATGCGAAGCCGCGCCGATGGACGATAGAGAGAGCAGCCGAATTCTTCGATGTTGTCCGAGAGGATGTTGAGGTTGATTACTACCTTTTCGTTGAACTTCTTTTGAGCTATCCTCGGTTGAGGTCATGTCTCTTGATTAGGGAACAGGGGCAAAGGTTTGGAGTGGTTGGTTGCTTTTCGCCCGAGGCTTCTTCATTGGCTCCAAGTCTCCTCACGCAAGGTCTACGTGCGCTTTCTGCCCTCCCGGCGTGGCAGTACGGACTCGGTCTACAATCGGCGTTGCTCCTAAATCCCAGCAGAAGCTTTCCGTATTGCATGGGCTTCAATTACAAGTAGACCTGCCAGGGTCGGCTTGGCCAACCTCTGAGCTTGATGATTTACCTAGGCTGTCTCCATTCCCTCGACTTTCAATGATCAATCCGAAAAGGCGCATGATCGGACACAGCTGGGACGCTGGACCCAGCTACAGTGCACGGATTTGAATCGATGGACCTTCATGAAAGACAGGATGGTGGGAGCACTGCCTATGGAGTACCAATCAAATATTCTTTCCTCGCAGGACCTCAGGATGTATCAGCATTGGGAAGACTGCTGCAAAGCCGTAAGACCGCATCCTGCGCCGTAGGTGCGACAGATCCGGACAAAGCCAAACCGGTTCCTGCCGCCTTTTCTTACATCCATTCACCCATCTCATGTATATCATCCCGTCTCGCCCTTCCAGTCAGGCCTCATGTTCCCGTAACCCGCAGCACAAAATTGACCACGACCGCCCCAGCAAGTACTACCGCCAACACAGTTGGACCAAACCGATCATCAAAGCCCCCTTGCCCTCTCAGCCGTATACTCCTCGCCCGCCAATGGAAAGTCACAAGCGCATAGATCATGCAGCCCATTGCCACGATCGTGAACAGTCCGGCGCAGATGCGGGAAGTGGCATCGGAGCCGAAATTCAGTAGACCGATCGAGAGGCCACCGAGAATGACGGTGAAATTGAGCCAGGAGAGAAAGGTGCGCTCATTGGCGAAGAAGACTTTGGGCTCGACTCGGGTGGGGAGAGCAATGCGTTTGCCCGGGGCGGTCTGCAGGAGGGGTTGGGATGACATTGTAGAAGAATCGTCGGTGAGGTGCTTGACCAAGCGAAGCAACAGGTCCGAAGAGCTGCGGAGAAGTCAGCAGGAGGGGTCGCTGGGGGTGAGGGTCTGTCAGTACCTTACACACAGCGGTTTTTAGAGCCGCAACATAAGCAATGGCTCGAGAAGAAGTATGCGTATGAATACAGATAGATATGACGCTCGGTCGTACCGAAAATGCCAGTCAATGGATGCTGGAAAAGAAAGAAAATCATGCAATTCAGCAGCAAGAAAAAGCGGCACCAGCGGCCCGAGGCGGGGGCAACATGCCTGGACGTGAAGGATTACCCCGCCAGATTGCGCATGTTTTTTCTACCAAGTAAGACTGAGATGAATTGGAGATACCCATGGATAGAATGATCGAGATTGCATTGCTCAAGCACTTGCTACGTGGGTATCTAGCATCACTGTTGATCTGACAAGAATTTGAAGCCTTTGCACATGCCCCCCCACCAGCTCACAGCTCCTTCTGCATGATCTCATCCCCTCTATCTGCAATCGATAGGATCCGCTGGTGTACTAGTACCTCTATTGCAGAGAGTCATGAACTCGTCTGCTCTCTGTCACAGGATGTCAGTAGTTGGCGTCCATGGAGAAATTAAGAACGTACCCGTAAAGCTCCTTCAGACCAGGCACCGGTACCCTGGCAAAGTAGATCGTCATCACTGGGGTAGCCCTGATTTTCCTGCCATTACCATTCCCGGACTGCTTCGCTCTCTGATCTGCTTCTTTGGGATTTACCATGATCTCAAAGGCGTCTTCCATTTCTTCGTTTCCATCGACGACCTCATGATCATGCTGCACCTCCTCCGAAGCGCGCCGAGGCTCGCCTCCTACCTCATCAACCCCCCCTTGCGACTCCTCTCCAGCTCGCTCGTTTTGCCATTCTACGAGCTTTTTTCCATCGCCCCTACCCTTCACTGATGTGGTCTTCAGCTCCGCGAGTTGTCCGTCCAGTTTGGAGTACTGCCACCACTGTCCCTTGTCGCGCTCGATGTCTTGTCGTGCTATCTCAACGATGCTGACCATCTTACTTGCGACCTCCGATTTGGCATGCAAGACAACGATACCCGGCTTGGAGTTCGGGTCTGCAAAGCTGAAGTTCTCGACTCGAAGCAATACCTTTTTGACCTTGTCGCTGATCTTAGCTGAAGAAAGGATTGACATCGTAGTGAAGTCGTATTTGGAGCTCAGATGTCGAACTTCAGGAGGTAGCTCTTGGGCAGAGGCATCGGGTGCGCGCTCGGGGCGTTCGATGTTCTCTATTATTGAGGTTTCTGAAATGTCAGATGCCGGTAGGTCATGGTGATCTAGTCCAGTGTTGCTGTTGATTTTTCTACGTTTCTTGGGTCGACCAGATGTTGTCACCTCGTCTGCATCGTTCGGTAAATGGTGTTTGGTGCTCATCAGGGGCTGTGGACCAATGCTGGAGCTTGCTTTGGCGGCCTCCTCTGCCGAAATGTCTCTGTGATCGATCCCCGGCTGCTTAGGTTTATGCTTCTTGTGAGCCATTCAGTGAAGAGATGCGGTACCACAGCGCTGGTATCTCAAGGTACAATTGTCTTGTAGAGGACAATGGAAGATGCTCGAAAGTTCAAGATGATTCACGGGGTGGAAGTGTCAACTCAGAGACACGCTTTAGAGTGACATGGAAGGAGATGGGCCGAGCACAGCAAAGCTATGTCTCGGAGACAACCTATCTGCATGTAACCTCTGGACAGTTGCGCTCAGTGTTATATTGAGTTATGATCGATTTCATATTCACTTGATACTCGCTCTACTTCTTGAGGCAGTTTCTCTAAGTATTCGTAGTTATTGTGGTCGTATTATTTACCTCTGCACGTTCTTGTCTGTACGGCTTAGTGCCGGGATTTGCCGCGAAAGAAAATCATTCCATAATGCAGCACCAGCACCTTCCTTTGATCAGAGGAAAGAAGAATGAAAAGATGAAGAAAATCATTCTGCTGTCGAGTGAAGCGAAGAGATAACTGGAATTATGACGTGAAGACTGTGTTTAGGTGTGTTATATTATCTATCTACATGTCCGATGTCTCATACCTTACGTAGGTACATACATTACACATTTCTGTATGGGAATGTGCACATGCGAGCGTCTATTTAATGTTTTGGAAGCAGGATGAGATTCGATTCGATAGCTTCGGACTTCTTCGTCTTGATTACTATGATTTGCTCAATTGCTACGTGCGTTTCTTTATATGTATGGGGAAGAAAGAGAGAGAGAGAGAGAGAGGAAGATGGGAGATGGAGAAATGCCGTTTTGCCGTTTTGCCGTTTGCTGTTTTCTTTTCTTGGCTCGCTTCAATTGAAATCCCGGCCGCTAAAAAAGTGTGGCTTCGGTAAACCCCTGCTGGTAGGTTGGTGTCGCACCAATCACAATCGTATTGCATCATCATTAGTCCGTCCAATGTGTCCACAACCCTCCCCCCCAACTCACCCGAGCCCCCCGGCTTATTATTATTACTTTACCGTACTGACTAAGGTACCTTAGGTACGGTATTATTTCAGGCCCCGTACTCTGCAGGCTTGCATTACTTGCACTTGCCTTTGCACTGGCACTGGCACTGGCACGTCCTTTCCCTTGTCACACTTGTGCCACCCTTTAACTTCTTTCCCCCCCCCCCCCCCAAATGCCTCCAAAAGTCCTAACATCACCACCACCACCACTCTATATCTTATTAGCAACTTCAACTTCTTCTTCTTCTTCTTCTTTGCGCTTCACCATACAATACCTTTTTCTAATTCTCGAGCGCATTTTTCAAATTCTTCTTATCCTCATTCACTCACGGAATTTCATTAATAATCAAAACATTCCCGACCGCTGGTTCCTTTGAATCTCATTCCCTTTTCCACGGTCGGCCTGGCCTTCCCGCCAAAGTTACAAGTCACTACACTCTTTCCAAGCAACCACTTCTCCACAAGTTTGTCTGGAACGAACCTTCGTGCTTATCATTTCCAAAGACCGCCGTTCGTGCGCCTTGACTTTTGAACTCCTTTTAAGCTTTCTTTACAATAGTCCCTGTACGTCAGCCTGAAGTTCACTATATCCCATCAACCAACGGATCTCTCGGGCTCACCTCCTGCATCTCACTACCTTCCCAGCATCGCTCGTTCATGACTTGGACCTGTTCATGATCGCTAGCGGCCCTGACCGTGTCGCATGGCATGTATCTGCTCTCGTGGAGCTCCTCGGCCCGGAATGACAAGGTCGCAAAGGAGAAAGCAAACTTCATGCCAGCGCAGGAACAGCAGTCGTCGATGACTCAGATACCGCCGTTGAATAAGATGAAGCGCAAGCGTTCGGATGGTAGTCCAGCGTCGCCACTTCTGGAATATCCTTCACCAAAGAGAAGAACGGAGACCATGAGCCATGTTGAAATACCGGCTACCGAGACACAAAAAGCTATCCTACCTCGTCGAGAAGATCAAGCTGATACGGAATCGGATCCAGACCAGACGAACCAGGGCCACATATTGACCGAGATGGAATGGAAGCGTATTAATGGGAGCACCCATCTCCAAAATCGCCTGCCTGAAATGCTCACCCAAAGGAACTTCGACCATCACGACAGTGACACAAGTCGGCTTCCCAAAACGATGACCGCTCCTGCGGCTCTTCGCGAGGCTATCGAAGCACAGTTCAGTCTGGAAATTCTTCTCAAACATAGGGAATTGCGCCTGATTGAGCAGGAGTTCGCAAAGTGTCAGATCGCGCTGGAGCAACTCCGTCGATGTCAGATCTTCCCATATCCAGCCTCGTCGTCCACGTTTGAAGGCATGCAAGCAGCGAACACGGGCTCTGGCGCCGCATATGACAACCGGGCACCGTATGCACCACCATGGGGTGTTGCCAACGGACCTTATACACGCCACTATGAGCGTTGGTTAATTCCTGACTCCGCTTTCGACGATTCCGTCGCCGATCACAAGCAAACGCCAACGTGTGGTGGAGAGTTTGTGCCAGAGCGAGCTACGAGGGGATCGAAGGCGGAAAAAGGTATCGTTGCTGGCAAGTCGCGTTCTCAACGTGGATCCAACGGCGCACGACTCAAAGCTCTTCCGCACGGTTATCCAGAGCCCAAAGAAGAGAAGGGCCCGATGATCGTCAAGCGCTCGTCCGATGGGAAAATGGTAAAGCTGGTCTGCTTAGATTGTCGTCGCAGCAATTTCAATAGCGCTCAAGGCTTCATCAATCATTGTCGCATAGCACACTCACGCCAGTTCTTGAGTCACGATGCTGCTATTGAGGCGAGCGGTGAAGAGGTTGACATGGACATGGAAGGAGGTTTGGGAGAGTCAAGTGGCTCACAGGCTTCCGCTAGCGCGGGGCTAGTCCACCCACTGATCAGATCTGCCCTAGCTCGTACCACACCTGCCGATTCTACAACATCTTCCTCACGGCGCAAGAAGCCCCAGTCAGCTGCTACGCCAAAAGATCAACTACCAATGGCTTTCAGCAGCGCTCAAGCCATGTCTACGCCTCGTCCGACGGGTTTCGGGATGCCAAAACAGCCCGGGACTGATCCTGTTCCATTCAACCCTTCGCCCCAGACTCCTCATCTATCTGCTCTGTTCGCAAGAGTGGGTCGAGGTGGTAACTTGAACGACATGGTCGCGCAAGCCAAGACGAGTCCTGAAATTGACCTTTCGCTGTCAAGCGACGAGGAAGACGAGCGGGAGGAAGTGAGTCCCACAGAAAAGCCCGGTGGCCCCCAAAGCCGTAGCACTCGCGGTGTTGTGCAAGGCCGATACCCACCTGCCCGCGCGACCAAATCTCCTACACCCTTGGAGCGATCACCCACCCATCTAGGTGTCTCTAATAGTTTGTTTAAGGCGGATCTCCTACCCACCATGAACGAGCACTACAGCTACCAATCACCATACCATGGCCGTGACCAGCAACAAGACCACGGTATGCCTATTCACGGCAACGCATCCCCCCTAAACCTTAGTCCGAACACGATCGAGTCGCACACCGCGCCCAGCCTGGTTTCAGATGACGGTGATTATGAAAACACGCATTCCGAATCCGAAACTCCAAGCTCAGGAGAAGCCGATGACGACGAAGACCATTATATACACGCCGAAGTGATAGATCACGATGAAATGGATATGGGAGAAGGCAGCTCTCACGACCATCATTTAAGTTTAGGAGGAAAACCACGCGGTCCCGCTGCCGGCAGACGCTCTTCGGCATTGAGACATCCGAGTGCAATACGAGATGAGGCAGGAGAGGATAGGCATGTCAGTTTTGCAAGCCCCGTGAGACGGCTGAGGAAAGGTTCCAGGGCGAAGGATGATGTGTGAGCGCATGATTCAAGTGGGGCACAATCTCAATGATTTCAACATGTGCAACACAGCTTTGCGTACCAGTACTATACCACAGATTGGGATGTGTTTTTAGCGACGGAGTTTAGGGTTTTGGGAGGTCCAGGGTGGTTCCCGTGTCGGATGGTTGCTCATGTGGCTCGCATGAGCGAAGATTAGCTCGGTTTTATGCCTGGTCTGAGAGCAGCATTATTGTATTTTAGACAACATATTGGTAGGTAGCAAGGTTGGCTGAGCAGAAGCTGTGTGGAGGTGGCTGATAACAATACTTCATCATCAAACTCACTACCTCTTCCCAGCTTGCCGCGTGAGACTACAAATGATGTTTCTTCTTCGTGATGTGATTCGAAAGCCCAATGGGGCAAGGTCATTTGATGACCAGGGTCTGTCTGAACGAGGTAAAGATCCATGCGAAACAGCGATGGAAACCATCAACCGACATGGCCGCACTCAAGCTCTCGTCGGCCGGGTGAAAATCAGTCGCCGGGGCAGCGGTGGACTATTGACATGGATAGCATGAGAGATGGCTCCAACTTCAAAGCGTCCTCTCTTACTTGCCGAAGCTACGAAGGAAAGCTGCCGGACGCGGAAAAAAGAGGGTGAGGGTGACAAGGTATGAGGCCAATGACGGTTGAGCTGTAACACAGTGCTTCGGGGAAATCAGCTTCTGAAAAGCATCATAAGCACAAGTGACAAAGATTTACGTTTTCGAAGGCCAATATCCCACTTCTCGTTATGAATGAATGCTATGTCTACAGCCAAGAACGCTGACTGTTGATTCCACCCAAATCCCTATGAACAATAATTTTGGTCGCGGCCTGCCCTAGCTGTATGCTTGCCTCGGACTTTAAGACGCCTCCTCCAAGGCTCCAACGGCTCTGCTTGGCCGCCAGCTTCATCTGCCGGCCTACTCCTGTCCAAAGCCAACAGTCTCCTCCACTGCAATAGTGAGCTTCCCGGAGAGATCTTCATAATTCTTGTAGTCTGGCAGGTCCAATCGATTGAAGCTGCATGCCATGTTAGTAAACGCCAGACAAGCAAGGCTAGCGAATATGTTCATCGTCCTTACCAAGTATGGGATTTAGGCAAGGCCTTGTCAGAACCTGATTTCTCAATTGTAAATCTTCTGGGCCCATCACTTCCTTGCAAATCCTTAAAGCCGTTGACCGGTATACGAGAGGTGCCAGTTGCGAACTGCAATAGTCTAGACTTCTGCTCTGCGTCCCAACTCCGAATGCACTGCGAAGTCACATTAGCAGCATTCTCAGATGGAGGAAATCGAACACTTACAGTCCAGAAGTTCCTGATGACCTGATCTTGCTCTGTGTACCCTCTATAGTCTGTGTGCTTCTTCCAGTCTTCGACATCAATATCTGCGATGCCTCCAATCAGCAGTTCCAGTTCACGTTCATCGAAAACATTGACAAGATCTGGTGGGATGAGCTCGTTGAAGCCGGTAACGAATGCGTTGAACTGCTCTTCCACTCGCTTCTGTATTCTCCACTCCGTGATAAGCCTGCAACAGGTCAGTGAGGGCCCAAAGAGCATAATGGTTTATGAAAAGCGTACTCGATGTATTCCTTTTTGTTCTCGTTGGTCACTTCAATGTCCCTTCCGTTGGGCTTTAAGTCGATAGTCCGAATCTCTCCAAAACTCTCGTCTTCTGTTGAGAACGTCGGCTCTATGACGCCTTCGATGTCATTCTCCCTGCATGAATCTTAGTGTTGCAAGCAGCACAGGAGACAGGGAGCCTTACAGTGTCCAGGTCAGCGTTCTGTGGAAATCAGCATCAACCCCCTCCATATCCGCAAGAGCAACTCTCTTCCGTAAGATCATCTTATAGAACGCGCCGATGAAGAATGCATCAAGAAAGCGTCGGTGGAAGATGGCTAAGCCGACTACTCTTCCAATGAATTTGAAGTAGTTCAAATGTTCAGGGTTGATGCCAGAGTGAGGATTGATCTGAAGGGTATAGTTGTCGTGGGCGGAGTATTCGAAAAGGCAGTAGAAAGGGTTAAACATTTCGTGAGATAACAAGAAAAAGAACTCTCTGTTCCAAGTCAGTATTGTTCGTGGGCGGTTCATGTAATGTCAAAATCACCTTGACAGTCCTCCATAGTCCAGACCGTCTTCTCCGTCGAATTTGATCATCAGTCGTTTCTTCAATTCATTGGCGTTCTGCCGCATAATCTCAGCATACGAGTCCTCAAAGATGTGGTCTCTTCGGACTTTGACATGGCATTGACCAGACAATATTCGAAGAGCAGGCTGAGACCGGAAGTAAATAAGTTTACGTCGGAAATCCCGTTTGTACTGGGGGACGTTCTGGTCTAACGATGATGGCAACCGAGGGTCATCCCAGGTTGTTGTCTTTGTGTTGTGATCCACAAAATAGACTCTTGCAGTATTGGTCAGACGCATTTCCCATCCACTTGGAAGGGCACCTAGTTGCGATACCGGCTGGGTTTGAATTGTGGTGTTGTTGCCGCTTGGATTTTGGCCGTACATGCGAATATACTGCTGTCGACGAGGATCGACCCAGGTAGTAGTTCGCGTGTTGTGGTCGACGAAATATGATCTGCCTTCGGGTGTATGCCGTTGTTCCCATCCTGCAGGAAGCTCACCAGTTCCAGCAGTTGTCGCACCGGTGGCCATCATAGACACTGCACTGGCAGTATTTGCAGATGCTGGCGGTGGCGTCTCCATCTGCGTTGGCGAGTTGGCCCCCGTACGATCCTCTGGCAGCATACGGTTTTGATGCGCGCGCCGCTCAAGCTGGGTATTGGCCTCCATGGCCGTTCGTTGATCCCTCTCATTATATGTAGTTGAGGGCCTCGTCCAGGTTGTGGTCCTCGTGTTGTGATCTACGTAGTAAGTTCTTCCTAGATTATCCTCCCGCCTCTCCCAACCTGCAGGCAACATTCCTTGATTGTCTCTGAATGAGCTGAGGTGACCTGATCCACTGAGCCCGGCCTGATTGCTACCGTTCGCGTGAGGAGGGCTGCCCAGCGGAACGCCGGGAGGGGCTGGATTCGGATGAGATGGAGCAGGACTATGGGGCGGTGGATTGTCCGACGGAATGTCGCTGGAAGGCCCAGCGGAGCCTACAGGCGATCTCGGGGGCGCTCCGTTAGATGTAGATGCTATGCTCCCACCTCCTACGGATAAGGGTGGGCCGGGATGTCCAGCTGCGTTTGATTGTGTAGCAGGTGGTCCAAGGTTTGTGGACAAGTTGACGATAAGCTTTCCGTGGACGATCAGGTTGTCGTTGGACTTCTTGAGGTCTCGGGTAAGCATTTCTGGACGCTTCCCATCAGCACTTAATCCTTCCAACCGGGATGATCATTGAGGAAGGGTTAATGTACCATCACCGCCGATGTCCAAATCCATGACTGTACCAATTCGCACGTTAATCACGCCGAGAAACCCTTGATCCTTTTTCTTAAACTTTTTTTGATCAAAAATCTGTATGGCCAGGATGCTTTCTTGTGATGCTCGCCTATTGCCTGTCAATATCCCTCAAAATAGCCGTACTGCGAGGTATCCGTACATGTCAAAACTCTCGTTCCAGTATGGGTTCAGCGTCTTCTTGATGACTGAGGTCGTTCGGGTCTGCTCTCCTCCTATCGTAGCCACAGCGAATGGATCAGGGAATCCTATAGTGGGGTACGTAAGTACGATCGGAGCAATAGCTTGGAGGGTGGTTGTTGACTAACTGAAGACGTCACGTTTGTAGAGACCGTCGGCCGCAATTACTGCATCACATTAGCATTGCTCTGATATTTTGCATTCAGCCTATCCAGCAAACGTACTCGTCACCCTCAAGTTCGGCGCCCTGGCAAAAGACATTAGCAATGCACGATGAGCTCACCAACAAAAGGTACGGCATACTGCGGCAAATCTGAATCCATGCTGCCTATGCTTGACCAGGAGGTCGAGGAAGAGTATCTGCGTCTTTAATGGCAGCCTTGGAAGATAGATCCGCCCGATACGGACGCGGAGTGGGTTGGGGAAAGCGGTCGTCGACGGTTGAGGCTCGAGGGGGCTGTGAGGCTGGGTCCGATGATCCGACTCTGTACAGCGACTACGTACATTTCATCGTATCATACTTGGTATTGTGAAATGGTTGTACATGAAAAAGAGCAAGCATATCATGTAGAGAGCGACGTTGGTCTGGTAAAAGCGAAGGAAAGTGCATTGGAATTCTTTCCCCTCTGCGCCGTCCTTTGCTCGAATTAGAACGACCAGTCAGCAGCCCTACAGGAAACTCCCACTACGGAATGATACCTCGCTCGTCAACCCATAGACAAGGAGTGTTCTGAGCGCACCCTCTGATTCGATATAAATTGTGAATCAAGCTCGAATCTCCTTTCATATCGACATCTACTTTATCCAAATAGATTGGTGGAACAAGTTCCGAGATTCGCTGATGAAAAAATGGCCCGGTTTTGTCCCCTTGATCTTCCCACGGATACAGCTCATACCTCTTAACAAGCTCCATTTTCATTGCTTTTCAATCTTGAGGCCTCCTTCCTGCAGATGAGTATGAACCTCTGTATGTGGGCCGGTTACCTCGCGGATGCCTTTTAAGTCTTTCCGTTCGTCTGTAACACCAATGACCATCTCGCCTTCATTTTATCTTTCAGTATGGAGCGTAGCCCCTAGGTCGACCTCGATATCCTCCACGATATCCGCCTCTAGGGGAATATCCACGATCATACCCTCCTCCTCTATCATTACCCCCTCGCCCGAATCCACCTCGACCACGAGGAGGTCCTGCTGCACGCCCACCGCCGCGACCACCGCGAGTCATGCCCGGTAAGTTAGTTCGCTTGGGGACAACCTGTGATGGTCAGTGTTATGCTGGTTAGGAGAGTCTTGAAAGGCGGTGATATACCTTTAGATTCCTGCCTCTGAACATGCTCTCGTTAAGCACCAGAGCTTGCGCAACAAGATTGGGCTCCGTGAATTCTACGTACGCATAGCTGTGGTTTGATTAGATTTGAATTTCGCTTAGGACATCGCATGCAGATGGCTTCTCACCCTTTGGGATGTCCAGTGAACTTGTCCAGCAGGATAGTGACCCTGTTGATAGAGCCACAGCTCTGGAAATGTGCCTGGATCTCCTCTGGCGACGCGCCGTAATCAACGTTGCCGACGAAGATACTGCGCGCATCGATATCTTCCTTGTCCTCTCGCAAGTCATTGTCCTGCTGATCCAGCGATGCTTGCATTTCCCGCAGTTTCGCTGCCTCGGCTTCCATCTCGGCTACCCGTCTCTTCATCGCTGATATTTCTTCCTGCACAACTTTTTATCAGCGCCCATTCTTTTACAGTCTTGCAAAGCCGCCAGCCTCCCCAGGAGCACGGTGCACGGGTCGTGGTGATATGTAGATAAACGCTCCATCTCTTACTTCATCATCTCCACCTTCGTCCTTGATCTGAGAGCGCTCATCTTCTGCTGCAACACCGTTGTCTGACATGATGAAGAAGTGTTCTACTCCTGTGACTGATCCTTTCGATCAAGCGTTCAGTCAATTCCTGAGTGTTGTGCAATTTGGTCAATAGCGATAAGACATGACCTAAGCAGAAGTGGTGAGAATAGAGGGACACTCTGTCATGGAGAATGGAAAGACAACTGGAAAAAAGGACGAGGAAGGAATGAATTCCTGGTCCTTGAATGCTGCACAAGGCTTAGCGGATACTTAGCGCTACAGGGATCATTCTGCCGTGTCTGCCACCAGCGAGAACACGTCTTCACTAAAAACACTCGGTGACTCGGATTCATCAATTATGTCATAGGATGGCCAAACTGTCTTACTTGGAATCTATATCTCTATTCATTTTCTCATCTGTCGAACTATACCCTGAAGACTGTACCTATCAGAGAAGATCCCCCCAGCTGCTCATCATGCCATGTCCGGCCCCATCGCAGGCGTTGTTCCTGCAAGCCTCGCCTTTTTGGCCATATACAATCCTTCCCTGAGCACATCTGACGATACTTTTCATGAACAAATCGTGTATTACTACTCGAAGTCTAGCAACGCCCGGCGCAGCGGCAAGGCCAATGACAACGATAATGGTGAGGACACTAAAGAGGAGAAGAACGAGAAAGAACGACAGATTGGCCTCGCTCAAGGAATGGTGGAATTCGCAAAGTAATTGCGTTCTGAAGATAAATGCGACTTCTTGGCTGAGAATGTTGTCAGGAGCTTTTCCAATGGCAAACCTGTAGATTCGATTGAAACAGAAAAGTCTCGAATCATCCTACACGAGCTTGAGACGGATTGGTGGCTCTTGGCAGTATGCAATCACGCTTTCGGTCTGCCTTTCTTGACTGATTCGCATCGTGTAGTCTGTCGATTTGACCCGCCTGCCGAGCTCCTCTGAGACAACCATAAAGAACCAGTCCCAGAACGTTGCGATTCCAATCGAGTATTCAGCTCGCGAAGTCTGTCCACCAGCTCTACTTCTGCAGCAGATTCTCCGCGCACATCAAATTTTCCTCCTACATCAAGCCTCTTCCGTCGCCGAGTTGTACACGCGCGTCGGGAAACCAAAATTGTGTGGGTTCCTGAAACGGTTCTGGGATGCATTCATCTGGAGTTGGGATGTGTTGTTGCATGGCAATCCTGCTGTGGATATCTTCAACGGACTCAAACTCGCCGCGGGTGGTGAACTGGGTATAGGCGTTGGAGAAGAAGACTGGGGCAGTGGGGAAAGAGAAGTCCTCGAAGGGTTTATTGGCAGGACTGAAGGCCTTGTTGATCTTGTTGTCGCGAGGTTCGGTGATTCAGCTCGTACGAGTCGAGATCCTTCCACGAGCTCCTCAGCAACGCCAAGTTCGCGTGACACTTATCCGGACTGGCAAGTCTCCGAAGAACGTATTCCAGGACCTGCAGATGGAATCATCTTCTCGGGAATTGGTGCGTTGAATAGAGCTTCCGTGAGGAACATTTCGAGTTGGATGGAATGGCTGTATATGTATGGACAAGATAGCTACGGTGTTCGAGACAACCCATCTTCCGCTCCTCGTCGGAAACGCAGAAAAGTCCAGCCCTCCAGCCCAGATTATCAAACGCCGAGTCAGCGGTCTCCGAAGCAGCAAAAGCGTCCCAATTCTGTATCTTCGCACAGACAGGGCTCAGGTAGCTCATCTGGCCCAGTCACTGGAATTCCTGCGTCTCTTCTTACACCGCTTAGCGTGCGCGAAATCCAAGATCGAAAACTTTCAAGCGTAAGGAAGGATGAACCAAGGAGTGATGTGCAAAGCGCGGCAAATAGTAACTCGCAAGACTCTGCGTACGGCACAGAAACCATGGTTAAGTATCTAACACTAGGAGTCTATGGGTCAAGTTGGGGTATTCCATCTGGGAGACCGCCTATCGATCAACGAGTCTCGAGTCTCCGTAAAGAAGACAGCAGTAAAAATAGGCAGTCAACTTGCCCCGAAAATGAGGGAACAAAGACAGAATCGGAACTGCCAGGCGGTAATTTCTTGATTGGACTTCAAGGCCAGCTCGAGGAGGACTTGCAGATTTCGGAAGATGAACAAGAGACAGGAGCGTGGACAGACGGGGAAAATGTATCCGAAGAAGGCATAATGCTGAAGAACAGGATAGTCATAAGAACGCTTCATGTTGAGCGAGCCAAAAGGATAGCCGAAGGCTCTGACGGATCCCAGGCCAGCGAGGACAAGCCAATGGTTGAAGTTGATCGTGACCGACTAAGAGTTGTGGTCTACGTCCAACAGCCCTGCATATTTACATTCCTGTTCGAGCTCCAAACTGACGCCCTCGCAATGCCATCATTCTACCGATCTCTACACCACCAACTCGGGCCCTTGCAGCGTCCACTCCTTGCAAGCACATCACCCCGCAAAGTCTCTGAGCGATTGTGGGAAGCCGCCGCTCTAAAGAGTACTGCATCTACGAAGAGTTCTCAGCCGATCTGCGACCTTGTATATGATCCGGCGAGATTGACTGTGCATACCACGATCCCGAACATCCCAGAACCTGGGCCTTATCCTGGTGACAGCCAGGAGGCACTAGCGTGGACTCGAGTCGAAGCTTTGAGCGTTCACTCTCAGATATTGAATACGTACAGCTCAACGCGCCGGCATATTCTCGAGCAAGAAAGGACTTCGAAGACTAGCAGACAATGGTGGGTGGTCTGGATGCGTCTACCTCAGACGGGGCCCGCTCGGGGCACCGGCAGTGACGCTTATCGTGAAGCCTTCCTCATCAGGAAAGCAAGTGACTACGTCCCGCCTGCAGCGAGAAAGTCGAGCGGCAGATTTGGGAGAGAGGTAAGCGGATCTGGTGCAGCTGGAGGATGGGCCCCTGGGAAGCTGGCAGAGGGTATTGGGATCGATGCCAGGCAGTACATTGAAGGTCTCCTTAGCCTCAATCGGTAGCCCCACAGTGATGTAGAATTGGAGACATGTTCTCAAAATTCTCAATCCAGATGCATTGTCCTTTGCTTCTCTATTCCCACGCATGTCAAAAAAAAAACTTTCAGAGAGGACAGGTTTGTTTTTTTATGACCTTTGCAAATCTTTCTCATGTCAATAACATACCTCCCGAATGGTCCCGTGCCCTGACAAGAATGTAGGCGCTTGACCAAGTATTAGACATTTTCATAAGGCCTGGAGGAAGAGAGGCGGCGATCAGGAATATGATGGCGGTCCCGCCGCGATACTCCTTTTGGTGAGTAGGCCATGTAGAATATCGCGGTCATCAGGAGAAGTTGGGAAGCTTGTCTTCTCTCTGACAGAAGAGTTGTTATTCTTACCAAATGAAGGTCCAGCAGGGTAAGGTTCTGTACCTGCAGGCGTACTATAATTCGTAGACCACCTATCATCTACTCCAGGAGTACAGTATGGGTGGAAGCGTGTGAGCACTGAGAGCCTCAAAGCACTTGCTTACAGCTAACACTAGCGACAGGGGTTTCAGATGGCTTGGAACGAATCAGGAGCTGCCTTTGTTTCTCCCCCGCCGCCCGGCCCCCGAATGAAGATCAGTCTTAGGCTATTATTGGCTAAGGGAACCCCCTGGAGCCTGGCCGCAGCCCCTGCAGTCCCTCGGGTACGTTTTAGTCTGCCAAATATCTCCCTCCACCACTCTCTTCCTTCCTTTCTTTCTTCCTTTCACTCTTCACAACTGCCCTTTCCACCTTGTCTCACCTTCTTTATCTACCACTTTCATTTTCCCCCTTCGCTGTCCTAGTGATCAGCATCCATTCATTCTTTCAGAGCCAGCATTCACCTTCTTTTATTCTATCAAGACCTCAATTTCCTCCGATACACTTACGCCTATAGAACAACTAAAAGTCCACTCCAAGACACCATCTAAGCAATACAATCGCTAGTCGATTTATCACACTCCTTACCCCATTGATCCTCCATTTAAAAGATATTCACAACCAAAGGATTCTCATCAGTAGTCATGAAGCTATCCACAACACTCGCTTTCGGCGCCCTCTTGGCCTTGTCTTCCGCCATGCCCTTGGAGAGGAGACAAGACATCACCATTACCACCACTATTGACGTCATCGAGACCGTTGACGTAGTTGTTACCGTCTGGCTTCCACCTGGGGGTCAGCCGGCCGATCAAGACCAACACCAGCAAGCCGCACAGCCAAATATACCAAACCCAGCACCGGTCGTTCATATTACCCCTGTGCAAGACGCAACTATTCCTACCCAAACCCCGCCTCCAGCAGCACAGCAAAATCCCAACGAAGCAGCTCAAAACCAGGCGAATCAAGCCCAAGAACAGACAAATCATGCCCAAGCAGCTAAGAATCAGGCTGCTCAAGACCAGTCAATTCATGCGCAAGACCTGGCAAATCAAGCTCAAGAACAGGCGAATGACAATAAGGCAGCTCAGAACCAAGCAGCTCAGAACCAGGCAGCTCCTGCACCAAAATCACCTGCAGTCCCCGCCAATAGCCCAGCAGCAGCTCCTGCGAAATCTCCAGCAACCCCACCAGCGACCCAAGACAATACTTCGTCCGATCAGACACAGCCAACATCTGGCGGCTCATGCGGCGAAAATGGAGGCACTTGTACAGCCACCAATGTCACCTATTTCGGAGGCGGTTTGGGTGCTTGTGGCTGGTCCAACGATACAACATCCGAAGACTTCTTTGCTCTTGCTCACGGTGCGTTCCCCCTCGCTCTTTCCTTACCTGCCCACAAACAACTGAGGGAAATCACTGACATTGCAATTGTGTAGACATGATGGGTCTGCAATCAAACGGAAACCCCTTCTGCGGTCGTACAGCGGCCATCGTGTACCAGGGCAAGACGATCCACGGAACTCTGACAGACAAATGCATGGGCTGCGTAAGTTTCTCCCTCAGTAATTCTTCCGGCTGCTATTGGAATCTGACAAAGAACTGTGTAGGGTCTTCAATCTATCGATCTCTCGCAACACCTATATGATCAGATGTTCGTTGAGAGCGTGGGCAACTACCACGATGTCGAGTGGCATTTCACCAGCTAGATGTTGTATTATATTTACAGTCGGTAGGCTTTGCTAGTCGGACGGGTTACCGAGGTACATGTTGCTTGACGAGCATGGTTTGGAGCATTTCCTTTCGACGAATGGGAATCTTTTGGAGCACATGGCCTTCAGCATAGAGGTTGGATACTTCCACGAGTTCACGGTCATCACGACTTCTTCGACCCATGATGCTGAGCATTAGGGTCAAAGAAAGGCTTTCATGTACATTTTTACGAGACCACAAGACAGCAAGGGGGTCTGACTCGGTGGTGGTATGATCACCGGTCTTTTTATATGAACCTCGCCCCAGATGGGAAAGAGAGAATTCTCAAATCAAATCAAACACAAGCAATTATCACCCGCATGCTTTGTTCTCATTTGTATCTTTCCACCGCACTTCGAATGTCATTTCAGCTCTGGCCCAAGGGGTCGTAGAGCAACCAGCCGTTTGATACTGGTCTTTCGCCCGTATCTTGCTGTCAAGAAGGATACGATTTTTATCTTGGCAGTCAAAAATAGAACACTTCGCTGAACTGCTGTCTGTGAACAACAAATAGACACAAGACAGGGTACGAATTGATAGAACGGACAAAACTAGATGAGTATCCCGGACGCGCGAGGGCTAATCGTAACGCAAGTGATTGAGTATAAGTTTTGCTTGGCCCTTTGGTCCAATCCTTCACGACCTATATCTTTCTCCCTAAGACCGATCAACCCTCCAACCCGCAGAACCATCGAGGCTACAATGTAAACGTCGCGATCACTGACAACCCGGACCGAGACTGCAACCAAGGACGTAGCAGGGCCCTTTTACCTCGAAACCTGCAAGTTCCTTTCCTTATCTCGAAAATGACAAGCTTTGACGCTGCCTTTCTGACGGGACATAGTGCACAGTAAGGACGCAACGCAGGGGGTTTTGAGCTCCTGGCCTGTGGAGGAAGGGTTTGTGTTGCGCTGCGATCTTGATCTCTTGAGACCATGCGAATGCAGTCCGTTGGCCGTCTAGCGTCAATGAGCTCAGTGATGATGCTTTGCCTTACACCAAGAGGATGCCCAGGGTACCGGAGTAGAGTTTGTACTCGTGCAAGTCGAGAAGCGACGATGATAGGGTTTGTACAAGACACGTTTTCATCGCTGACGACACCCCTTTGAACTCTTAGAGAGGAAATGAATCAGTATATCATACATGCTCACTCGCTGGTCAATCCTGTTCTACATGTCTAGACGGAAGACTTCTCAAATATGCCGAAGGACTTGGGAGTGCCATCAGACTTGCTATAGACCGGTGAGCGTATGCTAGGGAGGGTTTGTAATTCGATGAGACATACATCATAGTAGGCTTTTTCACGACCTATTTCAAGTCGAACCTCATCCAATCTGATGGTCGCCCCCTTTTTGACTGCGTCCATGGCCAACTTCTTCTTAATGTGGCAATTTGCGCGGTACCTGCATTGTGTCGTGCACTTCCAGAAATCATCATGTATTGACGTTGATCCATAAACATCAATCATCAACGTGAGCACTATTAACCCAGTTGTGATAGATACTAGTTTCAGCGAGCTAAGAGAGTCGGCTAGTGGTAGGAAGATGAGAATGATAGCCACAGAGACTCGTAGGGAGATCCGGTAACGCTTCCCAATACGCTCGCCGTCAAATTCTTTATGGACGTGGCATAAGGATATGATGCCTAACTAGACGTCAATAGGTGGGCTGCAAGGGAAGACATTAGAAGGATGCAAGTGGCGTACTCATGGAAAGTAAAGCAACCCCCAGGCCTGCACAGTAAAACCATCGTAACCCAGATGATAACTCTGACTTAGAGCTAGCAGTATATGCGTCTGTCAAGTCATCAACATTGGCATCATGACAGTCGGTCGCCAATACCAGCCGGGACAGAGATGCCCCAGCCAGGACATAGGCCATGATGAATGGAAAATGAATTGTAGTCCAAATAATGGCTGCGGCAGAAATGTAAGTAATAAAGCAATCATTTACTCAAGGTGTGGAGCTTACAAGTCATGAAGTGCCGGCGGATGGCATGTGTGTGTAGGTTCCACGAATCTGGATATTCAGTTTAGCATGGCCAGTTACCGGAGTTCTACCCACGTACCAATCTCGAAATATAGCCAATTGAAGCTGAAGGCCTGAATTAGGCCTAAGACAGCTTTACCGAAGAATCTGTTCCGTGTCAGCGAAAGCGATTTGAAAGGGAATGAAGCATGTACGCATTGATTCCATAAGCGGCTTTGTTCTGAAACAAGAGGGCAACAACGCTGTACCCAAATACCAAGGTGACGAATGCATTGGTCCGCTCCGCTGTTGAACGCCAGTCAATACCGCAAATGAATGGGGAGGTAGCCCATACTCTTGTGCTCAATGTTGATAGCTGACCGGAGAAAGGTTAGTCATCGCTGCAGACTTAGGTCGCTTGACCTCAAAAGACGGCTCACCTGGAAGGAAATCGAAATACTTGGGATGATTTGCTACCCATGACGAGTGTTTTACTTCGGCCCACCGCCTGAGAAATACTACGCATAGTACCCCGAACAAGTCTGCAAATACTCAGCAAAAATGGTCCCAAGCTCAGAGCTCGCGTAGGAAGACCAACCCAAAACGATCGCAATCCAAACCAAGGCCAAGCGATCAGGGTATTCGACTTGAACGCTGGCGACCCAGACTGCAGCAGGAATAGCAGTGCAAATGGCGTTGATTATCATGTATACTCGCACCATTGGCAATAGATATCCAATCCACAAAAAATGGACGGCGTGGAACAGCCTTTGAGCGAGCTATCAGGTGTTAGCCAGAGGAATGGGTGACAGGCCGGCAGTTGAAATAGATGGCAGCTATAGCGGTCCAAGCCCCTTGGAATTTTGATAACGGTAGAAACGAGGACAAGGTCACAGCCTTTCAATGCTCTTCATGAGTACTTCAAGGCTGCTAATGTGCTTGGCTTGCTTCCCTAGTCACGCACCAAGCAGACCAAGCCAGCACCCCAACAACGCCACTTTGTCTGACGGCTCACCAGAATGATGTTGCAGGGAGGACAGCAGGAAATTAGTACTAACGTAGAATGCGATAAGTGGTATCCACGTAGTCTCAAAAGACTGGGCGATGTTCAAGGTGAAGCCGAAGAGACATATCATCAGAAAAAGCACAAGAATGCGCTGGAAAATGTCATCTACGAACGATCAGTAGGCCGCGTAAGCATGTCAAGGGGCTCACCGACTTGTCTCAAACCAGGATACTAGCAGAGTAAGGTCGGTCCACATCTTGAACGCCAGGGCGAACGTGACAGTGAACTTGAGCAAGTTAAAGCCTGTTGCGTTCTCTGCGGCAGTGTCCCCTATGACAGAGATAATTCCAACGTAAAGCAGATCGACGAAAAGCTCGAAAGAAGCTACCTCTTCGACTTCGGACGCTCGCCAGAGAAGGCCTCTGTGCCAATACTGGCGTACTATTGGTTTTTTCCAGAACTTCAAAGCCTGGCCTTTCCGCCGCTCGGCTTCCCAGTCACGATGAGAAGAAGACAGGTCACCGCTTAGAGAGCTGGTGGAAGAGTCTGAATCTTTTGTTCCTATACCTCAAGGTATCAGCATTCTCCTACTTGCGCAGAAGCCGACTCTGTCCTCACTGATATGGGCGTCATAGCCGAATTTCGAGAAATTGGCGTCGAGGGCCACACCATGGTTACTCAGATGCAGAAGTTCGTCTGCCAATGTATCAAGCTCTGATCTGACGAGCTCGAATTCTTCATAAATCGAGCCATGTTGAGTGCGAAGATCATGACTCCGATTCTCATGAAATGCGTGGATCTCTCTCACTGCTTCGAGCTAGAGTATATGTCATATGAGAGAATAATGTGCCATGTTACAAGATTCGAAGACTCACGTGTTCCGTCGAACCCTGGAGGTAGCAATCGAAGTTGTCGTCTGGCTCAATGTTGGGTAGAGTACTGCAAACGTTTCGGGGTCAGAATTGTCAGAATTGCTTCTTCAGGCAGGAATTTGAGACAGCGAACATCCTAATCTACTCCCCAAATACATTTTTCGACGCCTAGCCAACCTGGAAGAAATCACACCAACTGTTTACATACCGCGTAAGATGAACATACTCTTCTGGTGTACCAGCGATGTGTACTCTTCTTCCGTTCGGCCTGAGTAATTTTCTTAGGCGTCGGCCGGTATGGAGATGTCCATGAGAGGCTTGGGGCGGAGTTGTATTATCCAAAGGCGGTGTAGACGTGGTTTCCATTGAATTATATCAATATTCAAGAGGGCTCGAAGCTGATGCATCAAGTCGATAGCGCGATTCTAATCACTACTTCTCAAGATTCCTGAGGTCTTTAAGATTACTTAGTATTGCAAGAAGTAAAGTACCTTGTTTATGAAAATCAAATGTCTTTTACAATCGAAGGCTGGAGTCTTCCCGTGTTTGAACTACGCCGTACCTATACCGTATAAGTAAGGTAGAATCTATACCTTTAGTTTGCATTTTACCTACCTATCATTACTTGAAGTTTTGTTGGCAAGAAGTTTGGAATCATCTAGTAACCAATCGTATCAATTATCATTAGGAAGTCCTGTCTGAAATCAAATTGTTCTACTCGAGAAATCAAAATTCTGAGTCTCCTTTGCTTTTCGTTAAGGAAACGGGCTTTCAAATTTAGACGGTTGAAATGCTTTCAGAGAAGAGCTAGATTGAGTGTGGAAAGACTTGGTGTCAACAGTATGTTTTTTCCTAGAGTTAGGATTTCCCTTCTTTAGGAAATGGCACTGGAAATAAGCCCCTATGGACACTATATCCTACTTTCATTCTTCTCTACCAAGTCACCCACACCTAGTACTCTCCCCAACCTGACCTTTCTCTTCTTCCCTCTCTCACCCCCTTTCTTCCCCTCTTCCTTTTTTCCTACACTGCCAACCTCATCGCCTTCGTCCACGTACGTGTCCTCTAACGCCTCTCGCAGATTGGTCAGATTCATCTTCATGCTATATGCGTCCTCCCCATCAGCGTAGTACTTGGACTCCACCTTCTCGACCTCGAAACCTAGCGTATCCCTATATAAACGTAGCGCGGCGATATTGGCCAATCGAACATGAAGAGACACATATTGTGCACCGAATGTTTCGACCATAGCTCTTTCTAGTGGAAAAGATCTTGCGTCAGCTTCATGAAACCCTTCTTTGAGATCGGTCTGCCTCTCGGAATGGTACACTCGGCGCGTGTGGGAGAGATAGCGCATACGACTCTGCCTCATGAGTTTTTCCGCCAATCCTAACCGTCTATGCGTTCTCATAACACTCAAACTTGTGATGTGCCCATGTTGTATCCCATTCACGGGCTCTTCTTCCATCTTGGCCAGCACGTACCCGACAATCTTGGGAGGATCGTAGGGTGTTTTTTTAGGACGAGAAACATCGACGGCAACGTAGGAGAGTTGTGGCCAAGAAAGAGCATGGTAGAGGTAATACTTGAGGAAATAATTCTCTGGTAGATTCGTGATATTGGTGGACTGTACGTGGGGGATGTCGGCCGAGGTCAGTACGCGAATATCCATTGGTGCAAATCTGGACACTTTCAGGCTGCCTAGTCTGCACTCGTTGTGAGCTTGCGTGTTTGCAGTCGCTTGGAGAGTTGAGCTATGAGACCGTTGTTCGGTGATAGGACGATGGAAAGTAAAAGTTCTTGGCACTGTTCCCGAAGGCAGCTACCCATTTCCAAGCCGAGGTACAAGTATAGTCCGGCGATCAAGCAACTTCATGCCGCTGGCCGGGTAGCATCAACCACCAGGCTGGAGCCTGGAGAAAAGCCTTAGAGGTATGCAGGCCAAGGAATCATTGGAAGATATCTATTGGATACCAGGATATCTGGCCCTGAGAATGGAGAAACTGTAAGGACAACAATTTTCTTGTATTTCTCTCCATATCTGTCAGCTCGCTTGAATAATACTCTTCTTCGTCTACCCTTTCCACTGCATTTATCGATCCTCCAACTCCCATTGACCTACTTCCAACATGCGTACTGCAGATAATTCAGAGATGGATCGTATCCCTCCACCACCGTACACAGAGGTAGCAGATGCGTTGGACGCAGCAAGCCAGCCTGTTCAAGCAAGCCTACGGGGTGGCTACATGCGACCTTCGCTGCCGTCAGAAATGCCATCAGATGAGAACAATCTCTCGTCGGCTATCACGTACTTCGAAGATCCAGACGATCCCGACCTACATCGAGCTGGGGTATATCTGAGCTTGGCCGAATACACTATTACGTTCAATCGCGAAACCACTCGTGACGATCTTGCCTATCCTCTTCCCATCGAAACCTACATTGCTCGAGATGTGACAAGTCTCGATTGGTCCACTTTTGTCAACTTTCTATTCCCAATGCGTGACGAAGTCCGCCATGGAAAGCTCAGGCCAGAAAAAGACCCTCAGCGTCACTCATTCATCGAGGAAGACACTCCGGCGCGCCGAGACCGAATCCTAGCAGTCATCGCAGAATGGAATGAAAACTTTTTCAACCCTCGTCGAATCCACATAAAGGCAGGCTTCTCCCCACTGCCTTCATACCCCTCCTCCCGATCCACGGCCATACCATCAGTAGCACAAGGTCCATACGTCGAATCTCGGCCCCTTCAGCCCGCCCAACCGACCATGTATCGCGACGCTCCTGCTCAATGGTCCGCCAATCTGTCAACACCTCAGCCCATCCATCGGTCTCTATCCACCTCATCCTCCGACTCGTCTTCCTCCTCTTCCATGGATTCCGTAAAGTCCAAGGACCTCGAAGGTGTGGACCTTGGCCAGATTCGTTCCGCACTGCTCGCTTTCCAATTGGACGCAACCAAGAAAGACCATCTGCACGCGTCGGTGCGCCAGTTGCGTGATGGTTTTCGCTCGCAACGTCGGAATCTTTCGGGAAAGGACAGCAAAGAGCTAAAGAAGGAGAACAGGAATCAAAGAAAAGAGATAAAGAAAGAGGTCAAAGCTATTGTGAAAGAAGTCAAAGCTACCCGCAAAGCAGATCGCAAGGTTAGAAAAGCCGAGCGCAAAAGTCAAAGAGAGGGCAAGAGGGCTGAACGGGGTGGCAACGATCGAATCAAGGACTCCGAGGATACGGGACGAAGGGCAGAAGAGAGAGCTGCAGAAAAGGTCCGTCACGCTCAAGAAAGAGGCCGAGAAGCCGAAGGGCGGGCATCTGAGAAAGCGGCCAGGGCACATGGGAGAGCGAGAGAAGCACAGGCACAAGAGGCAACAGCGGTGGCTAGAGCTCAGAAGAGGGTTGCTGATGCGAGGGCGAGAGGATGGGACGGCGAAGCGGCGGCGACACAGCGAGCCCAGGAGATCAAGGCACGTACTGGTGCAGCTCAGCGGAGGGCGGGAGAGACTGCAGGGAGAGAGAGGTATGAAATTAACGGAGGACAGGAGACTGGTGTCCTGCTCACAGAGGATTGAAAATCAATCGGATTTTGGCTGATGACTTATGAAATTCTGATCTTAAAAGCAAGTCTGATCACAATGAAAACCCTTTTCTCACCTTACCTTACCTTTCGCAATCCCCATAGTGGTCGATAAACTGCAAGCTGGCCTTCTTAACGAGTTGATGGATCTCATTGGTTGCTGAGTGTCGAAAGTGTCTACCTGAGTCGTTGTCAACTTCAGGTACCTTACGATCCTGGGCTACCGTAGCCGGACTTGGCTCCGTCAACGGCCGCTAAAACCCCAGACCAAGGACCCCGCCCTGGGAACTCCTAATGCTGCAGGTTGGTCACGCGATGCTCGAGACGCATCGAAAGATGGGAAGATTCTGAATGTACCTATCATCCTTCCATGTACTTCCAATACTCAAAAAGACTTGGTGTGTCCGGTGGAAGAACGCTGGTCAGTATCGCAGTTGATAATTAGGTTTTGTAGTCCAGTAGTACGTGGTCCATGTCTTCAAGTGAATTTCCAACACCAATTCCTCATTGGACGAGCTCCCAGCTTTGCTTTCTTTGTTCTCATCACTTCAAAGTACCGTAACTAATCAACCCAACCACCAACAGCATCCACAGTCATCCTACTTTGATCAATTCCTCACCCAGCAACATAGCAAAACAAATCTTCCATAAGAGTAGCAACCAGTAAGTACTTCTACCCTTCAATATCCACTTTCCTGAACCTCCGTGCCCGCTTTCGTCCGCTCCATTCCCATGTCCTCGAATCTTGTTCCAATTTCGGGCGTTTCCTGTCACACCACTTTGCTGACTCTATAATGTTCAGTGACTCGCTCTCACAAACAGAACGACCGTGACCATGCCGGCCTCGCTGACGGCACTGCCGAAGAATCCCAGCACCTCCCTCGCTACTTCGCCAAGTCTGGTCACGTCGACGCCGACCCAAAGAAGGTGAAGAAAGAGGGTGGAGGCAAAGGCAATTGGTAAAATCTAATGACTTTGGCACAAACGAAGCGAAGCTCATCATGCCTCCAGGGGCACTCCCGGTGACGAGTCTCAGGACTATGGTTACAACTTCACCAATGCCCGTCGTCGTTCCAACAGCAGCTCTCACGGTCATGCCATTGGCGACTTCAAGACCAAGTTCGAGACTGTCGAGGCCGATCCCGTCTTTGAGGAAGAATACCATGGGGCAAAGGATGATGCTGGGGTAGATGAGCACTTGGGTCTCGAGAAGGGAGATAGCGCGGATAGCATCAGCGGTGGTAGCATTGAGGAAGAGGAGCATGCGAAGAAGGTCTAGATGGCTTTTGTGATGAGATACGGCCGATCACAGCACCGGAATCTGTCGACTCGGTGGACAACAGAGTGGCAGTGTCTGTTGGCTCCAAATAGCACACTGAATTTCCTTGTTGCTCTGCACATGGCAAATGGTAGATGCCTCACAAGTGCTTGCTGTTCGTTTAACAACAAGCAATGAAGTTCCTATTCCTCTGCGCACCGGGAAGAACTAGGCCTCTCCAAGGCCGCGTATCATCCATCCAAACATCCGGTGAACGATCAGTAATTTTAAACCTACAGTTGATGGACCTGAGCAGGACACAGTCGCAAGTCTCACCAAGAACAAGGCTGCAACTTACTACTTGCGAGCACTGGAGAGCTCGGGATATGCGACGTAGACTGTCAATGCCCACACGCGCCCACTCATGTTGATCTGAAATTTTCGTCTTGCGTAGTTCTCTGGGTTTGACGCTGCATTTGGAGTAACTCATCTAGGTTGATCGATTAAAATGGTAGATGGTAGATGATAAAGAATTTCGACTTGTGTGCCTCGCAGCAGTAGCGTAGCGCGACTTTTTTTCTTTTCGTGAGTCCGTGAATTTCTTGGCTGCGTACCGGAATTAACAACACCCTCCGTAATATCAACACAGCCAGCCCTGGCAATTCGGAACGGCTCTCTTTTCGCGTTCGTCTTGCTTGCAAGAACCTGAAAAATGCAGCGGTGATAATCATGTTCTCCCCGGACGTCGCAGTGCCTGCCAGCGTAGCTGCGCGCAACCCTCGAAGACGGCAGCGAACTGGCTCGGACGACTCAGTTGCCCTGCGACAAAATCCGAAGAGGATACGGCGATCAGGCTTGACTTCTGAAACATTTCAATCTCCAAATACCACAAAGGTTAACGGGTATATTGCTCATGTCGCAGAGGAGGCTTTCACAAATGGTCACGCGAAGGAACCTGCGAATCTACGATATGCGAGTGTGGATACTACGAGCTTGGCTATTAGGCATAGGGGAGTGAAGAAGGCGGAAAGAGAGAGACGGACGAGCAAGAACGACGGTAGCATCGAATTGGCAAGTTATCACGCCATGGAAGCCTTGCAAGACACTGACTCCAAATGAATCAGACTAAGAATGAGAACTACATCGTTACTCAACTGCCAACGACTCCTGAATCCGTCCGGGATTATCACACTTCAGGTATGGATGAGCATAGCCGAAGAGATGTGGCTGGAGGAGTCTGACTTGCGTACAGGAAAATGGCATGGAGAAATATCAACAAGCCTCGGCTATGCTCTCGCGATGACCCAGAGCCAAGCTATCGTATGGCGGTACGCGCAAGGGACAATGACAGCGGAGCAGCTCAAGCCGTTGAGTATCAAGCTCCAGCATCCTTCCAACAACTCTCGACATCCATTACCATTGGGAATTCTCGTGCCTACGTCTGCCGAACCAGCTTTGCTTGTCGTTATGCCCATAAGTGGAAAAATTACATACTGGGAGAGCCTTACAGGTGCCGCAAGTGTCGACTCAAATCGCCAAAGGCAACAAAGCGTCCAGGGTACTGTCAGCGGAATGCTGTCGGGAGAATTCATTACCAACATCACCGAGGCCGAACCACGCGCTTTCGTGCTCACCTTAAGTACAGGTAGACTCGCACACTTGATCGTAAGTGATCTTCAAGGGAAACCTTCAGTCAACGTCCAGTACCTGCGCGACAACGGCGCTCAAAGCGGCGGTGTGTTCGGAAGCTTGAGGGGCGTCTTTAGTAGCGCCGGCTGGAGAAAGGACATCGCTGCAGTCAGAGCCGGCAACTCATGGCAGAGAGGTCAGAGATATGTCATCGTCGCTACCTCAAAAGGCTCGTTTCAAACCTGGGACCTCAGCTGGAACGGAACGCATTCCTTGGTCAATGATGTCGATGCCAAAGATGACCTCCTCCACGCGTTGATAGAAGGAGCGGACGTCTTCCATGACAACAAAGAACACGTCTTTGAGGTACTGGATTGTACAATCTTACCAAGTGGAAGTTCAGGGAACGAGGTAGCAAAAATGCGTAAAAGTGGGGATTGCAAGCTTCTCACCTTGACGGTCCTAAAAGGAGCAGAGTCGTCTCGGTATGCCTTGATTGGTTTGACTCTTGCCGCTGGCTCTGTGACCATCGATGTGGTCCATCCTATCACCTGCTACACAACTTCGTTACCTGTAGAGACTCAGTTCAAACCCCAGGTCTTGGTACCGGAGCCAGCTCAGACGGCTTTCCTAATGTTCGAGAAAAGCATTGTCCTTGTATCGCTTGTGGAAATTGAAGAAACTCCAAGCTCTCAGCTACAAATGGAGGCTCGCACCCTCGCCGATCCCTTCCAAGACGCCCTCGACTTCCGGTCTACCAAACCCTACAGAATTGTTGGGTGCGCTTCGGAAATGTATGATCGGATTCATGCGCAATCATCTTGTGTGTTAATGATCTACGGTTTTGGTTTCGTCCGCATCTCTGCTTTGCCTATGAGGGAGGGGCAATCGGCTTTGGACAGAGCAACGGTGACGGCGAAGACTAAGCTTGAACAAGCAGTATTCTTCGGAAACCTGTCGCAAGACTTACTCGATTTCTCTCCAAGGTCTGAGATCTCCTTCAGTCAAGAAGAAGTCGAAGCCGCAGCACTGAGCGTGAGCCATTCTATTATGAGCTCTACTTCGGTTTACATGCCTTCAATAAGTCCATCGATGGACCAGCAGCTCCAACGGAGGTCGACAGCTCTTGCTGATATGAACAAACATCTCAGACAGTATTATCCGCCTCTTAGTAGACTTACACGGTGGAAGCTCTTGTGGAATGCCGAGAAGATGGCTGCTGCGAAAGCTCTGTGGCGATGCTACAATGCAATCATCAGCAATCAGAATAGATCGTCCAATGACAGAAGTGTTTTAGCAGAGCTCATTGAAAGCCTTCACGAATCCCTGAAGACGGAAAACCAACCCGAGCATCATGAAACAGATGGAGTCAGGCATTGGTTCATCCATGATGTCTGGCGTTTGGAATACATTATTCCCTGGGCCCAAAACATGGTAGAGCTGATGTTCGAAAATGCCGTGGAGGACAACAAGAGGATCGAGCCAGCGATCCAAGCAAGACTTGTCAGTGAAGCTAACGATATTCAACTATCTAGCCTTGAGACGGCTTTCGGCTTTCGTGAGGCTAATATGGCGGCTTATGGCCTTGATGATGAAGCTATGATTGACGGGGTTCTGCTGCGTGGCTATGAAGATTTGCCAGAGATCTGGACTTCGACAGCGAACATTGTGGAAAGAGTAAAGACAATGACTGATGTATCTCGAGAATTGGCCTGCCTCGGTGAGGATGATGATGCAAATGAAGGTGACCCATTGCCAGATCTGGTCCTGAAGCTTGCAGCCGACAATCCTCGGCAGGTACAAATCTGTTGCCAAACGTACATTGAGAGGTTCCGTTGGCTGCAGTCTCGACCGGAACCAGAAAGTAGAGCCGCCGGAGAGAAGCTCAAGCAGGCCCATTTCGCGGTAAGAAAGGCATTGTTCAAAAGTCTACCAGACGTTGGTCAGCCAGAGAAGGGGATCTATCTAGCCGAGAAATATCGCGACATGGACGCATTAGCCGACATCATCGAAGGCGAAATGCTTTCGGTAGAATCTGATGAAACGGTGCGGCTACTCGAAGAGCGCATATACTCGTACTTTGTCAAATTTGGCACAAAGTGGTCAAATGCTTTTTTCAAAAAGCACCTCGACGGCGGTAAGGCTGTGGGTATACTTAACGGCAACGCCAACTTCAAAAAGTATTTGACACAATTCTTTCGGCATCAACCCAGTTACGCAAAGCTAGGCTGGATTCATGAAGTTGCATCCGAGCAAAGCTATGCAGCCGCCGCAGAAGGCTTGATGCTAGCGCAAAAACAGGAGACGAATCTTTGGAGCCGGAAGGTCTCACTGAGTATGAGCAAATTAAGTCTCTTAGCGGCGACTGGGAAAGGGCAGGTCAAAGACAAGAGCGCGAAAGATGCCACCCAAACAATCGACAAAGATCTAGCCGTTGTTGCTGTCCAAGAAAAATTGTGCAATTACGTGAAGCCAACAATTCGCAACGCGCTTGATGCCGACGCCGAGGTAGACTTGGCTTTGCAGAAGTACGGCTCCAACGTGCAAGGCAAGTCTACACTACGGCATAGCCTGGAGGGACACTTCCGCAAAATGCTAGCTCTTGAAGCCTTACCTCCGGAAGCTCTGATCGATACTCTTACCCTCCTCGGCGGTGAGGGCGCTTCTCCGGACAACGAAGGCTTCATGGGTTCCCGCTTCTTCTACGCCTTCAAGGTGATGAGATTAGCCTCTGCCGAAACGAGTGACCCTGGATTCAAAGAGCTGCAAGAGAAATTTATCTGGAGGCGATGCATGATCCAGGATGACTGGAAGGCTATCAACCGTACTGAGCTTAAAGACGATGCCCAGGCCGAGGTCGAGACTAGCGCTACAGCCCTCTTTAAGACTTTGAGAGAAGGATTCAGGACCGGCTTCTGGGACAAGGCTGTACCTCTTCCTCCCGCGAAAGTTCTCGAGGCTGGCATCAGTATTGAAGCTCTTCGTGTATCCTCACATTTTGCCAACATTCCTGAAAACTCGCTAGCAGTGTTAGCGCAAGATCTGGGGAAGGAGGACGAGCTGTTGGAGAAGTATATGGAGGAGGGCCGGCTGGACGAAAGATGGAAAGGTGTCGTTGAGGCCGCAAAGGCTTCGGCGAGAGACGAGGCAGACTCCAAGGGTGAAGAGCAACTTAGGATTCGAAACGTTCAGGAGGAATTCACTGCTAGGATGATAGAGAAGGATCGAGAAGCCTATCCAAAGGCGGGTAGCAGAGAGGATGATACAACCATTGATGACCAAGGCGACGTGATCATGGGCATGTGATGAGCCAGGATACCCACTTAGCATCTCAGCGGGAGACGATGGGAGGACATCCATGAGCGTTGATGAGCATTTCGAGGCGGCTCGGTTCACTGCAGGCGCCTGCATAATGCAACGGGCATTTGACGGATGATACTGAACGCTTGGAGAGCGTGTGACCTAAAAGTGTACTACTACCGAGCCTAGTCAGTCCGACTCATTCGCATGTTCATTGATAGTCTCTTTTCTCATTCGCAATGCTGTCTTTCCCCTATACTCTCCGCTGGTTTCTTGATCAAGTGAGCCGACCGGATTCTATACCAAACGGTGGCTCCGTCCGACTGCTTGGAAAACCTTTAGCCGTTTGTACTGGCCTCCTGATTGCTCGATTCCAACAGATCAACTGTAGCCCGTAGGTTGTTCTTGGATTGCATCCCCCTTCTTTAATTGCACGGCGCTCCAATGGATTCTCTTCTTTTTATTGGCCATATCCCACGCTACACGCGGACCTACTGGCATGGAACTCCCACTTGTCATGGGCGTCTTGCTCTCTTCTCAGCTTCACAGTCAACACCAGGTCACGATTCGTAAGTTGAGCTTCGAGAGCAAAAGCTTCTCTCTTACTCGTCCAGTAGTTGTTGGGATCTGTACGTTTCGGAAGCCACGCTGACCTCGCAAACTCCTGTAGGCTCTGAGGAGCACGCCAACAAGTACCCATACACCACCTCTTTCACGACTTCGCAAGCCGCAATTTTCACCGCCCTGAAGAGGGCGAGCGGTCGCAACGATTGACAGGTCAAAGAGAATGACTCGGAGGCCCAAACGCAACAGGGGATGGCGAAGGATGCGAGGGGCCAGCCCGAGGGGACGTACGATTTGATTTTTGCAACGACGGTTTGAGCAGAGAATGGTGCAGATTATTTGACGGTCAGGAAATTAGCAGCAGGAGTTTGGGACTTGAGGAGGAGTATTCAGATGTGATGACGGAAGAGGTGCTGGAAGGGAACAGCCATCAGGTGAAATGATAGTAGATAAGTCTGCAGGGGAAGATGAAGAAAACCCCAGCGTTTTCCCTCTCTTCGCCCAACCCAATTTGGGGTGATATTGGGCAAAGCATTCTCTCACTTTTCCCACTCTACCGGTACGCTTTCTCGTTACCATTGAGCGTTCAGTATCAATGATCAGGACATCTCACAACAGCACTGAGTATATAGAACATTTGATTTTTATTTCCTCCAATTATAGAATTACTGTGTCTCTTCCGCTCTGTCGTTGGCGCCCAAGGGATGCTCCCACGTCGGGAAAAAAAAGAAGAAAAGATCCCCGTCATGATTCGTTGAATTCGCCACCGATATGTTGTGGCTTGGCTGGCAAAAGGGGTTTTGGGACTGGGTGAAAGTGTGGAGGTGAAGAATGTGAAATGAGGCAATGTGTGACTTTTGAACAAGGTTTGATTGAGAGCAAAGCAATGGTCAAAAGCGAGAGTCTAGCGGCCGTCTCGAGCCAGCCACGATGCATAGAAACAAACATGCTCGCCAGTAATGCCGTCGCACAGGAAAACGCCGGGAACCTTGTGGCAATGTTTTGGAGCCAAACGCAACATCGACTCTGAATGTATAGATGTCCGTTCGATGGAAGAGGCAATGCAGGCGTGGGATGGGTGGACTTTGGAGATACATCAATTTCTTTCTAGTATCAGCGCGGGGCTTCAAGCTCGGAAAAAGTTAGGCGGAGAGGAGAAATATTCGTACCAGGATCGGCTCGGCATCTGGCTACCTGCTGCAGCATAAGACTTTCATGATCTTCTGAAGGGCTGAGGGCTGCGTCTCGGCATTCTGCTGTCTCGGTCCTTGTTGAGCGGCTGACGACTGATTCAGACCTGGATTAACCTGGCTCATTCGGTTGGGGAGGTTCGCTGTTGAGTTCTGAAATTGTGCCTGAGTCGACGCCGTCGGTGTGACGATATCTGTGAGACCCCCCGCCGCTCCGCTTTGACGCTTTGGTAGCGCTGCGCCAGAGGCGCCTGGCCGTTCGCGCGTTTTGCCCACTCCCGGTTTCGCGGGAGATGGGGGCAGGGGCTGCGCGGCGTTTAAACGAAGGGCAGTGACTCCTGGTGTCCCAGGTCCTCGTGGTGTATCAGCTCCGCCGCCGAGCGCCCGGGCTGACGAGTTGGGTACTGCATTTGCTGCATGCAGGTGCTGCGAGGGGTGGTGCTTCATGGCCTCCCATCCTTTGCCATTGTTGAGCTTCATCCAGTCATACTCTCCATCTTCGACTTCGCCGGTGTTCTTGAGCGCTTGAGTGAACAATTCGCGCAGATAGTCGTAGTCTGGAGTATCTTCAAAGCCAAGATTCCTGACGTAGCTAAGGTATTTGTTGAACTCCTCTGCCACTGTGTTCAGTTTAATATCATCCCTTCTCGATAAAATATAGAAACCTACCAGGATAGCCATCGCACAGATCCTTGATAGCGGTAGTCTGCTTCTTCTCTCCGATCTTTTCGTACTTCTGCTTGTTCGTCGCTGCTTTCAAGCCCTGCCATGGTAGACCGCCACGCAGGAAGTACATGAAGACGTGTCCCAATGCTTCAAGATCGTCTCTTCGCGATTGCTCCCGCCCCAAATGCGTATTTATACTCATATATCGCGCAGTACCGGACAGCGATTTCCGTTCTCTGTATGGTATGTGTTGTTTCGTTTTGGGATCTCGGTATTGCTTCGCCATGCCAAAGTCAACGACGTGAATGACATTTGCTGATTTAGAGCCAGGTCTGCCGATGAGGAAGTTGTCAGGCTTGATGTCTCGGTAGATTAAATTCTTCTCATGGATGGTCTGGACTCTCGATAACTATGGAATGGTGAGTATCAATTGCCTAACGATACGTGAAATCATTCGCCGGGATCGTACCATCTGCTTCGCCACCATGACCACTGTCTTTGCTGAAAACCGTCGATTGCAGTGGTCGAACAGATCTTCCAGGGAAGGTCCTAGGAGATCGATAACGAGTATGTTGTGAAGACCTTCTTGGCCAAAATAGTAGACATTAGGTATGCCAGCTAAACAATATTAGCAAACCCGCACTCTAGGAGCGCTGGCGGAGACTTACGGCAGCCCACTAGTATTTTGTAGGTTCGGTATTCATCGCGCAATTGTGGCGCATCGCTTTTCCTCGGTTCCTGGCCCTAGTCAGCATTTACAAGGAGATATCTCACCATGCATGAAACACACAAATTTGATTGCGACTTGTTGGTTGTTCAGCAGATTTGTGCCCTCGAATATGACACCAAATGAACCCTCGCCAATCTTCTTACCAACACGGTAATGGACACCCACCACGTTCGAGGAAGAGGACGCCATAGCGTAGTGTAGAAGGCCGTCGCGGGCGAGTCGGAGCTCTCTCTCCTGCGGGGTCTCGTCGTCCTTATCAAACGCAGCTTCCAACTCGTATTTTTCAACTTGGTAGTTTTTGTCGGCCTCGCGACTTTGTGCTGGGGTATTGTTAGCTAATCGCTGTCTAGAAGTGATAGGCATGTTTGCAAAGAGATATTACATGGTCAAATTGGTGGTGCTATTTCCCGCTCTGTGATTTGATCTGAAGGCGTCGCAATGAATGAGCATACCAAGTCTGGGTGTGCTTTGGTAGCTGACTCGTTCCTTCCGCTGTTGTTGAGTCGATAATCCGCTCGCGCTGCCCGCTCCTGATATCCACCTCGGCCTTCTTCAATCCAGATCTGGCGATATGTTGACTATTCCATTGATGCCTGAGGAATCATGTGAACTGATTCGCAGTGGTTTTGATTGTTGTGATTGGTGAATAGTGATGCTGGAAAGGAGAGAGGATGGCTTGCTAAGCCCAGCCTGACACCCCAGTTCGTTAGAGTACCGTCAAACCGACAGCGGGGCACAGGGAATTAAGAATTAAAGACAATGAAGGGAGCAATGAACAGCGATGTAATTAAATGTAGGTGCGCAGGCTGTTGTTGTTATGGTGGTGAGGATGTATGAGTGCCGTGTGAAGCAATGGCTCTTGTCAAATGAGCGCCAAATCACACTAAACCCGGCACGGTTTAGATTCTAATGTTCTGCTCTACTGGTACTCTGCACCTTGACAGTCTCATATCTTGTTTCTATACATGGAAAACTGTATATCTTGGACTTTCTTGTATGCTATCTGCGTAAACATGTATCATTCTACAGAGCAAGCTCTTTTTGGTGTGTAGTTGAACCAAAAAGAGGATACATCAAAGCGGCGCAGCTCCACTGCTTAAGCATGTCAGTTCAAGGCCTCCATGCAACTGATACGATGGTCAGATTCAGGCTTTAAAAGAGGATCTTATAGTAAGCTGGGAATTGCAGCTTCACCACTGCGTCAGATCGACTTGACCCTCGGAAACCATCCCCTAGAATAGCTATCTCGAAGGTTTGATACCTCAAATGAGCCATTCATTGCGGCAGCTTACCTAGCCTACACTGCTCTTCGGTTGACGCTTGCTCTATTTTGACTCCATTTCCTTTTTGTTCCTACGCTGCTTGCTCAAGCTTGGGGAGTAACGTGGCCGTCTTACCTTGAAACGACGCGACATACTCTTTTGCCTACCAAGTCCATTTCCATAGTAAGCATTTTCGGCTGCAAAGGAGGCGACAAGGTCTTGATCCTCCGAGTCCCCGTCACCCAGTACGAGCCTTCTATGCGCCTCCCACACTTTCTCTGGCGGGTTGAGAAGCCCGAAAGGATGTCTACAGCCCTCAGCCGCGCCGTTAGCTACGATACCACCTGGACCTGCACGTTCGCCGACATCCGAATCATCGTCGCGCGATTCCATAGGCACTGGTGCTACCCATATTGCATCCGTATGTCCTAGTAGAGGTTCAACATGGAGTTCATGGAACGTCATCCACATTTCTGCGTCAGTCCTCGTACCATCGTTCCTGATGCATCGTTCATATGCTGCTAAGACATCTGGGGATGGCACACTAGACGCGAAGATGCGCCTCGATTCAATGCTTAAAGCAACGCGGCAGCTGTGAAGGTAGGGGCCACGGTCATGAGGATAGTTGATTGGACAGAAAGGGGAGGTACAGCCTTGAGACGGGTTCGTTGCATTGACAACCAAGGAAGTAATGCACGGAGGCGTCGATGGCGCGGTTGAGTTACTAGGGGAAGAACTCGATGGAGGAGTAATAATCGAGGTAGTCGCCATAACCAATACTTCTCGCGCTGGCTCGTAATGATCGGCTGCTGTTCAGCTTGAAGTTTGTTGAAGAGGAATGTGGGTATTGCGAAAATTTCTTGAAGAAAGGCAGCAATAGAGTATGTGGACGATTGAAATCGGGATCATGTTTTCTAATTCTTTGAAACGTCGGAACAATGCAGCGCGCTTCAAACAAAGGCTGTTGGTTCAACGTTTTCTGTTGCAGAGAGTATAAGATATCCATCTCTAGGCTTTGTCGACGCTCTTCACAACAAGTGCATGCTCAGCATTACAATGATCAATGCCATGTGGGGGACAGTATGACCAAACCAGAAAATAGACATGGGAGTCTAGGCTCGATTTTTGTTAGGACAGATAAATGTGGGATCGATCGATCAGCTGGATGTTGAATTACCGCATCTTATGGCTAAGGGTGCCTTTCTAACGCAGCGGTCTTGCTCTCTTCGAAGCTAAGAAAGGGACCGGCACATGCTTGAAGCTTTCAAGGGTCTGCTCGAGTCGTAAAATTGAAAGCTAGCCCGTTCTTCCTAGCATCATGAGACCAGAGTCTGTGCGGTTGTTAGACAAAGTTGGCAACTTGCACTGAAACACACACCGATCTGAATGTTCTGGCCTGTCATGGAGCTGTTTCTCGCTGCAGCAACGAATGCGTCTGCACAGTCTTCAAGGCCAGTCTGCTCGAGGATCAGCTTGCATAAAATCTCGCGCTGATTGTCGCCAGACAAACCTCTTTCTTTAGGTAGGCTTTCTCTTTCAGCTCCTGAAGCGTTTCCGGTGTGAAGTTGGCGCCCTAGATTGGCGTCAGTCTAAAGAACGCATGGAATTTCGTAAAGTCTCACCCATTCTGTCAAGAGCAGTCCGGGAAGAACAGCATTAACTCTGACCTTCGGGCCTTGAGTCGAGGCTAAACACTTCACTAGTTGGAGTCCTTGAAGAAGAACATCAGTAATTCCTGCCGCCACTACGGTTGATAGAGTCCTAACCTGCAGCTTTGGTGACGGAGTATGCCATGCTGCTGCCGGAGGCCGCGATGCCCGCAACCGACGAAGTCAGCAAAAAAACTCCACCCTCTGCATTGGCGTTCAACGTTGGCAAAGCTTCCCGAAAGATATGCAGGTTTGCTTTGCAGTTGACGGCCCAGCACTGTATTCGAGTCAACGGCATCCCGTAAAAGGACTCTGCTTCAATACCTTATCCCATTCGGCTTCACTGAGGGCATCAAGGTCCCCGAATCTAGTGAATTTCGTCCAGCCCTTTGTACGTCAGACGAGGTCATAATATTGCAATAAAACGTTCCAGTCATAAAGCCTAACAATGCGAACGGCGGAACCTACTGCATTTGAGATAATGACGTCCAGACCACCCAATCCAGCGATGGCTTCTTGCACAATTCTCTCACAATCCGCAAGCTTTCCCACATCCTGACCAAGCTGTCAGACCGCTATTCGATGTATGAGAGCGACGAATTCGAAATCATACTCCTTGGATCAGGATGGGCTTGGTCTTATACTCTCTCTCTATCTTCTCGGCCACCTGATCCGCTTTTTCTTGACTTGCATTGTAATTTATGGCCAGCTTGCAACTTTCAGCGGCGAACTTCTCCGCTACAAGAGCGCCTAGGCCCCTACAGTTTTGGGTAGTTCTACCTCAGCTTCAAGCCATACGTGTCGCTGGATGACTTAGGCTGTTTACCTCGATGCTCCTGTAATCAGTACCTTCCTGCCCTTGAGATTGTAAGGCATTGCTTCGTCGTTGCTTTGGTGTCAATCTCTTGCGACTCTACTAAATCTTGTCTTTCGTCTGAAGTCGATGTTCAGCGTCACCAAGCCCCACATGAGTCATCCCCGCAACGGACCCTGCAGATTCCGGCAATAGCCACCAGCCGCTTTTGCATTTTTTTCCTTTTCAGATATCATACTACGATCGCGACAGCTTTGAGGCGTTCTGGTCTAGTGACCATCGACCGAATCCATAGAAAGCAAAACCTGGATCATCGAATCATGCTGACGAGGTGTGCCGTGGTCAATCATGTCACCCTTTTTGGCAGCTCGTAAGGGCGGGGCTTCTACGCCGCCCTCAAACTTGATCCTATCGACCTTGAGCACTCGGTCATCACAAGTCCGCACGTAAGCGACTCGTTCATCGGCACAATCGTTGTTTCCGAATACCACTAGCCGTCCAACAGGAAGATCTGTACTACTAGCAACCTCTTCTGATATCGTAAAGCCCGTGGACCAAATTAACCTCCGTACTTTTCGTGCATTTTTGACGAAGCTCCATAGAGGACCAATGGCAAGATGTCTTCGAATGATTACTTCAGCGGTCCATGTATTCCAGTCTATGAATCTATCCCGCGAGGTTATCTTTGGTGCTGCACGTGCTGCCGCTATAATCCGATCATCTTGGAGACTATTCGGACCCTTCGCTGATGGTAGATAGAGACGATTATTGATGGATTGCACAAGTATTTCCGCGCCTTTGGAGGACGTCAGGGTCAACAGTTCGGGCACCGTACTACACCCATGCTCGAATCCAGGGTAGGGCGTCTGGGCGAGAATGGTACCCTGATCGAATCGCTCGGGATGTAATGTCTGCACAGTCACTCCAGATCTTTGGCATCCAGATAGAAGAGTATGATGTAGTGGGGCAGGACCATGGAAGCTACATGCATTAGTTGACTCTGGAAAAGCACTGGGTGAGTGCTTTGGTCTCTTACTCGGGTAACATGGAAGGGTGGACGTTGAGCCCTCCATATCTGGCTCCTTCGAGAATTCTTGGAGGTATAAAAAGACCAAAGGAGACGGCAACGATCATGTTTATTGGCAAGCCATTAGGTATCGGTGGCTAGATCCATTAACACTGGTAATTTTTTACCGTGAAAACATGAAAGTCATATGAGACTGACCTTCCACTTGGTGAACGTGTCAATCTCATGTAAAGACAAAGCCAATTCCTTTGCAACGAGGGAAATGGGTACTAACATTGGTTTAGAATGGACACGAGGAATCGAGCATGGAGGACTTTACCTTCCCGTGTATCTTTAAGGCCTCTACCTACGTGCTTGGGCGGTCGACAGACAACATCGATTGACTCGATCAAGCCCTCGTCTCGCTCATGCTCCTTGTGTAAGGCCCGGAGGGACGTAATACTGAACTCATCAGATCCGCAGAAAAGGATACGCAAAGGTTCGAAGGTTGCGTGACTTGTGTAGGAACGTAGTTGAAATATCCTTCCAATGAGATACTTGATTGATCGAGAGGATGGCTGTGGTCGCATTATTTCTTGAAGCGAGGGTTTTTCGCGATTCGGGATGTTTCCGTCTCGCTCAAAATTCTAAGGTAGGCTTTTAGATATATCTGTACCTCTACAAGTATAGCTTTGTCCTTTTGTTATAAAATTTTCATAGTCTAGCAGCGTAGGACTCGTAGCGATGAGAAGATTAATCTATACACAGATTCTTTATGATCCGACTTGTACTTGTATTAGGGGCCTTGACAGAGCTCAATGTCAAGCATTGCTGAGAATATTGACTAGCACGCTAACTGAAATTCCCCTCAGGTAATACTTTAGGCATGCAGGGACCGAGCTTAGCGCCAAGCCTAAGATACTTTACTTAACTCCTGCCAAGACTCGATCTCTTGGCAGAACCCGCTGCCCCACACTGTACTTGACATGAGTGAGGAAAGGTAGGTGCGACCGGTCAATGGCTATCATGACATTGTCAAATGCCTCTGCTAAAATGGACAGGGCCGTGGTCTCGAGGAACACGTCTCCATCCATCGTTATCGACTTAGCTAGCGACCTCAGCGACTGGGTCCCTTCGCCTTGGCTCAATCGGCATCAACCTCCTAGGAGATAGATCAGCCGATCACTATTGCAATGACCAATAACGAGAACCAGCCTCTCCTTCAGGATGGCGATTTGGAAGAGCGCCAATCTGGGTCAAGACAAAGCTATCACGGCATCGTTGTCGCAGTCTCCTATGACAACTCAACGCGCAAGCAGACTAGGCGCTTCCTCTCCTCCATATACGGCCACTATGCTGTGTTGCTACTTGTGTCCATGGATGTGGGCTGTATCTTTGCCGATTTCCTCATCAGCCTATACATCTGTGACCATTCTTGTGGCAAAGGTGATAGCGTTGGGGATGGCCTGCCTAGAGCACAGGATGCGCTCGGGATTGTCAGTCTTGTGTTCAGCTGCCTGTTCATGGTTGAGTTGCTGGCGAGTATTTGGGCCTTTGGCTTCAAGTTAGTAGTACGATTTCGGGCAGATCAATCATTGCTAACAGCTAATATAGTTTCTTCAAATCCAAATTCCACTGCTTTGATGCTGCAATCATTGTCGCGGGCTTCATCATTGACGTTTGTATGTACATTCCAGAGCAAAACCTAGCTCCTTTATTACCCAAAGTTGCTCGACTACTTATATGTGTGCCCCGAAGAAGAGACGCTGACCCCAAACTCTCCATAGGCCTAAAGGATGTGCTTGAGGAGGCTGCGTCAATCGTTGTCATACTGAGACTATGGCGCGTGTTCAAAATCGTGGAGGAATTCAGTGCTGGAGCCTCAGACCAAATGGAAGTACTTGGTGAGAAGATGGAAAAACTGGAGGCAGAAAATCAAGGGTTGAAGCGTGAGTTGAGAGCTTTGAAAGATGATGATAGTGGGCAATGAGTGTGCATGTTGGCGCGAGGCGTCTTATCATCCGGAGGATTGGTGACTTTGCTTAGAGCTTCTTGGACTTCATGAAGATGGGCTATTCCTGTTGTAGCACTCACACCATTGTCTAATCCGTTTTAATGCACGTTATTCTTATTAATCTATATGTTCGGGATGAGTCTGCAAGTATTCCTTAGAGTGGGCCATGTATGTATGTGTAAAGTCACTGAGACTGCCAAACAGGGGTCCACGGCTATACTTCGGTATCCGGCTGGCGCTGGTGCGCCACTGAATGAATGAGTGAGCATGATGTGTGTCTGGCACATTGAGCAATATAGATAATACACCCAGCCGTCTACTAAGAAAATTCCGGTCGGCCTCAGTGTCAAGTTGCAATAAATCAGTTCCCTAAAGCTACTCTGCGCTCTCGTCGGTGTATGAGCTCCCCAGATCAACTCTCTTTATTGGCCTGAACAATCCTGTTGATCCTCACGGCCGACCCTCGAAAATTAGACCGTTCGTTCCCTGTATCCCTGTTCGCTGGCCTACGAACAAGACCACAGAGTGACTAGAAGAATCTCGCAGCTGGTCAAAATATGGGCCAGACACTATCTGAGCCGGTAGTCGAGAAGGTGCGTGTTCCTGGCCAAACCTGAGTCGCAAACATCGAGGTCGCGTGATGTGCTTGGTTGCTCGCTTCCATAATTGGCGGCTCACTATCAAAGGATCCTGCTGTTCTAAATCCCCTTGAATTGTAGCTGACAGTCTTGTAACCTAGATCTCTGACGACGGCCAAGATGATCGAGTGGCATTCGGCGTGTCTGCTATGCAAGGGTGGCGTATCAGTATGGAGGATGCACATGCGGCTGTTCTAGATTTGCAAGCAGAAGATGCAGACAAAGGATTTGTAGCTGCAACTCCGGAAGACCGACTGAGCTTCTTCGGGGTATACGACGGGCATGGCGGAGACAGGGTTGCGCTGTTTGCGGGCGAGAACATACACAAGATTCTAGCAAAGCAAGAAGCGTTCAAGAAAAAGGATTTTGAGCAAGCGCTCAAAGACGGATTCCTCGCAACGGATCGAGCAATTTTGAGCGGTGAGTTCTCGAACTTTGGGTTGGAAGTGCCAACCTGATTGGCGTATATACAGATCCGAAATACGAGGAAGAGGTTTCCGGCTGCACCGCATCTGTCGGGTTGATCTCGAAAACTACGATATACGTGGTCAGTGACATTCTTTGATCCCTTCAGAAGGCATCGTCTGTTAACAAGCCCTCAGGGAAATGCTGGTGACTCACGTTCTGTTCTTGGGGTTAAAGGCAGAGCAAAGCCTTTATCGTACGATCATAAGCCTCAAAACGAGGGTAAGAGTTCATTGCTTTGTCTCCTAGGGCTGTGACTTACTGTTAAAACAGGAGAGAAAGCTCGAATATGTGCTGCCGGAGGTTTCGTTGATTTTGGTCGTGTCAATGGCAACCTTGCGCTATCTCGAGCCATCGGAGATTTCGAGTTCAAGAAGAGCGCTGAGCTCTCACCGGAGCAGCAAATTGTGACAGCATTTCCTGACGTTATTGCTCACACAATTACCGATGACGACGAGTTCCTTGTTATTGCTTGTGATGGTACGCATAGAAGTAGCTGTGTATAACGCATGTACGTTCACTGACAGACATTGTCTAGGGATATGGGACTGTCAGTCTTCGCAAGCTGTCGTCGAATTTGTGAGACGCGGTATCGCGGCCAAGCAGGAGCTCTCCAAAATCAGCGAAAACATGATGGACAACTGCCTCGCCTCAAATAGCGAAACTGGGGGCGTAGGTTGTGACAACATGACAATGATCGTCATTGCTCTTCTGAGGGGTAAGAGCAAGGACGAGTGGTACAAAGAGATTGGCGATAGGGTAGCCAAGGGTGACGGTCCGTGTGCACCGCCAGAATATGGTATTTCATCTTCTATACCTGCATATATGTATTGATACTAAAGGAGAGTTCAACAGCAGAATTTCGCGGTCCCGGTATGCGACAGAATTTCGAAGACAGTGGGGATGACTATGATCTCGACCTGGATCAGCGTAATCGCGGTGTGGGAGGTCGATCCGGCAGAATTATACTCCTCGGAGATGGGACTGAAGTCTTGACTGACAGTGATGAAACGGAGATGTTTGATCATGAAGAGGAAGACAAGGACCTTGCAAGTCAAGTCACCAAGGGTCAAACGAAGTTGGACAATGAGAGCAGAAGCGGACGGGAGGAGACTCCGGGACCTGATGAGAGGCAGCAGACACCCGAGCCCATTGAGCAAAATCCGTTTGAAACGCCTTCGTCGATCACATCAGACAAGTCCGACGCCATCGAGACAGCAAAAGCAAACTTCAAAGCGATTCCAGAGAGCGCTCTACCTGAGAAGCTTGTCACTCCGCCAACAACCCAGGATAAGAAGTAGACGCCGATGTGTCCAACCATTCTCAGCCTGACGTTCGGATCGTTTCCTTGCGGCTCGTTAGGACCTTCACGAGCTACGATTCTATGTATCTGTCACGAGTTTGTGACTACCCTTGACTAGCGATCATCATCATACTCTACGGTACACCTGGCGGTTTCACCAGCCGGGGCATCGCTCTGGACTCATCGTTTGCCGCCTTCCACCACGCATTGTCGGATCTAGAGCGATGGACTTCTCCATAGCGTTTCATATCCCTCGAATACCTTGATTCCCCTTTTTTTTTCCGGCTCTCAATTCTCCACGTGCCACTTGTGCACGTCCTGCATCACCAGGAGTTATGTTACGATCGGATAGACACATAAAGCGGAGGCATCTATGTTCGCCTTCGATTTGTTCAAAGAGTATCTCACACAGTACTCTCTTAGGCCAAGCTATACGGGAGAAGGTCGTCGTTGCCGAGTACAATTCCCACGTTACTGGTATGTGAAAATAGGGGGTGTCATCCGTGCCTCAATGGTATAGAGCATGTTAACTGGAATTTTATACACATAAATTTTGATCAAATCCTCGAACGACTTCCAAGTGATGTTTCCTGATGTCTGTAGGGCTGACCGTAGAAAGCTGTGATGACGATTTGAGCGTAGCAGAAGCAAGGAACCTCGAGATTCTATTGCCCACCCTTGAATTTCTTCCTATTCGAGCTACTTATGTATGTGACAGGGTCGCCAATAACGAAAGATCTGTACATACTTCGACTCCCAAGATTTAATTGGTGTTCGACTTTTCCCCCCTCAACCCCAGCCTTTGCTTCTCCCTCGACCTATTTTAATGCGAGCTCGCGTTCCAAAACTCCCCAAAAAAAACACGTCCCTACTATATTGAAAGACTCCTATATTAATCTATCATAATACCATGTCGTCCCCTTCATCATCGGGTTCCGCTAAGAGAAAGCGTACCTCAACTCTACAAAGCTCGACAAAACAATCTTCGACTGCAGACCTCCTCCAGCCATCATCTCGAGATGCTTCAGGCGAAGACGCGGCGGACTCCGCTTCCCAAGCTGTTACCACTATAAAGCACAAGAAGTCTGCAGCATCTGCTGACTCGACCGGCGCATCCAATAAAAGACCAAGAACAAGATCCAACGCAGCGGACGGTTCCACCAGCAATGGTGCTATCCCGAGTATCAACAACGCGGACGCCGAGGACAGTGAAAATACAGTTGAGGAAGGAGGCCGCACGAAACGCAGGACAAAGAGTTCTTCCAACAAACAGCGGCCAGACTTGAACACGGCAGATCGCAAAGCAATGCCTCCGCCAGCTAAAGGAGGTTTGCAAGATCCCGTTGGATTCCACACCAATCCACCACCCACAGGTCGGCCAGTGCGAATCTACGCTGATGGGGTCTTTGATTTGTTCCATCTTGGGTGGGTGCCAATTACATCCACCATGCACTTATCTTCATTGACCCGGGAAATAGGCACATGCGGCAATTGGAGCAGGCAAAGAATGCTTTCCCCGACGTATATCTTATGGTGGGAGTCACTGGCGACGCGGAGACGCACAAACGCAAGGGCTTGACGGTCCTATCTGGTGCCGAACGAGCAGAGACTCTCCGCCATTGCAAATGGGTCGACGAAGTCATCCCGAATTGTCCCTGGATAGTGACACCCGATTTCCTAGAGAAACACAAGATTGATTACGTGGCTCACGATGACTTGCCCTATGGAGCGGATGAGGGAGACGATATCTACACACCCATAAAAAGAGAGGGCAAATTCCTAGTCACGCAAAGGACAGAGGGCGTTAGTACCACAGGGATCATCACAAAGTATGCTCAACCCCCTGAGCTTCCGCTGCTTTGATCGCTGACCAGCTCTTTAGGATTGTCAGAGACTACGAGAAATATATCGCTCGTCAATTCAAACGCGGCACATCTCGCCAGGAATTAAATGTCTCATGGCTCAAGAAGAACGAGCTTGATCTAAAACGCCACGCTATGGAGCTACGTGATAGCGTTCGAAACAACTGGTCTACCACAGGCCAGGAGCTCACCAAGGAGCTGCGGCAATTCTGGCAGAGCAGTAGGCCCGGCAGCCCTGCGAGGGGCCTTGGTAGGAACGGTAGCGATGCTGACCTAGACCGTTCCGGAGGCCAGAAATCGAGTCCTGCAGCTCTTGCGCATCTAGCGCACCTTGATATTCCGAGACCAGAGAGCCCTGGTGGCGGTCGTGGGGCAAGCAGCGACTTTGCAACAGGTTACAGCCTAGGTCTGATTGGGGGTGTGAGATCTTGGGTAGGTCGAAAAGTCGCACTACATGTTGAATGGTCACTGAAAATCACGCAGATGACCCGAAGTCGTACCTCCCTGCGTGGAAGTCAGCCTGATAGTGGCGAAAGCGAGGACGACAGCTCTGACGCAAAGAGTCCAAAGGAGGAAAAGACGCCCTCGAGAGGGAGAAGAGGAGAGCCTTCAAACGCGGAAGTTGCCGACATGATGGATACCAAGGCTTGACTTCTCGAACTTTGGCGTTGAATGCGGCTGTGCCCTTCGATTATAGACAAGGTAGCAGAGATTCCCCGTACCATACTTTGTAATGCACCTAGCTAAGCAGTACGATTCTCTTATGAATAACTGTAGAGACAATCTGTCATTCTTGTGCAATGGACAATAGCAAGCAGCAGACTGACTCTATGCTTTGATGCAGAACACAGATGCTTATCTAGCTCGAATAAGAAGCTTAGCTATCTCGAATATCAAGACCAGCCAGTCATCTTTGCCATTTCATATTCATGCGCACAAAGCACCTCTCTTTTGCTCCATTTCATCGCTCTTATGATCTGGGCTTCTCCTTCTTCTCCTTCCACAGTGCTGACAGACCCACCCCGGACACCTTTACAACCTTGAATCGCACACCAGGAATATCACCCTTAGCCTTGCCTTTCCGACCGAATCCGGAGAGCAGCACCTCGTCGTTCTCATCCACGAAATTCAGACAACCGTCGTTCGGCACTGTCACCACCCATGAGAATCAGCCACTCATACCCAAACCCATCCTCCAGACACGAGCAAAGTCAGGACCTACCGAAAGCGGTAACCTTCTTTCCATTCTTGATCAACTGCACCCTCACACATTTCCTGATGGCACTGTTCGGCTGTTTGGCTTCCACACCGACCTTTTCCAGCACGATACCCTTTGCGTGCGAGGAGCCACCGAAGGGTGAAGATTTGTAGGCCGTACCAAGGAGACGCTTCTTGTAGTGGAGATCGGCCCAGCGGCCCTCACGTCGATGAGTGCGGAGCTTACGGGCGGCATTGAGGCCACGAGGCTTTCCTTTACCCATGATTGCTGGAGAGAGTAGTGTTAGCTAATGTCCTGGGGGCAAGAGGTCTCTCACGAGGGATTTGGAAGAAGTAGAGTATAAGCTATCATGAAGTCGACAAGGCTAAAGTTTTGATGCAATAACTCGGGTACTCACCGATGGATATGTGATCGCAACACCGGATAATTTATTGTTGTGGTGCGAAGCTGTCGATAGTGAGGAGGCAAGTCTCAAAAAACCCTAAGCGAATTGTGCGTTCAGCCCTATGGGATTACTAGCCTCCTCTCCCCCTCGCTCCTTGTCGTTGCACATAGGGTGGAGGAAGCTCGGTCTCATCCTACTACAGAGGAGATGCTGTCTTTGGCTATGGTACGTCTCGGTGGCCTAGAACGGACTCCCTGAATTTTGTGTCCACTCCAATCCCCCAATTGCTGTCATCATTGACACACTACCCTACAATGTCGGCCCTCTCGCCCTCGTCCGCCGCGACTCCCCACCCTCAGCGCCCTCCACCGCCCTCTCTTTTCCTAGGACCTCCGTCTCGAAATGCTTCGAACATCAGTCTCCCACCCGCAGCCCCAGCCCCCTCGCAGCCCCGCGCCCCACTTCTCCGCTCTCGCTCCGCTCGTGCCCCTGATCCTGCATCAGCAACCCTTGGCCGTGCACGCCCACAGCCACCGCAGCCTTCCCAAACGGAAGGCGATCGCACTGATGCTCTTTGGGCGGAGATGCAAGCGACCTTAGCTGAAGTGGAACTGAGTGCGTTTAGTAGTACACATGTCTTCGGTTCGGCACATAGTGCTGCGTTAGACGAATTGAGGGAGGCGCAGATTGCGTTGGCGAAAGTCTGGGGAAGGGGCGAGGCTAAGGAGGAGGAGGAGGAGGAGGAGGCGGAAACAGTCAAGGTGAAAAGTGGGCAGAGGAAGGAGGACGGGAAGTTGGATGGGAAGACTGATGGAGAGTCTGAGGAAGAAGAGGATATTGCTGAAGCAAGGAGAAGAAGAGAAGCTAATGAGAAATTCTTTAGTAGAGTGGGAAAGGGCGTGGTCGATGTTGTGGGCAAGTTAGAAGGAGTAGCACAGGCCATGGCGAAAGTCGAGAGGGAAAGTAGGGAGATCTGGGGTGGAAGTGACAGCGTAGAGTCGAGTTCCGTTGCTACATGATCCTGAATTGACATACTCAGTTGGCTTCAACTCCTCATCCGACATCAGGCCTATTACACTATGGTCTGACGCATTCGCATTCTACCATCTGTTGGGCCGATTCGCAAGTCAATTCACCTGCTATACCTGATCGCTATCTAAGTCAGCTCAAGACGATCGATTTCTCCCTATTCGTAATAACACTCAACCCTTTCTTTATCAACAGTCCACCAGGTTACCACCTCGACAACCTCTCATCTTACACATCTTCCAATCTCATTCTTTCGATCTGATGGTTCGAAAACCCTGAATCTTCAGATCTGCATAGCCAAGATGGCGCTAAAAGATGAGGAGTCAACGAGTCATACTAGCAAAGAGATTCGACTTACAGGTACGAGTTCGGAAGTGAGCCATCAGAGCAAAGCATGTCATCTTTGCTGATACGAATACAGCACGCCACATGATCCTCAAAGCCCAATTTCCAACTATCCTTAGAAGCCGGCCCCCGGGAGAAACCCTCCATATAGGCAGTTCAGATCGATAGTTTCCGCCCGGCCTCGACCACGGAAAAGGATAGAATGATCAGCCAGTCATGACGGTGTCGTGGGGTACAGTCCGATCATAGGTATTGAAGTCATTCGCAGTCGATGGAAGAGAAATCGTCGGTACAAGGAGGATCCTCGGATCCAGGAACGTGCCACAAGCATTGATCTTTCTAGAGACCCTTGAAGCAATTTCGGTATCCCTTGGGGTCTCCCACCAACGAGTCCAGGGCGATCGCGACTCGCATCACGAGATCGATGTTAAAATACCCGCGCTTGTCATTGTCCTGGCCGAAGCATCTGACCATACGAACGCTTCGCGCATACAAGTCTACTAGAAAGGTGTGTATTGACGACGAGCTTGTAGTGTTAATCCAAGCTCAGTGAATCTCGATATCAGGCCAGCTGCCGTTTTTCCCAGTATATCCGATCATGGCGTCAATGACCGCATTCTGAAACTTCGGTATAGCTCTCTTCTTCCTCGGAGACGTAAAGGTTGAGGAGAGCCGACCACGTCTCATGGTGCGTTCCTTGGTGTTGGTAAGAGACAGCCCCCAAGTAGAGCCATTCGTTGAAGACTCGAAAGACTTCCGGATCTTCATCCACTGAGTCGATGACGCCGGTCTGTGACCCCCTGAAGCCTCCTGTCAAAGCAGCCTTGAAATAGGATGAACGGTGAGACAGGAGAGCTTTGTGAATTCCCGAATCGCTCTGGTGTTGGTCCGACGTTGACGTAGATAATGCTATCATACAGTGTGCTATATCACTTCGTCACTGTGGACTTCGCTCGCTGGATGGGGACACCCACGGGCACGCTTCCACTTCCTTGCTTTCGGGTTTGGGACATGTCAATACAGGAGTACCGTCTTCAGTTTGAGTCGCCATCTTGGGCTTGACGATAAAAGAATGCGTGTCGGATTGGTGCGCCATGACTGCCGCCAAATTGAATCCGGGATTCAACATCGTCATTAGCTATCATACCTTGACGTGACTTTTGTTCCGTTGTTGAGGTGAGTCAAGACTGGAATAACATCCTGACACACTGGCCATAGACAGAACGTATCTAGGCTCTTGCCAGATCGGATCAAAACTTGCTTTGTGGGCTTGCGATCAAGGGGGTCTTGAAGTGAGGTGTTGAGCGATGGTTTAGGGATTCGCGGGGAGCTTGGTCAGGCGAATCGTGGACTGAGGTGTCCAAGGATTGGTCGTGGACAATGATTCAAGTCAGTACGTGGAGAGCCATCAGCCTTGGCCGGCTGGTAGCATCAAGTCTCAGATTCAGTCGCGAACGACACGGAGTTTGGAACACCATTGGGAAGTTAGAAAAGTCTGTTGAAGCTGCAACTTGCGTCCAGCATCCGTGCTATGCTGAACCATGCCTCCCTTTCACAATGCTCTTCGGTCGTAACAAAACATGCCGTAAGAATGATGCTATGGGTATCTTCCGAACGCGCCTAACACCGTCGCTGTGCCTGATACAATGCATGGAGTGCTCTTTGAGCTCACTCCTCATCGTCGAGATCATCCCCCAAGTCCTCCTCCACTTTGTTCTCCACTTTCACTTCCTTGTCCTCAGCTTTGCCCTCAACTTTCTCCTCGCCATCCTTTCCCTCCCCCTTCTTCTTGCGACCACCACGCTCAAGCCCCTCACGTCCCTCGTCGGTTTTGAACGCCTTGCGAGCCGTGTTGATGTGCTTGTCCATAGCGAGCAACTCGTTGACACGTCCCAAAAGCACCGGATCTCCACGAATAGCGAACTTGAAGTCATCGACCTTGAGCTTCGAGCGACCGCAGCATTCGGCGGACTTGGCGGCACCGAAGCAGGTTTCGATGATGAAGTCGGTGGCCATTTCGTCCAGGATGCGGACAGTCTCCGGCAAGGGTTCTTTGTCGTCGCCGTACGCGTAGAGGGCCTGAGTTACTGGAAGAGGTCAGTAAGGTGTAGACTTTGAACGCGTAGGCTTTGGACATACTCTCGGCTTCGAAGTTCATCTGGCCCTTATGGCGAGCCGCACGAGCACGTACTTCGGTCATCTTGACGTTGGGGCTGCCAGATGGAGCTGAAGGGTGAGAAGTTGGTGCGTAGCCGTCAGGAATAATAGCTTTGGTTTCTTCGATGACGGTGACTTCCTTGTTACGACGCTTGGTCTCAACTTCTTCGTCAGATTCGTCGTGATACAGAGCTGCCTTGGCTATAGCGGAGCTGGCAGCGATAGCTGCTGGACGACGTAAAGTGTGGTGACTGCTAAGCGGGTCCAATACCTCACCAGGAGAGCTGCTATCGGTTTGAAATTCAGGTCTGGAGGAAGAGTTGCCGAATGTTAAGGCTTTGGGTGCCGGCATGTCGGTCATCGGAGCTTTGCGGTCGGCACGGGAGCGCTTCTTTCCTCGTGCCATTGTTAATTGGCTATGTAGACGCCGCGGCTAAGCAAAGCTTGTTAGAATGTATCATGTTATGGGACAGCTGTGAACTCTCTATCAAAGAGCAATCTTGACCCTCAAGAAGACTCCGAAGCGGTGGCACTTACTTGAGAATATTTCCAATATGGTGAGCTTGAGCTCGAGGTCTGAATGGGATGAAGAGTTGCGATAACTGATACGTTTGCAGTCAGCGCTCTTCAACTTCCAGTCCTTGCTGCTGGTTCTCTTACTGGTGATTTGCACAAGCACCTATGCTCATGCAACCTTTCCGAAGATTATGGACAGGAATCGTGATGGGTGAGTTGTTGGATGTATTACGTAAGAACGGGAAGGAGCTAAACCTGTATTACGCTAGGGTATTTGGCATCTTCTGGAAGTGCGCAAGGGTTGGAGAACGGCTGAGTCCTTACGTCAGTTTATGCTGTGTGGTGATGGCTGTAAGTATTCTTCAGACTCTCTAGACCACCAAGGAGGTCCTCGTATGGCAGCTGAGACGATGCTTTCTAGGCTTCTTTGATGGCCAGCTCATGAAAGTGTAACTTGGGGCTGCTGCTGATTTTTCACCTCCTGACGTACGCGTATTACGCTTTATTATACCCATCGGAAAATTTCTTGTGCAGTACAAATTGAAATACAAAATCTGTCAGGCTGCTTTCATTGATCAATCTGGAAAGATGCTGTCGTCCCTTTTCTCTTTCCGATTGCTTCAAGCCAACCCCTCTTTGTAAGCTATTCGCCCCACCGCCAGATCTTCGTTCCCTCTTCTGTAGACTTGCCGGAATGTTTTGTCACTCTCAAGCTGCATTTCTGCCCGCCACTCAATCTGCAGAACCGACACATTTACAAAACCAGCAATCCAGAAGTCACCTGTCCAGACTTCCGGCCGCACGTCAAAAAGCGCGCTCTCCTACCCAAAGTCATCTCTCGAACCGTTCGAACTTACAATTATGGTTCCTCCGCATCCTAAATGGCCACTTTCAAAAATGTGCAACTAACGGTCTGTAGGTCGTAGCCATCATTGAAAACGGGAGGATTGAGAGGGCAAAAGATGTACGTAGAAGAAAAAAGCTAGGGCAAAGATGGAAGCAGCGAGCAGGACGGGCGTAAGATCGCGCTCGGGTCATCCTGCTCCTACAGTTGGAAGGGGGGATACATCTCCGTTCGTTCAACCCACCCAGTCCCTGCGAGAGAGCGACTGATACCCAGGCGGTCTTCGCCATGTGGACAGGCAAGCTCACTCTCCTCGTCACCCCCCGCACTGACCCCGTTCAAGGTGAAAGCCCGTGGGCACGGGGATTTCAAAGAGGGCGTCTGATTAAGGGCGACGACGGCCTATGCTTTTTGGATCACTACGCTAGGGATGAGGGGGGAGGCGTGAAGGTCTTGGCGCGAGATGTTGCCTAATCTTGGGTTTTGTGATGTTGCATCGTATACTCACGAAGTCGCTGGTTCGATTGCCGGCCTCCCCTTAGCTTGCAACAAAAGTCGATCGTGTCGGTTCGCAGTCTCATCAAATAGACCACAAGATTGAGCTTCATTCTGCACCTATGATTACGCTGGATCCTTGACGAGCTGCGAAGTTCTAAACTGTTATTCGTGTGCAAATGGTCTTCCCTTCCAACATGACGCGGATTGTACGTAGAGGGGCTCGCTGATGCTGTAATCGACCATATTGTGCATCCGATGGCCTGTTAGCGAAAGCTCGAAAACTCGATCGAGGCCAATTCTATCACGAACGATTGATTTTCGAGAAGGATCCATTGCCATATATGAAATGCTTCAAGTAAGTGATGGCACTTTAGTCCGTAGTTCCTGCAATTATGTGCAACTGGCTTGACGGCAGTGGTTTGGAGGTGATCACTATGTACATGCTTTTTACGCCAGGTGGAACTAAGTGTCAGATATCAAGAATATACTCCATGCGAACGATGCAAACTTTGCAGTTGCAATTAGACTGTCGCTCGGCTTCTCGATCTACATATCCCGCTGTTCTTGATGTTTGGCCATCAGATACCTCTTCACCTCCTCTTCTCGGCTCAAGATCGTCGACCCCCACTCTTGAGCCATGTTGGCTTCGTATTGATCCTGCGAATTTAGAGGCTGTACAAGTCCTGTCGCGTTTTTATCGAATGATTCTTTTGTGCTCGTCTTTAATGCTTCCTCCAAGCGATCCCGTATCTGCAAATTTCCCAACCCCTTAATGGTGTAGGTATCTACTTCGAACCCGGCTGCCTGCATCTTCTTCACCGTGTCCACCGCAGCGTTCACGTCTTGCAACTTTCCATAACCGCTAACAAGGGTGTTCCAAGTAACTCTGTCACCTTGGATACCGCGCTCCCGCATCATGTCGAGAACCTTTTCGGCAGCGCGTCTTTGTCTGTTGCGGAAGTACGCGGCGACTAAAATAGACCAAGTCTGCACGGTTGGCGCCGCATATGGGACAGACTCAGGTGTTGCAAAGTTCGGAGAGGAGAACTCAAGCATGTGTTTGACAACGGTGGTGCAGTGTTGAAGGGTATCGGGATTCTTCCCAAAAACCATGATAAACGAATTCGCCACAAAGGTTTCTTGAGCGAGAGGCGCGATCACTGGATGGTTCTCTTTTACACATTGATGATACAATTCGTAATTGTGGATAAGGCCAAGGGAATCTTGATGTAGTTTGACGTAAGCCAGGGTCATCTGTGTGAGGATGTAGGTTGTGGGCCAGACTCCATGGCAATTTGCACCAGGTGGTGCTTGTGTCTCGTCTCCGCACAGCGAGAGTTCTTGCAGGGGACGGAGGTCGCAATGTTGCTTGTAGAAATCAAGCATTGCGCCGAATTCATCTCCGGGCGACATGAGAGATATGGCATTGAGTACATCGCTAACTAGGCGAAGATCTTGAAGCACTTTCCCATTTGTCTGGATCTCGCGAATGACCATTCCGATATTGGAGAAATTGCCGCTGAGTATTGCGCCCTTCAAAAGTACGCCGTATGTGATAGAATCAGGTATAAGGGCGTTCTCTTTAGCCAGACCGTACATTTGCCACGCATTAACAAAGTCGCCACCCTCGCCTGCATTCAGGAGAATAGCGTTAAACATGGGGACCTTCGGTCTGATCCCCATCTCCAAGATCTGCGTTAAGACATTCGAGCGAATAGCATATTCCTCCTGCGTATCAAAATGAGCCCGCAAGAGCCTGACACAAGCCTTCTGAATCCGATCCAAAGAAAGGTTATAATTAATATTGGCGATTGTACCAAGTATTTTCATAGACAAGCTGATTCTTCCCATGTCAAGAAACCTGTCCAAGAAATGCAGCATCGTATTGACATGTAAGACGGCCTTATTTGAGCCAAGTAGCCCATAAAAAGAGAGCACGCGTTGATCGTCGCTGTGTTGGAGGATAATGTAGACAACGTGCTGAGACACTGGAAAAGTTTGCTCCTGATCACTAGCACCATCTATAAATTTGCAAGTCAAGAGCCAGATGGCGTCAATAGCCAATGGATTTGGATTAGAGACTTCAAAGAGAAAATGGTGCGCAAGAAAGTCCAAGCAGTCCGAAACCACGTATCTGGGAGGTCTGTATATGCGACCCTTGAAAGTAGAGAGAAGTAGCATCAAGGCCTGCTTTCTTCGGTATTTCAGACACCACAGCATCACGTTTCGCCATAACCTTTCAGCATCGTAGCCTTGGAGCCCCGTCCAATCCTCGTTGACACGAGGGCGAAGACCGCAGTAGTACCGTATCACTTTCTCTGTACCTAGGCTTGTCCATCTTTGCATATCTTCTGGGATTTTCAAGATCTGGAAGTTTGAGATCCAATCCCATCTCAATTTCTCAAGCGAGCCCGTCGTTGGTTGCTGGCTGCTCCAGCTTGTGGCTTTTGGCCAGAGGCCAAGCGAAACCCAGTGCGGCCTTCTGCTCGGATTGCGCAGCCCTATCGATCTTGATGGCTTTCGAATCTGGTCCAGACGACGAAACCAATCTCCACCTCCTTTTCGGGCGCTACCTTTTTGGGAAAGCCGCCGGCGACAGCCTGGTTTTACTACCTGCACCCTTACACGATCCAGAAGCCGAGGCTGCGCGCGAGTCCTTCTGCTCTGTTGACGTGGAAGTACAATTAGTGGTCGCGTTGGGGAAGCTCTGCTCCTTCGGCGCTTCCGAACGTGATAATTTGAAGCTGTTTCTTTCGAAGTCGAGACTGGTATTGACTGACTAGGAAAGTAGCATTGTCTTTGTTCTTGCTTTGCTTCATTCAGGGGCTCTGCAGATCCGGTTCGAGCTTTTAGGGAGGCCGCTCTTTCAGGTTGACGGTACAAGCTCACGAATACCTTCGCGCGGGTGGTCAGAGCAGCAACTGAGCACCCTGGCTTGTGCGGAGAAGGAACCAAGGCCAGGCACGGCCGCACTGGCGGATACATGACGGGGGGACATCTTGAGGGCGGTATGCGGCGACTGAGCATTGAACGACCTTCATTCAAGGGTCCATCGCCGGTGATATGTAAGGATCCTCCCAATTACAGCGTTTGGGGGAGAATGGAATCGCAACAACTCTGCACATCTTGCCATTGACCTTGAATGACAGCCGAGTGCACAAACAAGTCATGGAGCCAAAATCAAAGAAACCAGAAATTCGTCGCTTAGTAATCCACGCTGCTTGGAATCATGGTTGTCATTGGTCAACGTACGAGCGTTCTACGGTGCGATATCTCGCCGAGGAGGTGGGTCGACGTCAATTCAGATGATACTCATCAATTCATTTCTGTCTAATCTATCTCCCACTACAAAACACCCTGACGCATGCCATCACGAGTCGTAATGCCAGCCGCGCTTTTCCGAGGCCTACGCTGCAACTGCCCTGCACATGTGCTCCAATCGCAATGCATTCGGTGGTAATCCAATCAAATGAAAGACTGCCCGACGCGTTCCTGACCCGAAAGGACCATTGACCATCTTGGGTCTGGACTATGTAGCCTGGGAACCAACGCTTGGCATCGAATAAACCCCATTTTGGAAGCTGGGCATTTGTTGTCCTCCATTCTTCAACGATTGAACATTCACGCTGAATTGGTTGTTCATAGGAAGGGAGTGTTGAGCCTCGGGCATGCTTGGGACCTCTGGAGGCGGTGGCTTCGGAGGCAGGTGAGACGGAGTGCCCCATTTTGAAAGCGAGCTTTGCACTGGCGAATGTGCAGCATTCGACTGTGTTGAGCTTTTGCGTGTTCCGTAGGCTTTGGGCTCATGGCTAAAGCTGTAGGACGCAGATACTGGCAGCGAAGATCCTTGGTGGTAGGGCGACGGTTGTTGGATATATGGCGAGTATTGACTTCCGTTCAGATTTCGGGTCGAAAGACTAGAATTGTTCCCATGTTGAACGGCCTGCGGTGGACCAGAGCCCCCATTGGGCACGAAAGCTCGGGTTTGCGGGTTGAAAGCTTGGCTCTTATAGCTGCCCGGTAGTGGATGCTGAGCTCTTACACCCTGCGTGCCAGGCTGCAAGGGTAATTGCCCATACTGGTAGGGAACCGATGCTACGCCGGCCACTGGATTTGGAGTTTGCATTGGTAAGGGGAAATACTGCTGCTGATCTCTCTGTTGCGGGTAAGAGTAAGGGTACGTGTTCTGAGACCACTGTTGATCGGACAACTGCGACTGCGGCCGAGAAAATTGACCGTGGTTGCTCATTGCTGGCGAAGAAATGACTGGAGACGATTGACCAATGCCAATGCCTTGCTGCATCGGCGGATAGTAATGAGATGAAATCTGTTGATTGTAGCTCGCGGCATGGACGTTTGCGGCTTGCACATCGTATCCACTTAGTGACGGATTTTGGCTCGTCATAGCTGGAAAACCTTGTGGGGTTGCCATTGGATTGTATCCCTGTTGATAGCCTTGCTGCAACAAGGCCGCGCCTACAGGCCCGGGCTGGCTTAACATATTCCCCTGCTGCATAGTATAAGGGCTGTAACATGCCGGTGAAGCTGCAGTCTGATCGTAGGTTGTGACAGGATACTGCATGGAAGGATAATAAGCGTTGAATTGGGATCGTGCTTCAAAACCGTCATCGTTGTTCTTGTGTTTTTTCTTTTTCTTCTCATTCCTAGAGCTAGTGCGTGAAACCTCGTTCACGGCATCGTTGCTATCGATATTTTCACTCTCCGGTCCGAAAATTCGCTCTCTTGTCTCCTTGTACTTCGCTTCCCGTTCTTCCCTTGTCATGGCTGATTTGTCTTTAGTAAGGTTTGAGTCAGTTGGAGATGCTACGCCAGTACCTCGTTGGCTATCCTCGCCAGTCTCCGAACCAGCTTTAGAAGGGGCCATTGAGCCATCTGCGGTGTTGGCTCCAGATTCAATGATTTGGCCATCCCTGCCTACACCTGCGCGACGCATGATTTTCATGGTCGGTTGAGACGAGGATTGGGCATCCACGGGAGCCGAAGCTTTTGGTGCAAGGGCGCCTAAGGGAGGCGGGCTTGGAAGATGTAAGCATGTGATGCATTGGTAGGCATAGCGGATACTTACACTCGACAATAAGGCGTTCTGTACAATCGTACAGAGCTTACGGCATTGTCAACAAAATGTGTCAATGCATAATAATCTGCCAGCTTGTGCGCTAGTAGACGACAAAAAGAATTACAAGGAGGCAAATCGATCATCGGTTCTCTGAGATGGACGTCAGCGTGCTCTTTGTCGAAGAATTCGTGGCCAAAGCTTACTGTGAATCTTTGACGAATGTGATTACTTCCTGCTCAAGGCGTAAAAGAAACAATCGATCTTTGGGAGATTCGAGGGCTTCCAACAATTTCTCATCCGGTTCCTGATACTTGTAATCAATTGTAGGCGCTTTAGGCGCAATGATATCAGGATGAGGCAAGTTGACTGGTGCTGGCAATGCTGATGTAAGTGGAGAGCGTGTCATTTGCGGTCCTTCCTCCTCAATCCCTGCGATGATTCTTCGACTGAGAGGATGCATTCGGTGAGAGCCCGAGCCAATGCTCTCGGTGATCTCGTAGAATTGATCTCGAAATGCTCTGCTCCCAGCTTCGGAACCAACCCGCGAATTCTGCGCACCAGACGCAGGTCCCGAACCAAAATCTTCATCCTCGGCAGCTTTGACACTGGCACTATCATCCGGCCGAAGCGACTCCTTTTCGTCTAGGGCAAATGTTGTGCCAGAGGTAGTGCTTTTGCCATCAAGGCTTGCGGGCTTGGTGGACGACGATGAGATCTGAGTCTGATCATCATCGAATTTGAGACCTGCCCGGCTGATGTTACTCTTCTGCTGGTCATCTAAAGCGTTCAAAGCCAGTGGAGATTCCCTGACGGCAAGCCGTGACATCGAATTCTGCAGTTCTCGGTGCAATTGAGACGCCATAGGGCTTTCGACTTTTGAAGCCTGGCTTGAGCGGGTTGGGGACGATGCTTTCGAAGGCCTCTCATTTTCTCGGCCTACGATTAGTGGTCCAGGATGGATAGGAGGAGCCATCGCCGCAATCTGTGAGGTGGAGGTCAGCTAGCGGTGTGAAGGAGCTGCAATGAGGGGTCACAAGAAGGGTCACAAACGCTCGCAAATGATGGTTTTGACACACTCGTTTTGGTGGTGTGTGTTGCCATGTCGCCAACGAATGGTAATGAAGGATGCAGAGCCAGAAACTGTTCTTGCGCCGAACCCAAGTAAAGGAGTGTAGAAGTTGGATCTCTTCGAATGCAAGATGTCAAGGAGAAGGTAGCATATCAAAAGGGTCGAAGGATATCGAAAAGTGTTCCTTTGGCATTATGAAAGCCCGCCATGTAGTCTGACCGAGCGTCCCAAGATAGTGCGCCCCGGTGTTGTGCTAAATCTTGCCTCGTGGAAAGACACACAGAAAGCGGCCAGTCGTGAGGTACAGCCACCCCAAGGCTCTCGCCCCACTATCTGAGTGAAGCAGCGTGCTCACCAAGTTGTTGACCAAATTCCCGTGCAAGGAGTCGTTCAGAGGATCCGGACAGAATGGTGTATTAGAATGTTCAGCGACAGGCTGGGTGCGAGGGGAAAGGTTCAAAGCCTTCAGCAATCTATTGAGAGAATTTGTGTACTGCAGGAAAATGAAAGCGGAGGTCGAAGGAGGCTTAGTACTTCAGTAGTGGGACGTCATTTTCTCACTAGGCGAGCCAAAACGCCAAGCCTTGGCACCCTGGTACCAAAGGTACATTTACTTTATTCCGAGCGTGCGTCTCTGCTCATAGCCACCATTGTTTCTCTTCCTGACCATTCTAGCAATTTACTTGTCTACAATACACTTTGGACTCCGTTACACCAGACTCAAACCTCTATATATTTAATTTCTCCAACTCATGTATCAACTCGTCTGATATCTTCAGCCTGACTCACCTGACACTCGGGTTTTTAAAGAACTCAGGCACCCAGAATCGAAACCTCGCCAGCTCAATGAACCGCTTCCGCGGGCCAACCTCCGCTGCATCTTCCAAAGCCACATCACAGACGCTTTGCCAGAAGTGTCTTAAAAAAGATAAGTCCCATTGTCCCCCTCCTGCGTTCTGAGTCTGACTGTCAAGCACGGCACTATAGCTATGAGTGCAAAGCACCAGCCCAGGAAAGGCCTTACACCTCAAGACCTTCAAGGACCCAGCAACTCGTAAATCCGAAACTGGTACCGAAATTGACCAGCGACACTCCTAATGATTTGTTGCGAAAGTACGTATCGCGTTGAAAGGAAGGCCAGCTACCAGGCTGACTGAGATTAGGAAGGGCGTTGCCGATGAGCTTCTTGCAAGGAAGGAACACGAACGGGGTCGCAAGCGTAAAGCAGACGATGAGCATATGAATGGATCGAGAAAGCGTTCTAGGTCTACCTCATCGTACTCGTCGAACTCCGTATCTACTATTTCGACCAACCTCTCGCGCTCCTTGTCCCCGAAGCTTGCAGGTTTACGCCATACCGGTCAGAGCCAAGTGTTCTCCAATCTTGAGGTAGATCGCAAGCGAAGACGCAGTCGCAGTTCCTCAATATCATACACCTCAGACTCATCACACGGAAGCCGAAGGAAAGATCACCCCCAAGGGTTAGGCGGTGATGGATATGATAGGAAGGGGCCGATCGATCGCGACGCTGGTCGACCATTGGGCCTGGAACGCAGGCAGAGAGAGCATAGAATGTCCAGGTCCATGTCTTACGGTTCACACTCATCAACAAACAAGAGGCGGAAGAAATCCTCGCTTAGCGGAACTCGGGGTAAAAGGCGTCGACATTCATCCAGGAGCCCTGTGGACCGTGGAAGAGACAGGGACTTGAATAGCAACAGAGGCAGTCGGCGGACAAGGAGCCCTAGCGAGAGCAGGGATAGAAGTGAAGTTATCAGAAACAGGAAGTCCATGACGCCTGGCCTCCCTGCGAGACAGACTTTGAGGCAGGACACTGTTTCCCAACGGCCAGATCATCATCCAAACGTTGATGGTCGCCAGAGCTACTCGAACGACAATGATCGATATGGAAGCAGTGCTCGAGATCGAAATGAGAACATCAGGGGCACCCGGCCACCACCAAACGCCCCTCCTCAGAAAAAAGAAAGGAGCTTGAGCCCCTTCAGTAAAAGAGTTAGACTCACACTAGCGATGAATGTGGGGAATTGATGTTTAGCGACGGCGCTTAGAAAGCCCATGAGGTATACGGATATCGGTTTTGTTCAAAAGCAATACCATTGGAATAGACTTTCTATGCAAATACGACCAGTATTTCGATTGCCGAAGAACCACTTTCATTCCCAATCATGTTCTTTACATCGAACGCAAATGCCCTGCACCCAGTGAACTCCACGCTGAAGCGCAGCATAAGTCCTGAGTCCATCGGAGATGTGGAGAGGAACCTCGCATCGCTTCCAGAGTTATCTAGGCAAGCTCGGCATCCTCTTCCCTCTCCCTTCTCTCTTCTTCCGCTTCTTCTTTCTCTCTTAGATGTACGCCTTCGACGAGCTCCGACCCTCCCATCCCCACGCTTTCCCCATCCTGTCCTTTTCCCACACCTCCATTACTCGCCTCCACCTCCTTCCTCTTCTGACCCTCAACCCTCTCCCTCACCAACCTCGCAATCGCATTCTCAGTCCTCGCATTCAGCACCTCCATCTTCCTCGCCACATCGCGTTTCAAATCCCAATTTGGCTTCTTCGGCTGTAGCGTAAAAAGATCAATCGGCTTTTCCTCTCTCCGCTCTCTCTCCTCTTTTTCCCTCGTCTCTAGTGCTATTGCCGCTGCACGGTCTTCCAACGTTTCTTGTTCGGCGTTGGGGGCAGATTCGAAGCCCAGTTTTGGACCTCGGGTTTCGGGATCATAATTGCGACCGGAGAGGTACTGGCTGGTGGGATCTTCAGTAGATGTCGGGGGTGCTTCGGTGGGTATGGAGGGCCCGAGCTCGGAGGTGTCTGGGTCCTCTGAGTCTGTGGGAGGTTGTTTACGTTTTAGAGATTTCAGCTTTGCAAGGCGCGCTTTGCGCTCTGTGGCTGCTGCGTCGAGGGATGCGTGGGAGGCCATGGTCGCGCACTCGAAGCGCCTTTGGTTGGTATGAGCACTTTGGCTTCCAAATGATGGGACAAGATACTGAATTGAGAAAAACAGTAGAGAAGTAATTAATTTGAATGTTTGTCGGCACTCGGCAGAGGTTCCTCTCAGCGGAATTCATTCCGAAGCCGCATACAAATTCTAGAGTAAGCTCAAGAGCGACTTCGACGACACACATATCAATCAAAGTCCCAATTTGAGTCTGCATTGTTTGTCTCAAGAATGGGTTTCACCACCAACCTCTTCTCCGGCTTCACCCTCACATCTACCGCGCTCTATCTCTCTCTCCTCTACCACCAACGCGCCCGCACCCATCAAGCCGCCCTACTACACCAACAAACAATCCTCCTTAATTCGCTAAGTGACCCTGAAGTCGCAAGCGAACTCGCAACGATAGCAGATGCCAATTACAGTGGGGGACTGAGAGAAGGTATCAAGCCGTATAGGGTAGAGAAAGCGCCCTGGACGGAACGGTGGAAGGATAGATGGAACAGTGAGGTCGAAGGGGCAGTGAGATATGCGCAAGGAATCAGATTGCGGACTGTTAGGGAAGGGGTAGAGGGAAGAGCGAGAGAGTGGAGTGAGGGGGACAGAAGGCTATGAGTGGGCTCGTGAGATGGTTTTTTGAGGGGCACGTCGAAAGATCACACGCTTCTGTTGATGTATCCGCTACGGTGCTGTCTGATTCAAATACCGATTGAGCTCGAGTTGCTAAGAGAGTTTCAGGGTTATTGGTGCCTCCAAAAGGCGAAATTTAGCATTCAGAAGGGAATCAGAAATTTGTCGTCCCTATAGCTATATTCCCTCTTGAGGTATGTCGTATCTCTGCTAGGCATAAACTTGCGCTTCTGGTTGTCTTCTTGGACTGGTAAGCGGTCAGACCTAAGGAGCTGACTTCTTCATAATACTCACTGGTTGCATCGCAGCCTCTCCTCTCACTTACTCGTGTTTCATCGTAGCTTCTCCTCCCACTTACTCGTCACTGGAGCTGTTACATCCTTACGGTAGCCTGCGGCTGTCAATGTTCCAATGTGGAAGCTATAGAATGCCATAACTTGTCATAGAAGGCCCGTCTTCCTCGTCTTCTAAGCCTCGCCGAACAGTATCTAGCCAAAGCCATCCGAGTGGGGAGCCGGCATGACTCTCTTGATGAGGTAGATTTAGCAATGGCATGAGCTTCGATCCAAAAATCCTGTCCAGCCTAGTCCTAATAGGCCTCCCCTCTCCATCGAAAGAGAAAGGATCGCTGCGCATGAATTTCGGATCGCTAATCCTCATAGCCATAGCGATTGCTTGGTCGACCGCGGATTGATAGGTCGGGAAAGAGGTCCTGCGGCGGGTCTTTCGGAATACCACTCAGATTGAAGGTAGATTGCATAACAATCAAGGAGCGCTTTACAGAAAGGCGAAGGCCAAATAGTGTTGCTGTATATACAGCGTACTACCTCCATGTTAGGTGGTCCATGCCACTTCAAATACAAAATGAGCATTTGCTTAATGCATTCATCCTCGAGGTTGTGAACGTCGTACTCGTCGGCCAATACATGAATGTTTGTTAGCTGCATGTAAACATTCTATATCTTGTCGGAGTCTCGGTGAGGTAACAGCTCGAAGTGTTTGGTGTATAGCCACTAAGCAAATTGGTTGCATATGTCGACATTGTCCTCTGGAAAGTTCATTTTACGCTTGCAGCTCTCGCGAGTTGAAAGCTGTGTTTGATATCGTGGAAGTATCACAGAGTAAATCCATGTAAACATGCAAAAAGTTTTCGTTTCCGTCAACAAGCAGAGTAATAGTGTATATATACCGAAAACGAAACAAAAGATATCTCCGTCAATGGTGCTGGAATATGGAACTTAAAGCATACCTTCTTTCAATGGTAGGTGGCTCGCGAGGCTCCTGAAATCGAGGATCGCGTTTGCCGAGGTTTTGCCAGCTAGTAAATATCGAACTTCTGCCAGCGACTGAAACTCAAGAGCTTTCCCATTCTCCACCGCCAGCCACCCCGATCAATCAATTCATCACCCTCCACCTCAATGGCTGGCGGTGCCCTGAAATACCGGCATCTAGACCGCAAGTCCTCTCACCGCCAAGCCCTCCTCCGCAACCTCGTCACCTCCCTCATAACCCACGAATCCATAAAGACGACCTGGCCCAAAGCCAAAGAAGCGCAGCGACTAGCCGAGAAGCTGATAACCCTGGGCAAGAAAAACACCAATGCGAGTCGTGCGAGGGCGGAGAGTATATTCTTCGTATGTTGGTACCTTACATCTACTTTTTTGAGGCTCTTCCTTGCGCATGAGATACTGATGAGGCATGCATCTAGGAGCCATTGAAACATCTACCTACTCTATTCACAACTCTTCGACAACGATATCTGAATAGGCCTGGAGGCTACACCCGCGTCCTGCGCATCGAACCTCTGAACCGCAATAACGACCAAGCACCCTCCGCGATCCTCGAACTCGTCGATGGCCCCCGTGATATGCGTTTCGCCATGACGGCGAAAACTCTGGTGCGGGAAAGAGCGAACGATGGAGGTATCCGCGAAATCACAGCCAGGAATGTGGCAAAGGTCACGCGGTTCAGGGAGGACGGGGAGGCAGAGCTGGAAAAGACTGTTAGGAGACTAGAGACAATGAAAGGGTTGGGGAAGGAGGATGAGGAGGAGGATGAGGAGGAGGAGAGCGGGGAGAGAGAGCCATGGGAGCCGTTCCCTAGGATGAAGCAGAGGGAAAGGGAGAAGGAAGATGAGGAGAGGCCGTTTACGGAGAGGGAGAAGATGGAGAAGAAGAGGACGAAGAGGGATCCAAACACCGGGAGGAGGGTGTCGAGAGGATGATATTGTAGAATGGACCGAAGTAAACATAAACAGCGTGTATAGGAAAGCACAGGTCTCTACACACAGCGGTAGTGCCATTGAGGCTTTCTTGAGGCACGATGGCAGAGTCTAACGCAGCATGGGCGGGTCGATGCGTATAATGGGAACTAGGGCCGAGGGCATAGTTTCAGTGCTGCGATACGCAAGTATCCGTCGATCCGTCTGAGCACTTCTCGGCTTTAAAACGGCGTCCAAGCAGGGGTGAGACTGTTGATTCTACTACATTCCCGGCAGTCTCGAAAACTGCACAAAGAATTTGTCAATCTGCCAGTAACCTGCCACTCATCCAATTGTGAAAAAAGACTGCTAAGCTGTTCATCGGGAGAGACGCAGCGCAGCAAGCAAAATGCTACTCGCAAGGACAACGCATACAAAAACCAAGAACACGGCAGCTCTGTGCATCCATCCAACATCATCCTTTCTCCTTACCATACTTCCCGCTCCCATAACGGCAAATACCAGGCTCGAGACTACGCCAATGATGACACCTGCATCGACGGTATTAGCAGCTTTCCTGCGTCCTGTGGTAACTAAGCAAGCGGCCACGACCAGAAGGATAATCGATGAAGCAAATGAGGCGATGCAAGAGCGGAAGAGAAGGGCCTCGCGGGCGCGGGCAGCGGGAGGTTGCGAGAGCACGGGAAAGGTGGAATAGCGCCGATGTGGAGACGATTTCACGTGTCTGGTTGAGGAGTCTGCGTCGGATTGGTCAGAGTCTGCAGTGCTGGGAGAGCACTCGCCGTTGACGAGAAGCCGCTGCTCGCCATGCCTGGTCTTTTGAAACGATCTGAACCAATGCAGTATCGTCTCTTCGGAGGCCTTGATGCTTGAGGAAATTGACCCGCACAGTCTGAACACTGCCGCTGCACCAGGGATGCTGTATGAAGCATTAGGATCGACGAAAATGGTGTACGCTCCATCTTGAGAACCGTCGCTGCCGTCGTCGAATTCATTCCAGTAGCGCTCATATCTAGGCTGAGCTGGCTCTCGCAATCGTTTTGGGGGCATCTGCTTGCGATTTGACCGCCGTCTCTTTATCTTCTTAGAGGCGTCGAGAGGCGGAGTGGCAAGAGTGTCTGGCGCCGACGTTGCAGAGGACTCTCCGCGCAGCGCCGAGAAACCGCCGCTTGATATGCCGTTCTTCGTCGATGACGCTGAGACGGATGTATGCCGAGTGCTTGACTCTTCAGGACTAGAACGGCCTTGCGATTTGCGCGCCTTTGGCACTTTCGATGTTGCTGGGACCTTGCGTATATCTTGCTTTAAGGCTGGGAGCTGGTCCTCAGTCAGTAGATTAAGAGACATGGACATAGCACCTACCCAAAATGGACGTGGCATTCCTTGAGGCTTGCACAGGGTTGCCACAGCGTGTGTTTCGAGAGAAAAGCCTCGAACCCTTTCTGTCTGCAACGAAATTTAGCAAGAGCGAAAAAATAGATTAAAGAGCCTGACCAAATACGACGCGTCTAAAGCAGCTATCACATTGGTATCACCTGGTCCTTCGGTCCTGATCTCAAGGACTGCATGTGGGAAGATTTCGGAGTCCTTCTCCCCTCCATCGTCAATGGTGTTGAAGCCTTTGTCACTAGCAAGGAGATCTGGAGGACAGCTCCACATTGATATATTTTTGTCAAGTGTAGCCCAAAGTCCATTTGTCGCGCTGTTCTTGAGACCAACGAACCGGGTGCGCCTTAATCGTAGTTGCACTAAGGGCTGAACTTCATTGTGCCCGACGAACCATTCACTGACTTGTTCGGAATCCTTTGAGCCGTCTGCTATGGTACCTTCTTCTCCACTGGAAGTGCTGAACAGCCGTTGTATGGCTTTGCGCTTGAACCTGGCTTTCCTGGTGGCGAACTCCCTGTTCGAGCACGTAGATTTGCTAGCATCATTGGTGGCTGCGCCCACGACGACGACAGCGTCACCATTTGAGGAGTACCTGATACTCGCGGCAGCTTTCTCGGGAGCGAAGCCTGCGCGGTTTTCAGAATCGCTTATGGTCTCGCTACTCTGCCTTTGGGCAAAACGTTGGAGGTCATCGCATATGATGACACCCAGCTCTTCGTCGGTTCGAGAAGAACCCCTAGCCGGATGGCCACTTATGGACCCTCGGGGGGAAGATGGACTTTCTGGAGATGAAAACGTCTCATTCGATTTCTGCAGTCTGGTGTACTGGAGTAGCAGCACGTGGATCTGTACTATGTTATCTGGGTGGATCCAGTACGCCGCCTTGGCTGCCCTATGACCAAATGGTATTGTAGCGAGGGCGGTGTCTATTTCAAGATTTGAACCATCCTCCCAGGCTGTCTGTAGATCTGCTGCACTGCTTAGGTCCTTGCTCACATGCTGGCTTTTTGCGGCCTGATTCTGCGCAGAATTGCTTGGAGACTTATGCGGCACTGGTCTATGCGATTGGAACTCCTCTTTCTTGGGTTCCGTAGGATCGGATTGCCAACTGATGCCATCAACGAAAGGTGCCCGGACAGACGCCAAGACTTGTGTCCATTGCGCGAGTAAAGGTTCAAAGTCTGTCTTCGAGAAACTTGTTCGACGGTCGAGTACTTCTTTGCGGAAGCGATTGCCTAGTTCAGAAGAGCCAGTCCACTTTCTATACTTTTTCAGCAGCTTTTGAAAAGCCAAACGTTGTGCTCCAACAAAACGTGAAAGGGATTGTATTTCTTCTCCGGCTCTGCAAGCTTGAATCAGCAAGGTTTCTCTCGATAATACTTCACATTTAGGACTTACTTAAGAACAGCCTCCTCCAGCCTGGAAAATTTCTCCAACCGCTTGATGGGTATTTTCCCACGGCTTGTGGGGAAGCTTCGAATTTCCAATTGTGCAATTTGCTTATCCAAATGAGCTATGAGGAGGCCAAATCAGCAACACATCTCCGTGCGAAGGCTCGAGATACGTACCAAGCTTTCTTCCTACTTCGCCAGCCTTACTCTGGACAAAGAGATCGATTCTTTGGTGCTGGTCACGCAATTCGCGATACAATTCATCCTCGAAAGCATGGAAAGCTTTTGTTTCACTATCGCTACCTGGTATAGCCTTTGCTTGACCTTGTCCTTGTGTTGTGCGAACCTTTATTAGGTGCTTGATATCGTTGTAATCGACATTATCTGGTGTCGCGTGACCATTTAGCACCTCGGATTTTGGTCTGCAGAGTAAGGGATTTTTCTCACAGTTTTCCCAGAGTGGAATTGATCTCTGTTGGAAAGTTTCCCCGTACTTCATTGCACTTCAGACTAGGCAATTGCACTGCTAATTGAGCATGGAGACTGAAAGAATGATAATAACAAGGATCCGGAGAGGGCATGGAGAAGATGCTACTTTTTTTTCCCCTTTCTCCTCGGCAACGCGATTTCAACGATTTTCTATCAGGGCTTGCGGAAGACTGTCGGCAAGTGACCAGAGCGGGGCTGGAGCCAATTGATGTGGGGTGGGTGCTCATGCAGGCAGAATGTACTGATAGAGCGTGAGAGCGCAAAAGTATTGCAGAACTCGCTATTGAGAGACAATGCTTTTCTTTTAGTTGCATCGGAGAAATCTGATATGCCCAATGGTTGGTTTAGGATCTATCTCAAGCCCAAGGATCTAAGGTACCCTAATTACCTTATCCCCGCCACTAAGCCTAGTCCAGGGTCGGCCGGTTAGACTCCAACCTTACCTTACTTACTTTATCTTACTTTATCTAATCTCTCTTGCACTTGCCGAGAGTAAATCGCTAAGTCGCTAAATCCTGGGCTCTGCAAACTCGGAAACAAACATCCTGATTCTTGACTGTGCTGACGGTGCGCTCCCTTCAAACGCTCGATTGATTGCACCCATACAATAGGCATGGCGCCCACCACCTTGACCCATCCAGATGTTGCAGGAACTCCTCCTGCATCTGAGCAAATTTTGCTTTCAACCCTCGAGTCCGCTCCCCACACCTTCCTGCAGCCGACTCCAACCCTCCGCGCAGCATCTCTCGCCTCCGCAAAACGCTACCTCGATCCCCTTGCGATATCTACGAGTGTAGCACAAGTGCAACGGCAGCAAGTCAACAGGCGGAAGCGGAAAAGAGGGCACTACGATGCCGACGCCTCACGGAAACCCTTACAACTTACCCAAGTTTACTTCGAGGGATTAAAAGTAGAGCAAATTTGGGAGCAGGCAAGAAGGATTTTAGATGCAACCAGATCCGAGCTGGAAAGATCGCTGCCAAACAAGTCTCAAACACAAGAGATGACGAGTCTGCCCAAGGGACTAGCTGGTGACCCAACGAGTAATAGGAAATCTGTCGAATTTCAAGAATTTGATGAATATGGCTCCGAAGTCGGCATCTCAAATCCAGATGAGCTCAATGGCGAAGACGATATGCCTCTGGGGGAGTCAGACGTATCCCTTGATGACTCGAACCAGCCACCACTAGACGGTGAGGCCGCAGAATTCGGCCGTGTTCTCGACGATGGCGATGAAGACATGCTTGATGGAGAAGGTGTAGGCGAAGAGGACGACTCGGATGAGCTGTCAGAGTCCGACCAGGAGTCGAAAGAGATTTTTCATCCGGACAAGAACGGCCTCAATGATGGCTTTTTCTCCATAGATGATTTTAATCGACAGTCAGAGTTTCTCGAGCAACAAGATGCTCGCGGAGAGAATGACGGCGCTGCAAGTGACGAGGAGGATGTAGACTGGGACGTCGATCCTTTGGCTTTAACATCGCCACATAAAGTAGGTCGAATGCTTGAGGATGGAGCAATGGAGGGATCTGAAGATGAGGAGAAGGGTCCTACGTTCGGCAATGTCGAGTTAAATACCTCAGACATCTCAGATGACGATGATAACTCGGCGAACGGAGCCCAAGTGGACGACAACGGAGCCATGAATAATACCAATGACATCAAATATGCCGACTTCTTCGCACCTCCACCAAGCAAAGCTTCCAAACCTTCTCGCCGCCGTGCGCTCCCCAAGACTCAGCCCCCCACCCCACACGCAACCGAAGACGACGTCCAACGGACCATATCTGCTGTCCGCCGCGACATCTTCGAGGACGACCTCACACCTGACGAAGATGAAGCTCCCTCTGATGCAAACGATCGTCGCTCCTCTCATCAAAGACGTCAGGCGGCTCTCAGAGCTGAGATTCGTCGTCTCGAAGCCGCCTCAGTGGCCAAACGTGACTGGACGCTCTCTGGTGAAGCACGTGCTGCTGACCGCCCTATCAATTCTCTGCTAGAAGAAGACCTTGATTTCGAGCGCGCGGGCAAGCCGATTCCTGTCATCACGCAGGAGGTGAGTGAGGACATCGAAGCGCTAATCAAGCGGCGGATAGTTGCCAGAGAATTTGATGAAGTCATCAGACGACGTCCTGGGGATTTGGCGACCGGAAATGGGGATGTGAGGAGAGGACGATTCGAGCTGGATGATACCAAGCCAACGCAAAGTCTCGCGGAAATGTACGAGGCTGAGCATCTCAAGATTGTCGATCCAGAAGGATACACAGACAAGCGAGATGAAAAGCTTAAGCGCGAACATGCCAAAATTGAGCAGATGTGGAAAGATGTCTCTGCGAAGCTAGACGCGCTGAGCAGTTGGCACTATAAGCCTAAACCGCCAAGCGCAAGTATCAACGTGGTGGCGGATGTGCCAAGGATTAGCATTGAGGATGCTAGACCAGCTGCTGGTGGCGAGGTGGGTGGAGAAAGTATGCTGGCACCGCAGGAGGTCTATAAGCCGGGTGAAGGAAAAGGCAGTAAAGAAGAAGTCTTGAAGAAGGGAAGTGGTCTACCAATTGGACGGGAAGAGATGACGAGAGATGAAAAAGTTAGGAGGAGGCGGAGAGAAAAAGAGAGGATTAGGAAAGCTGGGGGGCTGGCGCCGGCGAAGGGCTTGGAGGGCCGTGGGAAAAAGGAGCAGGAGAAGAGAGGCGTGATTGGGGACCTGAAAAAGGGCGGCGTGAGAGTGATAGGGAAGAAAGGCGAAATCAGAGATGTGGAGGGAAAGGCTGTCCAAGGACAAGTCGCGGTCGGAAAGGGGGGTGGCGGCTACAAGTTGTGAAAGTTATGATCATGACAACCGAACTCCTGACCTGAACCGAGATGCTCGTTCTCTAAGTGTCCTATTCACGTACCCTTGTATCAACACGGTCATGCGGATCATAGTCCATTTCTTGTTTGGCCCGCGCCTAGGATTGACTTTCCCTTATTTATCTCATACAGGAATACGCCGTCCTTCTGCCACTCCTTGATCTCATCAACCTCAAACAACTTGCTCAACTTGCGTATCATGTCCTTATCCGCCCTCCTCCTCTTTTTATAGCAGAAATAACATACGGTGTCATTTCCCATCAATGCTTCCATAGTTGCTGTCAGCAAAGGCACATTCGACTCAACTGATAAAGATCCGGCAGTCAGCAATGCTTATTTAAGACAGAATTCCAGAGCCATGAGACAAATCTGAGGAGCAAACCCTCCTCTATGGACACGTCTCAAGGCTCAAGATTGAGGTCGGTTCAGTGTTTTTGACTCCGAGAATACGTACGGTAGGAGCAGTCCGCCGCTAAGAGAATGTCTGGTGGACTGGGAATCGTGGGAGATATTGGATGGCCCCAAGATAAAAGATATGGCAAAACAGTAGTCGAGTTGCCGAGATTGGGCGTGTTGAGATCGATGTTGTGCTGTAAAAGGGAAAGAAGCGGCGGGTGACCATCAGTCAAGTGGATCGTGGTGGTTCGAACGCCGGTGGATTTGAGACCGATCGCGAGTGCAAGGCTTTGATCGATCCGTCAGTGCCTCAAAAGTGTGAAAGGAAAAGGATCACGGAAAGCATACCCCACAAGGCCGCTGCCAGCGCCGAGCTCAATTCTATCCACGGGCTTTGGTTAGCATAACCAGATACTCGCATTGTGGTACGCGTGTGGAGTAAAGAAACATTGGAGCGTACAAACATCTTCTTGCCTACTATCTCATCCATCTTGTTGCGGAGTAAATATTCCGCCAGAACTATGCCCGCTGGCCACAGCTTCCCTCCACATTCTGTCTCGTTGGTCTGAAGAACGAGAGGCGGACACAGAAGCCCGTCGAATGCGAGGATCACTTCTTGCGATGGTGTCTCGCCCGTAGAGGGTACTAGGTCCTCTGAGATGGACAGAAGTGAGAGCTCTTCTGCCAAATCAGATGTCATGACTGTTGACAGGTTACAGTGGGAAAGCTTTAGGCCGAGGGGGCATGGGGGGTTAGTATGGAGCCAAGGAGCGGAATGACCTCCGCTGCTACGAAATTAGCGCGAAATTGCCGGCACAACGTACAGTAGGCTTAGCAATCGTTCAAAAAATGATAACCCCACAAATCCGTGTTTTTCAACCAGCATATACAGAAAGATCAAGCCTGATGGCTTTGCAACTCCAAGCGCAAGATATTTCGCAGAGTCGACTTCGTAGTTTGCCACATTCCCAGGGTAATCAAGTGTCAGAAGCGGCGTGTGTCTTTGCACCTGTTTCGACTTCTCTTTGCCATCAACATACGGTTTCGTGGTGAGATTTACGTGCTCGATTTTACTCAATGGCCAATGTGATTATCAAGTCCCTGCATACAGGTGAAAAGCTTCAGGTAGCAAAGGACGAGTTGATACACCAGGTGCAGCACGTTGAGAAGAAAACCTTTCCTCGACGCGAAGCCATGGACTTCACCACTGAACTTCAGAAACGAAATATGGACCTCGTAATCATCGTTGATGATGCTGGCCTATCTACACCGGCAAGGCCAAGAATGGTCGCTTACATGGTCTTCGTCCATCTCAAAGCTGGGAATGCTGTCCTCCTGCACAAGATTTGTGTTTCGGAAGGATACAGACGCCGAGGCATTGCCAGGATAGTGCTAGAAATTCAGGCGGAACGATTGAAGAAGCAGGGATGTACTAAGATCCAGCTCTGGGTGGACGAGGGAAACATCCCTGCGAGACGTCTATACAAGGTGTTAGGCTTGGAAGAGGTGAGCCGAGTCAAGGACTACTACGCCGTTGGGCGAACAGGCATCCAAATGCTTTGGGGATTTTCATCAGTGTGATTGAAAGCTTGTTGTCTGGCCTCTTGCTGAAGAATGCAGCTGGGCCAAGGGGTCGCGTCTCGCTTGCATGAGTTTCGCGATTTACATTCTGGTAGAGAAAATGGGACGCGTCCAGCCCCTTCACTTGTGGAATCACTTGAGAGAAGGGGCTGGATGTGATCCTAGGAACGTTGGCAATAACCTCCCAGCTTTCCGCTCGCTATCATGGGATCCTTTCTGAGCCTTCTGGGGTTTCCTGGTGTGTCAATCATTGCCGGCCACCAGAAAGATGCGGTCGCCTGCTTTATGTCTAGACGATGTGGTTTGAACGCCCCTTGCGGACGTCCGACGCATGATGCAGCAGCCACCGGCAACCTTGAAACACCTGCACAAAGCCGCTCTCCCCGTCCTCCTACTGGCCTCCTCGGTCTCAGTTTATGCGACTCCCAGCATCAATTTGCCCATCAACGCGCAAGTCCCGCCTGTCGCCCGACCCAATCAAGCCTACAACTTTGTCTTCTCGGACTCCACTTTCAGCTGGGCTGGAAACTCCATCGACTATAGTCTCACGAACGGCCCAGGATGGCTTCAGCTGAACAGCTCAAGCAGGGTCTTCTCTGGAACACCTAGATCTGCTGACGCTGGATCTTTCGCCGTGGGCCTGGCCGCGACTGACGACACTGGTTCAAGCTTAATGTCCGTGACATTTGTAGTGTCTACTGATCCTGGACCTGGACTGGGTACTTCAGTCGCAGAGCAGCTCCCCGCCTTTGGCCCGGTTCCCAGCCCCGACAGTCTCTCACTTGCACCCTCGACTGCACTGTCGCTCTCTTTCTCTCCAAATACTTTCACGAATACGAGCGCAAACACTGTATATTATGCTATATGCGCTAACAATACGCCTTTGCCGTCTTGGATCAACTTCCATCCCAGCAGTCTTACCTTCTCCGGCACAACGCCCTCATCGACCTCTCCATGGGAGCTTCCTCAAGTGTTCCAGATACAGCTCATAGCTTCAGATGTGATTGGATTTACAGAAGCCGTCGCAAGCTTTCAATTGGTTATTCAGAGCCATCTACTCATTTTTGGAAACAGGCTGCATGTCATAAATATCACGAATGGGTTGCTGGTAAACTTCACTGGTCTTCAGCATGATCTGACTCTGGATGGTCAGCCGGCAAGTTCTTCCGAGCTACGCGAAGTTGTGGCAAGCACGCCACCGTGGATGTCGTTCAATTCTAGTACCCTGACCCTATCCGGCACACCTCCCGAAAGTGCAACTTCGCAAAACTTCTCCGTGACTGCGAGCGATGTTTATGGGGATGCTACGAGCACAATCGTCCTAATCCAGAACACCAACAACCATACGAGCTCCCTTACGAGCTCCTTTGTAGGGCCTTTTGCCACAGTGAACGCCACGATAGGAGCAGTCTTTACGTATGATCTCAAGCCTGAGCTCGTCTCAGATTCCACGGCGGACGTTGCGGTAGATCTTGGTGCGGCATCTGTATGGCTGAATTTCAATTCGAGTTCCCTGAAGCTCCAAGGCCACGTCCCCACGGATTTAAAGCCTCAGTCAATCCATGTCATGGTGACTGCAACACATGGAACGCAGAGCCAATCCCAAATCCTCACGGTTGACTTACAAAATGCAAGCGCCTCGAGTGCACGGACCACATATAGCCACAGCATTTCTCCCAAAGCTACGTCCGGCTCTACAGCGAGGGGCAACCAGACCGGAAATGCAACAAGCTCAGCCAGCAGGCCCAAAAAGCGTTGGGTTGCTGCAGCGGTCATAGTGCCAATATTCGTTGGGTTAGGATTGTTGCTTCTGTTATGCTTCTGTCTTAAGAGAAGGCGGCAACGAAAAGCAAACAATGGTCCGTTACTCTCGCCGAAATGGAGGATATCGCGGCCGATTCTGGAAAAGGATACTCCGAACGCTGAGGTAGGGGCAGAGACACCAAGAGTGCTGGCCATCAACCGAAGGAGAGCTTCTTCAATGGCGTCCAAGGCACCATGGTTAGACTTTCTAGGGTTTCAGACATCAGGACATAGCCCCCGCGGGTTAAAATCGCATGTGTCAAGTGGTATTATCGGCAGCACAGAGCACTCGACAGGGCCGGAGTCTGCGGGGCTTCCTTGCTCTGGACGAACAAAAGAAAAATCGGTGCCAGACGTCAGCCATATACCAGAGAAGCGCACAATGCGAAAAGCCGGAACGACATCCTGTGGACTAAAAGCACCCACATTGGCTGTTCAAAGGCTATCTGTCATAATCGACGAATCACCGACCAAGAGACACTCGAAACAAAAGCAACGGCGATCGAATCTGAGTTACGATACTGCCAGCATCTTTTCAAGTCAACGCCTCAGCGGCATTGGGCACGGACGTAACACTTTGAGTCAAGGTAGCAGCAACCTTCGTTTTAGCAGTAAGGGCGTAGGCCATGGCAGCGGTCTTGCAAGTGGACCTCCAGGCTTTGGAATCGTTCGGAACTCCTGGCGCAATCTCAGTCGTAGTACCTGGGCCTCCACGGACGGTTCTTCAAATCCGGGACTCGAACGAGAGGCCACCATCGGGAAATTTCCGTGGAATACTCGGCCCCCGGCGTCGAATGCTTTCGGCAAGGGTTCCCACTCACAAGTCATTCACGGATTCCCGGATAACGAAGGGTCTCGCAAGCCAACACTCAGGCCAGTACTGTCTCCCACACAAGGCAGTATCAAACGAAAATCAGGCTCTTCTTCGCGGTTTCAATCCAATCTCCTCAAGGCCGACCCTCTTCAGTCTTTCCACAAACACCGTCTGCAACAGCGAAGTTCACGCAATCCACTTTTTTCTGCTGGCCCCTCATCGTCCCGGATATCTTCAATTCGCGCATCGAAGACAGCACCCTTACAGATACCCTCATCTGAGTCAGGCAGTACTGGTAATAATGCTGTGTCTGAACGTCCGTTCACACCTCCTAGAGAGGACCTTCAACGGTCCTATTTCGAATCCTCGTCCCTCGAGCCGCCAATGCGATCAAGCCCCTCCCGATCCTTCAGCTCTACAGCCTCACCGCGACGCCAGAAGAGCTATATCAAGTACCACTTGAACGCGCGCGCCCTCTCTCCTCAAAACTTCAGCCGCCCCTCGCGAATGAACAGCAGAGGAAGCAGCTGGGTCTCTACTAGCAGCGACTCCAAATTCGGCAGCGCAGCCAGTGAAGCACCTCCCTTCAACGGCTTCGGCGAGGATCTGAGAGAAGAGACAGACGAGTATGGCAACAAGCGTTGGCTGCGCGGTCACCCTAATCCGTTAGGCACTCACAGGTTGGATGTTACAGACCAAGAGTTGATTGACCGTCTCAGAGTCAGTGGTCACGTCAATGCCGCGCAACGCTTGAGCTATCTGATGAGAGCGCAGACGGACGGGAAACCAGACCATGGTGCCGAGAGCGGCGACGAGGGTGGGCAAGTCAAGATTGGTAGTTTGAAAGGGAAGAGGTTGGGCCAGAGAGCGGGGTTGAAGCAGGGTGATCCGGGTAACATGAGTATGAGGGGGGATATCGGGAACACGACTGCGGGAGGTGCTTTCATATAGTGTTTGGCTGTGTACTGTCCATTTATCCATAGCTCCTGCCTATCTAACGAATTTTGTGATCCAAAGAGTCTCCCATAACAGTCGTGCCACCCATGCAGCGATAAATCTTCACACAACGCAGAGAACACTCTAGTGTTGGCTAAAGCCGCATCTAGTCCTTGCACCATCTACCGTCGTAAGTCTCAAAGCAGAAGCCCATATGCTGTACGCCACGCTACTGATGCCTCTACTGCACGGAAGACGGTGTTGTGCGGATTCATCGTTGCAGATCTACGCTATTGCGAAGGTCACGATGGGAACATCGATTGAAAATGTGTGGAGAGGATGTGCATACCTAGGATAGACCGACTAGATACATGATCGGATGTGACAGAGGTTGAAAGGACAGAACAATGTACACAAGAAGTACTATGTGCGAAAGGAAGTATGAGTAGAATAAGTATGTACGTGATGGATATGTGCAGGGCAGGAACTGTGTGACGGGAGAAAAGACGTGGGTGATATAAGAAATGTGCACGTAGTAGGGAAAAGATATACAGGGGAAGGAGGGATCAACGCCTCTTTCCCCACCACTTTTAACCAGCACCTCCCATCCCCGCGGCAAGCGCCAAGTACCTACGCAAATTTCGGAGTCAGTATAGTCCTCTTTGGGTAATAGATCGAGAAACGAGACATATCTGAAGAGCCGAAATATCCTTTCACTGCCAAAACATGGTATTTCACGCAAGTAACTAGACAAATCTGGGGGAGCGAAGGAGCTTTCTGCTCCCGGAATCTGGATCGTGGCCCCAATTTGCTACCAAAAGGAAAGGGGTTACCCGGAAAAGTACGTACCAGGTCAGGCTCGCTCCGTCATCCAGATACTGAGCATCAAAGCCTGGTCCAGTAAGCCAGTTCCAAGACTTGACGGGATCGATAAGCGCCAAGTTCGAATACAGGATACCCCTCCAACCCCCAGTAACGTTGTTGACGGGATCGACGCAGCCATCACAGAAGTACGTGTTCCACTCCTCGGTCACGAAGTTTTGGTTCCTGATATAAGGGCTAGAGGGGTTGATTGGGATCATGTGTATTCCTTGTATATACTCGTCGTTGGTGCCGAAGTAGGTTGTGTGGTCGACTTTATTTTCGAATAGGATGCCGGTGTTCTTGTTACCGATGAAGTTAGCAGGTTGATTGGCATTGGTGGATTCGAGGAGAAAGTAGTTCTGAAAACTACGTTTCTGAACGGCTAGCATCAAATTCCCACGAGCTTCCATGGCTGTGTCACCAATGATCCTTCCCCATAGTTTGACTGCGTAACTGAACAAGGCGTCTTCGGATGTGGATTCTTGGTCCTTCCCGTCGCCGCTATCAAACAAACCCTTAGCCCAAGAGTGCCCGTGATACCAGTCAAAGCTACGGGAAACGGGGAAGTATGGATCGTTAGAATTAGGGTTACTGGCATCTCGTACGAGAGTATTCACCCAGTCTCGGTGTGCGGGCAGCCAGGCTGGATCGAGGTAGGCGATAATACTGGCAGCGTACACAAAGTACGACCAGTGGAAGTGATGATCGTTGTAATAGGTGTTTCCAAAATCGTCCCCACTGTTTCCTGTGATGTACGAGGCCGTAGCTGGATCATAGTTTCAGAGTCAGCATTGCCCATCCGAGGGGATATGGTGAGCCTTCAAACATGTCTACAGAGTAGTCGCTCTCAAGACATGTCTCAAGGCTCAAGATCTGCTCCGGAAGAGGAAATATGAACTCCGAAAATACGTACATACGACGCCACCCCATTGCGATTCATACACGAGTGGGTAAATTTGAGTGTTGTTCGCGAAAAGTTCGTAAGCTTCCTCAAGCTTCGCCAGGCCAGCTTGAGCAGTCGAGACGTCTCCGGCTAGGTCGTGAACGGCGTATATCGCTGCTGCGAACTTTGCCAAGGCTTTGCCGCTATAATACATGCTATTCAGATTCGACTGAGCATTCATATCCTGCGAAAGGTCACTGATACCTGCGTTGTCGATCGCTGTCATTGCGGCAGCCGGGATGGTGTTGGTAGAAGCAATGCTAGCATTCCAAGGGGCAAAGCCGATGTCAACAGGCATGGACGGTTCCACCATTGTCCATGAGTCTCCGATAACACCAGTAGCAAGTCCCTTCGTAGTCGTTTGGAGCTGGATTGCTGTCTGACCTGCGCTTGTGGTCGAGTCCATAGATTGAAGGTGATGAGGAAGTGCCATCATGATGAGACTAGCGCCATTAGCGGCGACCTTGGTCCAGCTCAGTGAATAAGATCCAGAAGCTCCGTCGACGGATGCAGAAAGTGTAGCTGTCGTTGCGTAGGCACCAGCAGCACTGTCATATGAAGCTTCCTGAGCTGCTACGTCTCCAGGATTCTTCGCAACTTGAATTATTCCGGTGAAAGATCCCGATGCTACCAATCTGGTGGTGTTCAACAAAGTGAGGGCAAGGCCCGAACCGTTATTCGCTGTTGCGTACAGAAGCCATGTGTTGCCATCATCAAGGAGCAATCTGTATTTCGTTACACCTGCAGCAGGAGAGGCGAGTGGCGTTATGGCATTGAAGAACACGCTGGTATCAACGAAGGGAGTTGCTCCATTACTGGATCATAATTTCGGAGTCAGCGTTGCCTCTTTGAGGGGGCATATAGAGCCTTAGGACATAGAGAGAGCAACGTCCCAGAACATGTCTGAAGACTCAGAGTGCACTCCGAAAAGAGACATATGGACATTGAAGCACGTACTATATTGCGGTGACAAACCCCATGCCCTGCACCATCGGAAAGCTGATGGCAGGGGTCGTAGCACCACTCGGTAGGAGGTTGACGTTCGCAGAGAACGCAGTCAAAGTGTCAGTGGTCAAAGACATTCCCCTTCTCGAGTCAGCAACCAATTACAGAGTTGACGGATCGAGACTTACGGGCCCAGCTCCGCTGCAGAGAAGATCAACGATTGGATCCCGATCGGATTGATGTAGAATTCGACCGGGTCTGCAGTTGCATTGGGCCCGTAGGCCCTTTGATATGCCTCGTCGTGGGTGATGCTGAGACCGTAAGAGAATGCATTGCCACCGCCCTGGCTCCAAAGAAGAGAGTATGGGTGTGTCCAAACCCCGTTGAGCTGATCGCCAAGGAAGAAGTTCGCATAAAACTTATTCGTCTCCGTGGGGCCTTGGTTCGTCTTAAGGTTGAGTAAGCTAATGATCGGCCCAAATACTATACTAACTTACGATGCCAAGTTTTCCCACGGGGTGGTCCGGCCTGGTCGCAAAGACCGATGGCGGAGCTTCAGTGCTGATTGGAGAGGCGAAAATGTTGGACACAGTGGCGGCCGCAATTAAGGGTTTCACTTGTGCTATGGTCTTATTGGTGGCAACGGATATGGTTGAGGAGGGTGAAGGGATGACTTCTGTTGGAAATGGCTGCAGATGGGGATGGCCAGCCGTCTCAAGCGCGACGTGGATGATCTTCAGAAGAAATCAGCAAACAGCGCCATGCAAGGGCTAATAGGAACAGACTAACCCCTCTAGTACCAGGGGCCTCTGAAGGAGAAGGTAGACTCTGCACTCCTGCCGCGAGTATGTCGTTTGGTGTCTGCGCTTCGAGAAGTGGCAGCGCTTGCGTCCAGCAAGCGGCCTGCAAGACTGTCAACAGCGACAGGGGTTTCATAATGTATAAGAGGGGAACCAACAAAGCTGTCTTTGCAAGAGTACTGACAGAGTGGTAGCCAGGACAGAATTTGAGCAAGTAAAGCGTGGAAAAGAGCGAGTAGCTATTAAGGAGAAGTTTATATATAAAGAGCGAATGTACACTACCCAGAGCTTCGCGTTGCAAGCTCTATACTCTCGTCACCATCCTGTGGTCATGTTGGAAGCTCAAGACCGAGCATGGCCTCGCGGAAGAGGATCAGCTTCCTCTGTAAGCACAAGTATGGCGGTCCATGACCGGCCTGCCAGGAGCTAGAGAGCGTGACGACCTTCATCTTTTGTCTTTTGTGGAAGGCGGTTATTGTGGTCAAGGAAAGCTGGTAAGAAGCTGAGAGACTAGATGCACCTGTGACAAGAAAGAGCAAGGAAACGAAATCCAGATGACCATGCGACTACGAGTAGGCAAAGAAAAATATCAAGGATCAAGTGAGAATCGTGTTAAAGTACGAGAGTACCTCTAGGGAACTCTGGCGCATTCATTTTGCGGGGTACCGTCACCAGCATACTTCAAGTAATCACAGAGCCGCCTTTTCGCAGGCCATTGCCCCGCGCCGACAATAATACTCGTACGAGAGCATGAGCCAGGGGTGGGCATCATGAATGGTGTGGCATAGCCTTCACTGTTGCTCCAACCGTTGGCTTTGATGTTTGTCGCCGAGAATTGAGATATGAGGGTACTGGAGCTGTCGGGTGAGATTACCGTCTCGCTGCCCTGGCTCCCACTCACGACATGCTGGCATCAATGCTGCAACTTCTAGACGAGTATTCCGTAAATGGGACAAGATGCACATGTGCCTCAAACAACGTCGCGCATAACATCTGTTCCATGTCTACCCGTCGGAAATGCTGACTTGAACCATTCAGGAAGCTGTTGGATCCATGGACCTTGTTTGGACTCGGAGCTACGCCAATTTTCGCACAAAAGCCCCACTCTCGCTCTCTAGTGCTCAAATGTACAGATAGCGTCGCCGTGACCGGCCGGATACCTCAGGTACCTTAATGTTTATTGATTCGGCCTCGCTTGGTTGAGTCAGGTGCTACCTTCTCCATCTTCATGTTTTTTAGTTCTGCTGTATTAATGTGTCCACAGTGTAACGAGGTGTTGGCTGTGCTTGATGAGCAATCATGTTCCTATCTTCCTCTGAGTCCGAGGTCGAAGGAGAAGGAGAGGGAAAGCAGAAAGACTTCCCCGCCTCAGTCCTAGAAAACTCGTTGTCGAAAGCGGATCACGGCAATCCTTCGGCAAAAACGAGCAACCATCACCCATATCTAGATGTGCCACTTCAGTCCGCTTTTGCGAGATCATCCGATACCGTGTCCGACCTTTCTACCTACTCTGCAGACAATGAGAACGAAAGATGTACTGGACGCCTGCTCACCGTGTCTTCGGCTGGGCGATTGCTCTCAAGCTCTCCCGCACCATCGCCGACGACATGGAAAGAAACGTTTCGGCTATCTTGGGCCAGTAACAAAGGTTTAGCCTTGGTCATGTTTGCGCAGCTTTTCGGTGTTATGATGAATGTCACAATTAGACTACTGGAAACAGCTGGAACATCTGGACCTGGAATGCATCCCTTTCAGGTACGCCCAGCCATGTTCCTGATATTCCCACCGGACACTCTCGGTTTTTGAGTCTTACAATCACAGCAGATTCTGTTTGCTCGAATGACTGGCACTCTTGTCCTCAGTGGCATCTATCAATGGTGGGCCAAATTGTCACCCTTTGGATCGCGGGAAGTCCGTGGACTCTTGATTGCACGTGGGGTGGGTGGATTCTTTGGAGGTAAGTGGAGGTACCGTTGGAGAAAGCGCTCAGCAACCGCTGACCGTGAGCAGTATATGGCATGTACTGTGAGTATGAAACTTCCAACTCGGTCTCAGATCTGTGGCCTAATAGGCTAAAGATTCACTGCAATACCTGCCTCTGTCAGACGCTACGGTGATCACCTTCCTTGCTCCAATCGTGGCTTGCTGGGCCTGTTCATTCCTCCTCCATGAGCCGTTTGGTGGCAATGAGCAGATCGCTGGCATAGTCTCCTTTCTTGGAGTCGTCCTCATTGCCCGACCCACGTCTCTACTTCCACATCGCTCGGACGTGCCGCCTGTAGCAAGTGGAGTCGGCGATGGATTACCCTCAACCAACGTCACCATGCCCACCGACCTCTGGGGACCCAATCATGTAACATCAGCACAGCGTCTCAGTGCCGTGGGAGTTGCCCTCATTGGCGTTCTCGGCGCAGCTTCTGCGTACACTACCATTCGCTGTATCGGCAAGCGCGCACATCCCCTAGTCTCTGTGAACTATTTTGCAGCCTGGTCCACTCTCGTGAGTACCGTGGCACTCCTTGCAGTACCAGGCATAGATTTCCAACTGCCCGCCAACCTGCGGCAGTGGATTTATTTGGTCTTCCTCGGCATCTGTGGGTTCCTAATGCAGTTTTTACTCACGGCAGGCTTGCAGCATGAGAAGGGCAGTCGAGCGACCAACATGGTCTACACGCAGATGCTATTTGCGCTTGCTTTTGATAAGATGGTTTTCAACACGACGCCAGGGGCATGGGGTATAGCCGGGAGCAGTCTCATCTTGGGTAGCGCGCTATATGTGGCTTTGCACAATAATAATAAGAAGAATGATACCCAGGTTCGAGGAGATGTAAGACGCGACGAAGAACTGGCATTGGTGGGAGATGATGCTATTGAGAGTGATTTTAATAATGGGACAGGGCCACTTAGAGGTGTTCAGGAAGTACAGCTAAGGACGCTCAGAGTGTGAGAACATAAGCAGAGATGGTCGATGAATGGATGTGGGATAATCGCGAAACTATAGCAAAGGAGAAGACACATATTTAGATGAACGATAAGCTTGATATGTATACCGCCTCTTGTTATAGACAGGCTTTGAAGGAATTACAGCGGTCAAGAGCCATAGTGACAACACGCTTGAGTCCTTCCCATCAGCTCCACAATACCCATCACCTTATTTCAATATCCTTAGGTTTCCACGAACGCCGTAAGGTAATCGATGTGGTTGGAATGCTGGGTTTGGCAATGTGCTCCCTGATGCGCTACCATTATCATCCGGGTTCCTCGATAATCTTTGTCAATGATCTCCCCGACTGAATACGTTATTATTGTTGTGTGACTCGTCTGTGGCTACTTTATGTACATACATCCTGAGCGAGAGCTTCAATGTGTAATTCAGACTTGTGAGATAAAAAGAAGATTTTGAATACGGTCTTTGACTACTTTTGGCTGCCAAGGTAGTTTCCTTAGTACCCTATCATGGTGGTGAGCTCAATAGTGACATACGTCTTATAATGACATCTCCAGGGCTGTAATCGCTGTATACTCTCGTTCTTTAGCTACACACCTACAATTCTATCTTCGCCCATACCTTAAAATTGAACCTAACCTTGGAACCTTTGGGTGCTGTCCCCGGGTGCCGGGTCAAAGCCTGGGACTTTCTTCTGAAGATTAAACCATCAGGGAGGGAGAATCCTGTTCAAGAAAGGCGCACTTTTAGAGTATGTTGGGTCTCAAAAGGACGAATTTTCGGGCGGTGGACCCGGATAGTGCGCACCCGGCAGGGTAAGATACCCACCAGATTGAGAGGTGGTACTAGGGGTGTGTAGAAGAACTTGGGACGAATAATCAAAGAAAATGGGTGTGCGGCGATCATCTCCCCACTCATCCCTGCTTTGCAGTCCAAAGCAGGTCGCACTTCAACTCAAGGAACTAGCTTTTGCGACTGAGAAGTGCAAAAGCGATTGCATAGAATCTTTCCTTCTTTATAAATCTCTGAGTTTAGCCCTCCTCAAGCTCTCTTCGACGCCATACGAATCCCTTAACAGGTCTCGCACATCTTCCAGGCCCAATCCTCTGGTCTCTGGATAAATTGCCCAACAGCACACCCACCCAACGATGCAAATCAAAGAGTATATTGCAAATGTCCAGACCGGCGTGAGATACTCCATCATTGGCAGAAAAGTGAGGCCAACAACAAAATTACTACCCCAATTCGTAGCAGTTGCAAGTCCACACCCCAAGGACCGAACGGACAATGGAAAGAGCTCGCTTTGCTGCCAGGCGATGTTTCCGAGTCCAATTGCGTACCCACAGACATATATGGTAATTGCAATGAGGATGACCACAGCCCAAGGACTTTGAGCGACACCAGGCGTTGAGCTGGCAGAGCCGTGAACCCAGCTAGGATGGCCAAGGTATTCGTATGAGACTGAACTTGCAATAAGACCCACGACCATCACGGGTATCGAGAGCAACAAGAGGCGTCGACGACCGACGTGGTCAATTATTATGAGAGCAAGCAAAGTGCAGACGAAGTTGGTGACAGCAATGGACAAAGACGTCAAAGTTGGGGAGTCAAAGTCTAAGAGTGAGAAGATGGTTGCCGAAAAGTACATCAAAGAGTTCTGTACGAAGTCAGTTACAAAGTCTCAATATTCGTAGCGAGACCGCCATACGAAGCCACATAGCTGCTGCAGTCCTTGGAGCAAGCAGGCAATCGTCAACGCTCTTCTGTTGCCACCGACGCAGAACAGCTCGGCGAATCTGTTCCGTGGCCGAGTGAGCCATGTATGAGGTTGGTTCCCCATTGCAGAAGTAGACATATTGTTATTTGTGGCTTCTTCCTCCACTATCTCTGTCTTTATGGCATGCAGTACCTCCTCAACGGCGTGGTCTTTCCCAGCGGCATAGACTTTCCGAAGTACGTTGCGAGCTTGCGGTGACCTCCCATCCTTAACTAACCACCTTGGACTTTCAGGTAGTACAAGCATCAGTCCGAACTGCAACACCGCGGGCACAGCTCCTAAGCCTACCATCCATCTCCAGCCATTCCTCTGCATAGAGAGAGCGTACCCTATGATATAGGCCACGACCTGCCCTGCGGTAATGAACAAAATGCTTAGAGTGACCAGCTTTCCCCGGAAAGGTGAGGGCGAGAGCTCGGAGATATACAGCGGGACCACGAGGCTTGCTCCCCCAACGGCAAAGCCGACGATACTTCTCCCTACTACCATGCCAAATACTGAGGTAATGGCAGCCTGACTCAAAGCACCAGTGATGAAGAGGACATCTGCAATCAAGATGATTGGCTTCCGCCCAATCATATCAGCCAGTAGTCCGGCGACGGGACTGGCAATAAGAGCACCCAGACTCGTAGAGGAGGTGATCAAACCTTTGTCGAGAGTTGTCAGGGGATGCCCCAAATCCTTGCCGATCGAAACAAGGGTTGAGGAAATGACGCCAGTATCGTAACCAAAGAGGAGGCCGCTGATACCAGCAGCAAAGGTAAGCGCCCATATAAAGGCACTCGGTGAAGTGATATCGCTTTCTTTGAAAATGTCATCCTCAGCATGATCAGAGAATCCATGCTCGTCGCCCTCAATCAGAGGGGCATGCGCTCCGTTGCGGACCACCATATCAGACAGTTCGATATTTGGGTTTGCCGTATATGCGTTGCTAACGACATTTCTACCAAAGCGAGACTTATTATCCTAGATTTACCGTCGTTGAGTGATGCCTTACAGAAACTCCTTACAGAAAACAGATGGAGCAGGCGTTGATGGCACAGGGTCAAATCGAGATTGCACTAAACCCCTCTTAGACTCATATCGAGCTGGAAGTTCACGAAACTGTAACCATGCCCTAGGGAAACCAGAAGTTTGCGAAGAAAACGGAGAGACTGATTTGATCTAACGGGATAATTTACGTAGATTCGACAAGTTCTAGTCATGTATCCTGTTCCCATAAATTGCTTTTGATGCCGCTATGCCCGTACACAACCATCACAATCTCCACATCCTAAACCTTGACGCCAGCGTCACCGAGACCTTCCTTGAGAGCTTTCAATGCTCGCTCGATGTCGTCTCTCTTCGGGTCTGTGACACTGACACCCATATGGCCAAATCGTATGTACTTGGCCGCAATTTCTTTATGCAGACCTCCTGCGAAAATTACTCCTTTCTTGAGAATATTGGGCAAAATGTCAGCTGCTTTGACGCCTTCTGGTAGATAGATGGCTGTCATTCCATTCGCTTGATTCTCGGGTTTTGTGGCTAGCTGTTTCAGTCCATAAGATGTCACGGTTGATTTGATTCGCTGTGATGCTTCACGGTGGACAGCGAAACGTTCGGAAAGTGGACGCGATAGAATTTGCGTTAGAGTGGTGTGGAGAGCGTTGATGAGTTGAGTTGGCGGAGTTGCGAAGTAAGAGGCCTTTTTTGCTTCGTAGTTTTGCATGACTTCAACCGTGTTAGCTTGAGATGAATCTTTTGGGATCATGTGAGGGATATGTACTCGGCAGCCAATTCTTGAAAGAAGCGAAGTAAGACGACGGTGGAGTTTTCCTATTTCTGAACGTCTCCATAGCACGCTCAGAGCACATCAATATCGAAAGACCAGGCGGGCAGCCAATGGCTTTCTGGCTTGCGGTCAAAACAGCATCAATGCCCCATTCATCGAAACAGATTTCCTCACATCCAACGCTGCATACGCCATCAACAACCACCAAGGTCTCGGGACTGACTCGGTGTACTAGCTCTGAGAGCGCCTTGATCTCGCTTAGAACGCCTGTAGAGGTATCGACATGCGTAACGGATATTAACTTATAGTGCTTCTCCTTCAACGCCTTCTCGATTTCTGGTAGCTGTGGTCGGTCTCCAATTGGCGCTTTCAGCTGTGTTGCTTTGACGCCATATGTCTCGAAGCATTCAGCGAAAGAGTCCGCGAAATACCCTGTGTGCAGAACAAGCGCGTCTTCACCTCTTTCTATTAGATTTGCTGCGACTAGGTCCCAACCAAGTGTTCCACTGCCGGATATGACGAAAGGCTGAGAAGCCGGGTTTGATGTCTGGAGGAGCTTTCGAAGCATTGTAAGAGTTTCGCCGAAGGTGGCGACGAAGGGGGGCCCGACATGGGACTGGCTGCGGAGCTTCAGTATAGGGCCGTCGCTACAATGGGACATCTGGCGGACCTGAAGTGTCCCATAGATGAAAGCACAGCATCATCAAATTCAATTGGCCCTGGAATCAACAGAGCAGGATGTTCTGCTTGATTTGACATGTTGATTCTTCGATCTTCTGGTGAAGCGGATTTTGGTGGGTCTCTCCGGATCGGTGTATACTCAAGGTCGTCTTGCTTGCCTGCTTGTCTCTCGGTCGAAAATGGAGTATTGATCTCTAGAAGGGGCCTTTGCTCAAGGTGCCTCGATATTATCGAGAGTCTTGCGCGTGGAGAAGCCAGAGCTAAAGAATGGAGGGGTCGTCGGCAGAGGAGAGTGGGGAATCTTGCGGCCAGGATGACGTCTGCTCAGTGCTGAATGACTCGAATGAGAGGGTCTGATTCGAGAAGATTTTGATGTAGTAATTCGTACAGAATTGGGGAGAACAGACATTGAAGATTTTTGTTCCGTGACGACAGGCACATCGAGGTCTGGATTCCCCGCAGAAAGATTTTCGGCAGGGATGTTGGATGTTATTCATGTACCTGTATCAACACTGCAGCTCAACACGCCCATTTGTATTTGTTGAAGCAGACTCCACAAGTAATGCTATCAATTTGAGGACACCTACCATCCGAAGTCGGCATGAGGTCGCGTTGAAGTCAGCAAGCAGCCTCCTCCTCGGACGTAACGATATCTCGACCTTCAAAGAGCCAATGATAGAGCTACAAAGCTACAATGACCTCCAGACTGGTACTGGTCCTCGGTGACCTTTTCATACCAGACCGAGCCCCAGTACGGAAACACATCTTAAAGTCTCGCCCGCAAGTATCCATGGGCTGATCTTTTTACAGGACATCCCGGCCAAAGTACGCCCTTGTACTACTCGCTCTCCTCGTCTCCCTACTAATCTCCGCTTCGCCAGTTCAAAAAGCTCCTTGCACCAAACAAAATTGGCCAAATCCTCTGCCTGGGCAATCTCACCGACAAAGAAACCTACGATTTCCTTCGGGGCATAGCCCCAGATCTACAGATCGTCAAGGGTGACTTTGACGTCGAAGCACCCAACCTTGCTCTTTCAAAAGTTGTGACACATGGCTCCCTACGTATTGGCTTCACGCATGGGCACACGATAATACCGCCGGGTGATGCAGATAGCTTGTTGATTGCAGCACGACATATGGATGTCGATGTTCTACTATGGGGAGGCACACACAAATTTGAGGCGTATGAGCTTGAAGGAAAGTTCTTTGTGAATCCGGGAAGTGCAACGGGGGCGCTGGGGACAGGGTGGTGGGCAGAAGGGGAAGAGCCCGTGCCGAGCTTTTGTTTGATGGATGTGAGTCGCGATGGATTGGGTTTCTGTGGAGAAAGGAGAGCTGACAATATCTAGGTGCAAGGTGATGTCCTGGTGCTCTATGTATATCAGCTGAAGACTGATCCAAGCGGTGTGGAGACTGTTGGCGTGGAAAAAGTCTCGTTCAGGAAGCAGAACAGTGGTTCGGCAGCTTGACTAATTACACACTTTTTTGCTCGTTTGATCAGTCTTCTTCATTCTTCTTCGTTCTTGTTCTACCGTCACTCCTAGCGTAGCGACTGTCTTTGAAGTCTCTAAAACACGAACATGACCACGGTGATCACTGACAATCCCATAACGACGCATCCAAGTCTGCGCAATCTTCTTTTCCCACTCTTGCCATCCCAGTTCTCTTCAGCCTGACTTTTCATGGCGATTTCGCTAATCTTCGCTCTCCAGGCCGTGGGGATTCCAAGAATTTTGTCGCTGATTGGCAAGTCCTGACCCTTCTGACCAATGTCCTCTGGCTGGCAATTCTGCAATGCATATGTTGGTACGGTTCTATCATCAGAGAGGCTGCTGGGTGGAAAAGACTTTTGCAAAGTGCCCATAGTGGCCAGGCTGACGCCATCATAGAAGCCTTGGGAATCGGAGGATGTACTGTTGTGAATGGGAAAGGGTTGGAACACCGCCGAAGTCTTATAGTGATATTCGAAGCACAGGTCAGATGCACAGCGCAAGACAGTGGCGCAACAGCCACCGCCAACAGAGGCGGGACCTTCGAGCATGTGCATAGGGCGTTGATCCATGTTCTCAGAGCAAGAGAAGGCATTAGGACAGCAGAAGACGTGAGAGGATGTTTGCGATGAGCCGCGACAGGTCGTGTCTGGCGGGCAGCATGTCTCCTGTAAGAAACCATCAGTCAGAAGCAATGGACGAAGCAAAATCCTCGAATTCCTACTGTATGGCCAAATGTCGCACAGTGGTTTTGCTTGTGGCCACACAGTGTGAGAACCGCATCGGATTTGACCTCATCCGACCCACGGAATGGCACGTTTGTTGTGAAGAAATTTGGTATGCACATTCGTGCTTGCGGAGGAATCTTTCTGGTCAGTCCGTCCACTGCAAGGCTGCACACGAGCAAGACGAAAAGTGAGATGACCATGATGCCGCCAGCGGCGATAACAGGTGGCTGATAATTCGTTAGGAACGGCTTCGGCATTGACAATGTGGTAAGGAGAGGATGGCTTCTCGATTGGCGCCGCGAGGCCTGCTAGAGGCGCCACGAGAAGCAGCAGGAGAGTAATCTGCATTAGTTGGGGACGAAGGTCGATGCAGAGGGATAAGGGGGCCCAGCCATTGTGCAGGTTTGAGAGGATGCTTTTTCGGATGTTTTGTACGCAAGACGGATGGAAAGCCCAGTATATTTCAATAAGGCTAAGGCTTGTATGGGAGTGGATGCTCCTTCCGACTGTGTGGAAAGCTGGCGCAAATGCGAAGGAAGAACATTTCAGTGATTGCAGAGACAGCACGCCCAAGGCTTTTCACGGTACATCGAGTATGCCGAATCTGAATGAAATCACAACACGGAAAGATAGTCCAACGAAAAGATCACAGAGTTACTGGTAGCTTTCCATTGGGGTAGGGAAGGTCATGGTTCTGCGAACTGACTGTCAATGTTTCAATATTGCCGAAAAGAGCATAGCTTTAGGGCGAGATTGTCAGCCCTAAAGTATGACTTATGATCCACGGGGATGTCGGCGATAAGATCTTCCCAGCCTGCAACTATCTACCAGCCGCTTTTTATCCAAACAGAAACTTGATATTGACAATTGATTAAAAACACTGCTGATGTTTTTCATCATGAACCATTTTCCTTCTGATTCATCTGCATACGGAATCATCTCTGTTCATCTGAACCATTTGAACAGCAGAGTGGATGTACACGTATTGACCCCATAGACTGACTGCATTCAACTTTACAGCGTCTCGCCAGAATCAAATCGCTGGTGCATCCGTCTTTCTCCCCTACCAGCGGCCAAACGCTACTGTCCCCCATACAATTAGAACCATACGAGCGCAAATGCTTCCTCTAGCTGCCCTTCAGCTTGTTCCAGCTTCGTTGCTTTTATTTATCGCTACAGCTCCGACCGTCACACAAGCCCTCGATAACCCTTGGCCATTTGGCCTTCGACCTTTCTTGACGACCAATTCTGGGCATGAATCTTTGAAAAGAAGAGATGGAATCGCAATCACACCTCACGCGACTCGGGTCCCGATTGCGGTGCGCAAAATGAGTGGCGACCAGGGAGAAATGTTCTTTGCTGAGTACTGGCAATTCGAAGCAGAGACCGACAGCGAGTCGAAGCTTGCGCTGGAAAGAAGGAGACCTATACCACGCTCTTTGGGACCTCTGGAAGATGAACCAACCGTCAAGGATTGGGTCAACGCATCCGTACCACAACCACTGCAAGCTCCCTTCTCTCTCCATACCAGTCACCAACTCAACTCCCGGCCTCTCTTTAGCCGTCTGCTTCGATCCCCTAGGGCTATCTTCGCCCTCGATACTCGCGCTTTTGCTTGTCCTGGCGGTACTTCTGACTGTTCCTCGATTAATCGCCCGTATAGCTGTTGTGCAGCGGGCCTAGTTTGTCAGCTCACAACGGACTCAGGACTGGGAGACGTGGGCTGCTGTAATCCTGGAGAAGTCTGCGGAGAGGAGGTGTCGGGTTGCCCCGAAGAAGATTCCGTCTGTCCCGACAGCTTAGGGGGTGGGTGTTGCATCCCAGGTAGCGTTTGCGATGGTGTTGGTTGTAAGTTGACCATTCGCTCCCCCCAGATCCTGCATGATACTAACCATCGACTCGCAAAGGCGTTGTTGGCACTACATTGACCTCAACAATCGAGCCTACTGTAACCGAGTCTCCCGCAAGCTCTTCTATATCCTCTACGTCCAGCTCCTCAACCACGCCTGATCTCATTCCCGCCGTCCCTCTAACGTCCACGTCCACCTCTACGGCTACAACCTCGACCACCTCAACCGTGACCGCTTCTCCCTCTCATTCGTCCTCTATCTCCACGACGCAGTCTACTAGCTCCCCTGCCGCAGCAATCCGTCCAACCTCATCTGCCGATCCTACCACGACGACAACAGCCTCCGCCGTGACGGTCACGACTTCCCAATGTCCAACAGGTTATTTTCAATGCAGCGCCTACTATCACGCCGGCTGTTGCCAAGTCGGTCGAGACTGCAGCCTAACCTCGTGCCCACTCCCTTCCTCAACACTTGCTGTGAATAGTGACGGCGTCACAGTAGCAGTGCCCAGCGGCACTGGTGGAGCAGCGGTGGGGTTAGGAGCCAGTGGATGTGCCCAGGGGTGGTTCTCCTGCGCGGGCGGGCAAGGTGGTGGGTGTTGTCCTAGCGGCTATGCTTGTGGGACGAGTTGTACGGCTACAGGAGTTGTCGTGCAGGGTGGCGCGACTGGAACTGCCAAGGTCGCAAAGGATAATGGTGCAGAAAGAGCAGATGTGAGGAGCTGGATGGCTATTGGGGTCCTTGGTCTGGTAGCATTGATCGTGTCATAAGTTTGAAGAGTACTGACTTGGGAATCGCGGGTGGTCTTCTGTTTTGCATAGCGAGGAATGCGACCGTTCATGTACTGGGTGACACAGAATGTCAAGTCTTTTATTTATTGATACCCCCCAAGGTTCTTAAGAATCGTGTAGGAATACAACCACAGTTTCTCCAGACCCTCAAGAAGACCGACAAGGGAATACTCCGCCGGTATTATTACACTTCCTCCCATCAAAGCCATAGCCTTGCCCTTCCTTTTCTTGATGCTACTGCCAAACGTCATGCACTTCTACCGCCGCCGCACACCCCGTCGGAACCGTAAAGCTCCTATTCGGCCCATCCTGGTAATGATCTCGGAGTCAGCCTTTTTTCTTTCAAGAAGGGGTTTCGAGTCTTGGGATATATCTTCAGAGTATTGATTCCCGAGACATGTCTCAAGGCTAAGAATTGGAGCCGAAAAAACCAGTACGGACTCCGAATGCACGTACCTCATACGTACTACTCCCGCTGCTTTCCTCCTTAACAAATTTATACTGAAACGTCGTCCCCGCCGGCAAAGACACAGTAACGAACCATCTCGGATACTCAATCTGGTAATCAGTCGCAGAGAGTGAAACCGCGTTTGCCGTGTTCCAGCTACCGAGCTGGGAGATCGAGCCAGCAAGAAGAATCGTCTCGCCGAATGTTGTATTCTCGGCGACGTTGAAGGTTATAGCTACAGATGAGACGGTGGTACATGGTGGTAAGGGTGCAGTAGCGGTGGGGGTACTATAGGTACCTTGCGCTGAGGTAGCGGAGCAGGTGGATGGGACGGTATTGGCGATTGGCTCGCCCCATGACGCAGGCATCTGGCCTGAGCGACGGGCTACGGCTGTGAGGAAGGAGGCGTAGCTCCATGTCAAGTCGACCGCTGACAGAGGGGAGCCGTTACTGCGTGAGAACTGCTCTGCTAGACTTCCGTTGGATGGTGTATACGTTTCGATAATGCCCACATATCCGTCCGCATAGGTCTTGATGGCCGTCGTCAAAGTCGTGAAAGTTGGTGAGGAGGAGGCAAAGGTGCCTATTGCCACGGAAGGCAGGAAGTCTTTGAAGAAAGCTTGATTGATTGCGGTAACGCTGAGAGATCCGGTCTTGTTCCACTGGTAAAGGGCGTCGTAGAGCTGTTCTGCGGCTGCCAGTGTGGCGAGGTACCTGGAAGCATGTTATCTCAATTTCAACATTCAAGCATCATTTCTACTTCTAAGAGACGTACCAGGGGTTACCCCCTTGGTAGATGTCCTCGGGGTACCGGCCAACTGCAACGGCCGAACCCTCAGCAATACCAGAATTGATGGCAAAGACACTCCTGAAGGAGTCCGTTGTGACTTTATGATTGGCCAAAGCCCGCTCGGAGCAAGGCTGAAAGGTGCTGTCATCGCAAGCAGCAGACGGATCAAATGTATGGATAGAGCCCAAGATCGTGTTGACATCCTTGGAACTTCTGCCATTGTCCTCGTTGATGTTCGCAAGGACATATTGGCCATTCCAATAGCTTTGCAAAAAGCAAAGAATTTGAGGAGCTTGGAGGATGCAGCCGTTACATGTCTGACCGATTTGTCCTGCGAGGGTGTTTCCCTCAACCAGGGCGCGATGTTGGACTACTGTGGTGAAGAAAGACGAGCCTGTAAAGACTTCGGAGTCAGCATTCCTCCTTCCAGGCAAGACCCCCGAGCCATGAATGAGACAGCACGAAGGGATACAGCTCTCCCCCCTCAACATGTCTCGCAAATGGTAAAGTGGTCTAGGGTAGGGAGACAAATATACAGACCGTCGGTTTCTTCCCAGAGGTCAAAAGTGGTCTGATTCCAGTACTGGGCGACGTAATTAAGATCATTGGAGATGATTGGCCAAATCGTTGAGGTTACAGTGGAAGTGCCCCCATTCGCAATCAGCCATCTCGAATAAGCTATGAGTGTTGTGGCTCGCAGTGCTGAGCTATCACGTTGAGGCCGACCCCAAGCTCCTGTGAATGCAGTACCATCTCTGCAAGGAGTCAGAGTATGGACTAGGAAATAAGGGCTGGGCAGGTTGCTTACACTTCGAATTTGGGCTCACCGAGCCCAGCACCATTGGACAGGTCACCTGAAGGGTTCGAGACCGCTTGAAGCTGAGCTTGAGCGTAGATGTAATTTTCGATTTCTAATTGCAAGCTAGAATTGCCGGCAATGAACGCATCGACCAAGGCCTTGTATGTCAACGCAGAATCCCTTGTCCAAGTGTAAAAATCTAAAGGTCCTATAAGTCTTTTGCCTTATATCAAAGGGACATAGCCAAGAAAAGTATCTCGTGTTAGAAGAAGGTTTCATAGAGCAACAGCGTGTCAAGGGTTGGAGCGGTCCATAAGAAAGTGTACCGAGGGCTGAATTCTTTCTTTAATGGTATGTAATCTCATTCAAACATGGACAAGAGAGCTTAAGACAGGAGAAGGGCATGAGGGTTGCTGATTCATTGATGAAACACACTGACAGTCCGGATTCGCCTTTGAAGGACTTGCTACAACCAAGCCTGATTTTACCCCAGGAGCCAATGCGCCCCCAGATCCAATGTTACTGAGAACCCCTTGTAGGGCAATTGGACCCTCGGAGGCGATGAAGTTCGCCAGGGAAGCGGTGGCGCGTTCTTCATTATGGTCAAAGGGAAAGGAGTCGACGAGAGGAATTTGGGCAATGAGGTTTGCCGCTGCAGCGAAATGGATGAAGAGAGGGAGCGACAGCATCTTGAGAACAATCGACGGTCCGACTATCAGCACAGAAGACTTAAAGTAAAGGTTACGCTTAGGTTATTTCTCGCTGTTGTTGAGCGTTATATAGGGAAGCCAGCATGCATACATGGCATCATCAACTGGGCAAGAAGGTGGCACCAAGAGGGACAAAGGAAGAGCGCCCTTTCTATACATGCTCGGCATCGTAGCAAATAGTTGCCAAGAGTGCTAGGGCAAATGAACATGGTGAATATGATGATCGAGGCCCTCCAGTACATATGTTGGGTCATGTGTGTGGAGTCTTTCAGGGAAGACCTTACAGAAAGAGATAATGCCCGCTTCATTCGATCCATGTCTCCGCAGTCATGGTATTGACTACAGTTGAGCTGCAACGACAAGGTGAGGGGTAAAGTACCATCAGAGTTTGCGGAAGAAGAGGGTTTGTTGATGGTAGGATGAGCTTGGTGTTCGTATGAAGAAGCGGGGATCACGCTAGGCTTTGATTCCCTCAAAAGGGAAGGTAACATTGGAGTACAACGCCTCTACTTAAACCTCATTCTTTATATGTCATATATCTCAAGAAGATTTCAAGAGAAGGCTATATCGTCGTGTCTCGAATTTATGGCGTTGATATAGCATCAAGGTATGTATGTACATTAATCTTTCCTGCTGATCCATAGTTGTACATCATGACCATTGGTCCCGTCAAAGCTTACTCCTGAACTTTTCTCTCTCGTCCTTCTTAATCAGAACCTCACTATTTGGGTACGGATCAATCGTCAAAGCATTCAAAGGATTCATTTCGCTCGCTCTCTCAAACAGATCCTCGTAGACCTTCCCATCGTACCTCCCTAAACTGCTGTCGAGAACCCAATCCGGAAAATGCCATGCGTCTACGAGCCGTATAGCATGCGGTCTGATCTCTTCAAGCAGTTTCATGACTGTCTTCGTTCTTGCCAGCTGAATCTGTCTTACTGTAACGGCGCCTGAGGAGAAGAACTCTGAAGCCTCTCGCTCTAGAGTGTGTAAAGCGTAAAGACGGAAGAGCTTCTGCATAAGGGCAGTTGTCTCAAGGCCCAGCTCAGACACCATAGACTCGGACTGCAACGCCTCATGGAAATTTCTGACGATCAAGTATTGTGAGTGAGCCGTACTGAGACGCCAAAAGTCGACGAGCAAGCTATTCCAGCTGTTTTTCTCTTCATCGCGGTGCTTGAGCGCTTCGAAGGTGAGAAATGAAGTTCGCCAAGCGAAGGCTGCAACGATGTCTTCGTCCTGTCCAAGAATATCGAATGCAGCGCCCAGGTCGCGTCTCGATAGGAACGTGCGCAATATCTGAGTAGTATCGTTCTCTGACGGGTTCGCGCCTTTGAGGACAGAACGTGCCGATTTTAACAGATACCTCGCCACTTGTTGCGTCAACATATAGTTGTCTCCCTCCCATGTCGTCGTTGGGAGATAATCAGCATACCATGTACCTATACCACTAAAGCTGGAATAGCCGTGGCCCCCACAGGCTCTTCTGCAGACTTCGAGACCCTCAGCCGCTGTTGTACTTGCTAAGGCTTTCAAGCCGCATGACGTTGCATGTAGATCTGCAAGCAAGTCCGTAGAAGGGAACAATTCTTCGGGACTAGGCCCTCGACCAGTATGCGACACCTTCCCTACATCGCCGGCCATTTTCTTCTGGTTTTCTTGGTAGAGAGCCATCATTCCACGACCAGTAAAATGCAATGCGAACGTGGCAGCAAGAAGGGGTAGAAGTCGAACCTGGACCATTGTGTAGTTGAGTACTTGGTTTTCGCCAATATCAGACTCTTTAGCATCTCGGTCCTGGAATTGCCGTCTGACAGCCGCATATCTGGTTGCTATCGTGACTCCACGAGCAAGTACTCCACCGGATTGGAGTACTATAGTGCTTCGAACCCAAGTCTACGTAGTTTTGGGGTCAGCAGATCTCTTCTGGGACCAAATCTGAGCCGTGAAACAGGTCCCGGAAGATTTTTACTACTGCGATAAGTTCTGTAACTCAAAACATAGTACGAATCAGGAGAAGCTGGCAAAAATAACTTACCAAGGTGCCGTAGACTAGGGAAGCTGATGCAGGTTTCACGTATTTGTTTGTCTTGGGGTCCACGCTTGAGAATTTCGCGAGCATGTGAGCATGCGGGACTTTGACATTGTTCAACAACAGAAAGCCATTGTCCATCGTATTGTATCCGAATTTAGGCCCAATGTCACCAACGTGTATGTTCTCCAATGGCTCATGTGTTTTCATGTCTCTTATCTGAACGACGAATGGATGTGGTCCGTAGGGCTTGCCATCGATAATCAATTGCGCCATGACGACCGCATGGTTGGCTGTTCGCCCCATTGATCCAATCCACCATTTTGAAGCTGTCAGGTGAGGCGAATGTAGGGTAAAGGTTTTGTCGTCAGAATTCCAGGTTGCAGTGGTCTCCAAGCCTCGCACATTTGAACCATGACCCAATTCGGTCTGTGCATAGCATCCGATGAATTCATATTCCTCGGCCCTTTTGAGGAATAACTCATGCTGTTCAGGAGTTCCTTGGTCTCGAAGCGTGATCTTGTGGAAATAATTAGGATACGATGGTAATACAACAAAACGTAAGGGTGTAGACGAACCAGGAACATGCTGGCATGCAAACCATATGGACCTGGCTCGCTGATCAATTCTGATGCCATCATGTACTCGTCCTGAGACCAGCGGTGCTGAACAGCAAGTTGGCGCATCCGCTTCGCTCGAGCAAGAGCAGTTTGGAATCTTGCCTCTCTGCCATCGAAGTAATTTAGGGACTTGTTGAACACTTTCTCCGTCTTGAGAATATCCAAAACTCTTTCCTGCCTTGCGAGCACTTCTTTAGAAAACAGGAATTCCGATAATTTCTTCACGGGGACATTGGACTGAGCTCGCTCCTGCTCGAGGAGCTCTGAACCCTGAGGGCCAGAAGGTGTGAGCTTCTTCACCCACTAGGTTGTAGTTTCGGAGTCAGTATTGCCTATCTGAGAGGGTATGTTGAGCTTTGAAACAAGTCTACAGAGTATACACTCTCCAGACATGTCTCAAAGCTCAAGATCTGGTCCAGAAGAGGATGGACTCGGAAAATACGTACCGGAGGTGCCATAGAAACTATATGATCCTGATTTTCTTTTGTGTCTTGTGAACTGCGTATAAGAAGGGATTGGAGGTATGAGAACAAAAAGATCGTAAGTGGTGATCTCGACCTTAATGCCAAGAGTCTGGCGATGCCGAGGACCGAGGCATCATAGTTTAGCAAAGCCCTAATCTAGATTACCGGTGTATCGAGGCGGTATTAATGACATTAAATAACTGGTATGGTGAAATCACGGCTCTTCAGCTTAGCTCCACCGCTGGAGCTTTATCGAAGAAGAACGTGGTCAAAGGTTTGGAGCTTTCCATTCTATCTGTGGCCGCGCTGTTCCAAATTCTTCTCAAAAGCGCTGGTCATCAGGATATTAGGTGTGATGAGACGGTATTGATTTGGTTGTTCCAGCGCGTGATTTATTTAATACACCAATACACCAATACACCGATGGTAATCTCCTTCTTTCCTCCGCACCCGGAAGAATCCTCTTATGCTTAATGCTTTCCTCGAGATTCGAATACACGCTACGAATCTCTTGAGCTCGTGGACTTGATCCATGAGACTAGGAAATTCATAATGCCGTTCGGCTCAATACAAGTAAATGCTTCAAACTACAGACTGAGAGCAAGTCCCTGCAGAGCTAGATTTGCAATATATAAAATCTACTGGACATGCTCGTAGAAGCTTCGATGGGTATGAGCTTCATGTCAAACACCGAGAACGCCTTCGCTTGAACCGTGTGCAACGGGAGGCTGAGACAAGCAATCCAGAAGGTGAAGTGACTGCCTCGAGAGCAGTCATACGACAAATGATCAATCATGTCATGATGTGAAAATTGCTGGTAGCCACGAAGTCCGCCTCGATGACTCTTGAAGACTTTATTAGCAGAATTTTATTTGAGTATGATGGCAATCCACGCTCACCTTCTTCTACAGGCGCGACCTGCTCCTCCACAGCAGGTCTCTCCGATGCGTCCTGCTCGTGACTGGTAGAATCGTCCTCATTCGCACGAGGGTCGCTTAGTCGTTCTGATGCCGACGGGGCGTTCTCTGCATTCTTGCTCTTACTCGCTGCCATCTCCTGTTGCTTCTCCCATGCTTCTCGTCTGTTCTTGTCATCCTTTGCCTTTCGCAGCCTCTCGGCTTCCTCAACGCCACCGCTTTTCTTGAGCTTTCCCTCTTCTACGAAGCTTCCAAGCTCCTTTGTGAACTCACCCTCTTGCCGGGTCTCAAGCTCTCTGTGTCTTGCCTTCTCCGCGCGCTCAATTGCTTCAAGCCTCGTCTCGTGGTTGGGCCGTAGAGCTCTGACCTCTCCTAGAACTCCGTCTTTAGCTTTCATGGGATCCATGACTTGGTCTGTCGAAATTGCTGCCAATCCTTTGGAGGTACTACGTAAAGAAACAGCACTGCCTTGACCGGATTGCAGATTTTGCTGCTTGGTGGCCTGCTCGACCAAAGCAAACGTCTGCGTGGCCTTGTCTAGATCGTCTTCCAAGTCCGTAGCGAGCTCTTCTTGCATTGTCAGAAGGTCTCTGTCATTGCATACAAGCTCAAGTTCCTTTTCCCAGATCTTTGTCCAGATGGGTTTCTCTCGCCTAAGGAACTCTTGCATCTTCTTAAGATCCGCAGTCGCTGTGCTGATGCTCTTGCTGACTTTCTCCAGTTGACGTGGGAGTGGTCGAACACCACGCATGACCACATCTTTACGAAGGTCTTCCACTATATCCTGAAGATCGTCGACACGATTGACAATGTTCTCTGACTCTTCACCTAGGCTCTTCTTGCCTGAGTTAACGTATGCTCGGCCTGTTGAATCATCCAGGCCTGGCAGCACTCCTTCAATGGCCATCGTCTTGATTGATGATGCATTAGATTGCACTGTGGCCATGGAACTATTCATATCTGATACAAGGGATGAGAACGTCTGACGAACAACCGCGAGATCTTGTCGTAGATCCTGGATGCCTGTGATCTGATTCGCTGGCACTTTCGGAGCTTTTGGGGATGTTGATAGTTGAATACCGTTGACTCTCGGCTTTTCAAAAGACCTGATTGGAGCTGGATTTACCTTAGGGGTGATAGAGAGGCGCGCCATTTCTCTGGTAGTGTCTTGCTGACGCTCAGAAACTCGTTGCAAGGCACTTTGCTGCCCGTCAACTGCATTGCGAACGCCCTCAACCATTTTTCGCAAGCCTCCGAGGCCTTCATCGATGTGTCTTTTTACTTCATCCAATACTTCCACGTTCAACACCAAGACTGACCGGTCCTTCACGTCCCGGAGATCCTCTAGCTCATGCCGTACGCCGGACACAGGGTCTTGGATATAGATCTCGGGCAGGTCATTCCCATTATTGTGGGTGTTCCAAGCAAATTTCTCAATGAATGCAAGTTGTAACCTTGCCATAGACAAGTCGTCCGAGCCCTCTGGAAGGAGGAATTTTTTAATTTGCGACTTATACTGCAGGAATAGTGTGAGTTCTTTGCCTGGTTGCGGGGACTGCTCTGGCACAAAATCTTGACTCGTCTGATCGCCATCGACAGGCTGAGAATAGCTGCTCTTTCCATCGGCCGTAGCTCGTGGAAGGCGCTTGATAGATTCTAGGTCGCCGGCGTCAGCCGTGTTGTAAGCCGGCAACCCATCGGGTGGGCTTGTTAGAGTCGCACGCATCTTGGGATGATCAATATCAGGGCTTCTGGTAGCCGGTCCGGATGGGCCGTCAGCTGCCTTGGAGCTCAGGCCATCAGTGTTCTGCACATCGCCTTGCGGACGTGCCTCTTGGGCCTCGTTGCTGTGGCTGCTCTCTTCAGATATACGGTTCGCGGATATATTATTCCTGACTGGTGAGGGCTCCTTGACAGACTTCTGCCGGCTCAGAATGCCTGAACCCCGAACTCGCACAGCGTTCATCGACTCTCTAACATCTCTGCCTCGATTGGGGACTGGAGAGTTCTGCGCTGGGGGTAGCATAGGAACGCCATTTGGGGAAGCTCCGAGGTGCCTTGATATCTGATAGGCTGAGTAGCGTCTCGAAGCTCTTCGTTCTAGGTCGCCTCCTCTCTGCAATGCGGCCAAGGCATCTTGCTGTTTTGGTGGAGGTGGAGGAGGCGGTTGCATATTTGGAAGAGTTTCCCTCTGGGACTGGGACTGAGATGCTGGTCGGTGTATAGCCGCGGTTTGGTGACTAGGTAGCGTCTCCCCATCGGAAGGCGGTGACAGTACAGACGTGGATTGCGAAGCGGTGCTTGAGAAAGAGGAGTCCGAGAAAGACGTGGGCATGCGCCTCTGGCTCTCACGGTTGGAGTTTCGACTCGGTGTGTTGTCTCCCGGACCGCCGCCACTGTTGTGACGGGTGGGTTGTATAGAGGAAAAGCGTGGGGGAACACTCTGGTCCTCTCCGTTGCTTGTTTCTCCACCAATCATGTGTCCATTTAAAGTACTTCCACTGCCAGCGCGCCGCTCTGAACTTTGCACACCTGATCTCCGGGTGGGAACGTCATCCAACATCTGGGTCAAGCCTGTATTGAGACTACTAGCGCTACCGGTCGAGCCAAGGCTGCTGACAGCTCCACTCGGTCCACCCTCCTTGCTAGTTTTTGATCTCAATCTCGACTGCTTCCTTTTCAACCCATGGAGAAGACCGATGATGATGTCGCGTATTTGGGGTAGAAACAGGTCAAGGCTTGCTGGATTGGCTTCTTGGCTCAGCGTTTCCTCAAGAATTGTCCGTAGAAGCTCTGGCACCGGCCCAAGATCGGCGGTATCGACGCCGATACTATTGAAAGCGCGGCATGCAATGTTGAATTCATATCCGAGGCGGACATAAACATCTGAGACATCGCCCTCGGTTGCATTGTCTCGTGACCACTGCGTGAGCGTTTCCAGTAGCTGTTTTGTGGCTATGAGTAAGTGGGTAACGCTCTTCTCTATCTGGGAAAGCTGTTGGCCTGGCTAATGACGAGGTACAATGTTAGTCAGGTGTAGACGTTCCAATGGCATTGTTACCCTCCAACATCTAAGGGAAAGGCCATAAAACATACGTTGGCTTTTTTATACGTCGATGACCTTGACGAACCGGAAGACGTTCGTGCGCCCGATTGCGTTTGAGAACTAGGCTCAGGTGCTGCTGCGGTTGGAGGTGGGTTGGATGGTTCCACGGCGGGCCTTTTCTTCTCTGGGCGTTGGGAATTGGAAAGGGTTTGCATGGCTCCTCATATCCTGGTGACACGGGCAGTCGCAGTATTGAAGGCAGTGAGTGCAAAAAAGGATGCTTCATCGAAGAAAGCCGATGATTTGACCGGCCATTTATGCTGTGCTGAACTGCACTGCTACAGGAAGCCGGCTGTGAGTTCTTTGCGTACAGTCAGTACTTAGGTTCGTAGGAAGCCGCTTTCAGACGGCCTCACCAGCCTCGCCTAGCGCCGTATTGCACGTGCTTGGCGCTCTTGCTTGGCGCTCTTGCTTGGCGCTCTTGCTTGGCGCTCTCCAGTTTTGCACTAATCAATTAAGTAAAGCTCCGTTTTGCTCACCCTCACAAAATCCACTCAATCGATTACTCCATCTCCCGTACTGCGCAGGACCTCCCATCCACCCACAAGAAGCTATACACAGTATAAAATCTTCTACTTTACTCCGCATGCAAATCACACAGCTATCAGCATATCTCCCAGCTCATACCTACTCAACAACTCAATATCTACTTACGAATTACAATTCGTCCTCTTGAACCGCTAGCCTGACCTAAGGTAAGCTCCAGCGGAACGCGGCTTTTCCGCCAGAAGTGCCCTGGACGAATTAACTTCTGCCCCGAAACAGATTTCCACCACCCTTCAACATCTACTCCCTGCCTCGTCTGACTCTCCTTTCAATTGGCCTCAGCGGTCTTTCTCAACCTCTCACACATCCTGCATCTCTTTAGAGTCTTTTTTGACGGCGGCTTGAGACACAGGACAAGTACATTTCACCGGTCTCTCGCTCCCGGTCGGGGGGTTGACCGTCCGGGCACCAACCCCGGCCTGTCGTGACAATGGCCACCGCAATGGTGAATGGCGGGCCAAGCGCAGAAGGAAATCCTACCGGACCTACAATGTCCAGCACCGGGAAGCAGCAGCCTAAGCCTGCCGGAAGTGCTGGCAGCAAGCCTAGCGATGGCAATCGAAAGCAGGCGGGAAACCTCCATGATGGAGTCCAAAAGTAAGTGGCATATCTCTACATCACGCCATCTGCAATTGTATGATGTGAGGGCCTTTGTACAGCGTTGGGAGTCATCCTCCCTTGCACTGGTCTCTGCTCAGCCGTACCTTCGATCTGCCTTACCCTTCCCTCTCCAGCTGTCGAAAAATCACAAGTCCCCTTCTCCCTTCCCGATCTTGTCATCCAATCGAGAATTCCAATCCAAGCATGAGATAAACCCAGGCTCACATGCGATTTACAGACGCAACGTTCCTCAGAAGGCTTGGACATCCGGCATGAATCCTATCACTCAGCGATCGACTACTTCTGGTCAACAGAATGGGGTTGGACCTCAGGCTAAAAACAATGTCCACAGAGCTGCAATCAACCAGGAGGCGAGTATAGAGAAGCTCGCAAATGAGCGGCTAATGTACCTGCTGGTAAATTTCATGGTAAGCGACCGAGATGAGACCAAGCATTCATGAATCTCTAACAAATCTCATGGTTATAGGGCCTTACTGCTACTGTGACATTGAAGAATGGTGAAGTTTTCTCCGGGATTTTCTTCGGAGCATCTCTGGAACACAATGAGTCCACTTACATACTCAAGATGGTGCAGCAGATCAAGACAACCGAGAAAAGTGAGGTCAATGGCACCCAAGATGAGATGGGAGCCTTTGTTGGTGTTGGCGAAGACCACACAATGTTATTCGATATCCACGATGTGACAGATCTTGCTGTTGAAGGTGTCGGGCTAGGTGCTCAAGATAAGCACCAAAATGGTAACAATCCCTCTGCATGGCCAAACACCATCAACTCTATAATAACGCCTTGTAGGTTCTACAACAGGGTTTCGCACAGACACTGACATTTCGGGCAACCTTGCATTTCGTGAACGACAATTGCAGCGCTGGACTTCCACCGCGGATACCGATGTTGATCTCTCTCTTGAGGGTTCAGGGTCGGGAGGGGCATGGGATCAGTTCAAAGCGAACGAACAGCTCTTTGGCCTAAAGAGTGACTACGATGAAAACATCTACACAACGAGAATCGACCGGTCAAATCCTTCATATCGCGAGCGTGAAGCAGCAGCAATACGCCTTGCACAGGATATTGAAGGAACATCAACCAGCAATGCCCACATGCGAGAGGAACGCGGGATGATTGACGAGGACGGTGGGCTCGACGAGGAGGAGAAGTGAGCAAAACCTCCTTATTTGCGGAAAACGAAGCTAAACATTAAGCAGATACAGCGGCGTCCGTCGCCAGGGAGCAGATTACCCACCTCTTCAATCTAGCCAGTCAAACAGATACATGCCACCAGCTCGCAGACCACTGAGCGGGAAACCAACCGTGGCAGGTGCACCCGTAGATTCCGCAATCATCTCTTCTCAGATTGCTCGATCAGATGCGAGTCCTCAAGTACAAACAAATACAGCAGTAAGACCAGCTGAAAATAGCGCAGCGGCAACAACTTCTGGTGATGTAAAGTCGGAAGATGTCAAGAAAGAAGCCGTCAAAGATGTCTCTACAAGCAAAGCAGTTGCTGCCAGTACACCACGCCCACCGGATACCTCCAAAGCAGCGACTCCTAACGCCACCGCTAATGTGGAGACCGAGGTAACCGAGGTATTAGATTCGTTTCGAAATTTCGCCATGTTCGAGAAGAATAGACTCGCAGATGACCGCCGCAAACGGGTGAGTCATGACAAAGCTATCAAGTTGAACGATTTGAAGAAGTTCTCGACGAACTTCAAGCTTCATACGCCCGTACCTAAAGATTTAGTCCCCATTCTTGCAAAGGACACAGCAAAACAGCATGAGATCGTGGAGAAGGCTCAGCGTGAGGCCGAACAAAAAGCGGCCACGCCTCCGAAGACGTCGGCTAGTTCCGCAGATCAGCCATCAACCAAAATCCCTGTCGAGTCAAAGCAAGATGGAACACGGGCTCCCCCAAACACCGCCGAGCGGCAGGAATATACAAATTTTCGACAAGGAATGCCTCCGCGAGGCCCGCAAGCTGGCATGCCACCGCGTGATAAGCAACAGCAGTTTTCGAACTTCCTTCCCTCTTCGCAAAACGGTCAGGGTCTTCTCAGCCATCGCTTAGCCGAAAATCATGGCCGACACAAAGCTGGCATGCCAGCATCCATTCCGACCCCACTTCCAATTCACAGTGCCCAGAAGCCTCCCAGACCTATCGCCAACGCTGCTCAGGTGCCTAACTCACAAGCATCAAGCACTGTACGAACCCCAACTTCTGCAGCTTCTGCCAAATTCAACGTGTTCAAGCCTAACCCAGCGGCTAATACGTTCAAGCCCACTGGACTGCCCAGCGCTGCTTCCAGTCCAAGATCAAGTGCCAACGCTAGGCCTATGTCTCGAGCTCCAAGTCCGAGCGATTTCTTTGGCACCAAAAAACCGGTTTCGTCTGGCGAGAGACCTTCCATCCTGGAGAACTTCAATCCTTTGAAGCGTCTCAGGGAGAAAGCGCAAAAAGAGGGGAAAGCAAAAGACTATGCTGCGAATGGCGGCATTGTCTATGCTCATGCGACCCCAGTCACCTGGACACAGGTGAAGAGTGACGAGAACTTCAAGTCCTACAAAGATATGTATGAAGATCCACCGCCAGCGTCGCGCGGTGTCTCTCCACAACAATCAACAGCCTCTCCGGTCAATTCAGCCCTCTTGCATCAATTACCTGCCCATTTGCAGCACGCTCCGCAAGGGGTTCCTCATTTGCATGCTCCTCAGCAGGTCCCGTACCCGGGTCCGCCACAGCCACATCATTTTCCTGGCGTGCCCCATCATTACGATGAGCACCGCATGCATCCGTCTCCATCACAGTCTTCGGCATATTCAACATCTCGGGTACAAGGACCTTATCTGGCCTACCCACCGCCAATGGGTCAAGTACCATATGGGTATGGCCAACCAGCGCCGCCCCATGTTATAGGCCCTGGTGCTCCTCAACCACAAGCCTTTAGACCGGTCCACGGCGGCCCACCGTATGGACAATCCCCAGGGCAACAGTTTTCGGCTCCAATGATGGTCCATAATTCCTCTCAGGGAAGTTTCATGGGTCCACATGGTATGCCCGGGCCCCAAATGCCAATTTTCGCTCCTGGACAAGCTGCTCCGTATGGTGGGCAGTCGCAGCCGCCAAGTGGATTTCCCAGTCCCGGGAGAGCAACGCCTATGATACATCAAGGCTCTTATCAAGGGCAGCCTCCAGTGTACGTGGGTAATCAGCAGTACGGTACGCCGATCTATGCACAACAACCACCTCAACACAGTAAGATGCTCGACGCGGAGACTCTATTCACTGCTAACGCGACATAGCAACGCCTATGCGAGGCTATGCATCTCCGCAGCCGCATTACAGCCAGAGCCCCCAACAGCAACCACATTTCCCACCCCAGGTCAGTCGCGTGCCTAGCAATAGCTATGCGCACCATCAGTATCAACACATGCCTGCGCAGCATAATCCTCCCCCTGGAGTGCCCATGGATGGAGGAGATGTTATGAAATGAAGACGCGATGGCGATCGCGGAATTGCCTGCCGTCACGACCGGCTTCTGCACGGCCCTTCGCTGCAGACTACTACTGACGCGCAGCATAGGCGAAGGCTCACCCAGGCGTCGGATGCAGCTGGATATTGGCTGAGTACTTATTGTTTTACCTCTTACACGATTTAGCGGCATCATCATACCCGCGGCATGAGCAAAGGGCGTTCCGGCTAGTCTAGACTACGCGTCCGGCATGGAGGAAACACGGTATCCATGCACAAGGACACAAAAGCGAAGGCGAGAATGGAAATTGAATGGAGCGGGATAGCTAAAGCATCAAAAGTGGCGTGGATTTAGGGTGAGAATGTGTAGAGCGAAGGCGAGGTGAGTACAAGAGAGATCGAGAAGTGTAGAGAGGTGTAGCTTGGCTGAAAAGGTATGCATTGGTAGTTGCAATGGCTCGAGTGGCAACAGCTTAGGAGCTCTAACTATCAATCAAGACCTTTCCGTGAGTACTTGTGTATTAATGAACAGCGTTCCGCAAGTATGTTTATTGGTCTTGGACTTGCATACTCGATGAACACGAATGTGTTGGGGTACCCTGAAGGTTCGAATTGTAGACTCTTTAGTGCTAACACCGGACCACTGTCTACCGCTCTTCCAATTATCTTCTCTGTATCCTCGTCACGCCTTTGATATTTCACTTCATATGTGTCAATGTAATTGGGTATCACCAGCGACCCCTTTCTTCACCATGCTCCATGCCCACAGTCATATCAGGGCCTAATTGGATCAACCACCCCTCTAACGATTGCATCACTACCTACTGAGCTGAGCACCTCTGCAGGAATCCCACAACTTCCACAACAGATAATCAACGACCCATTGCTAATCTCACCCCTTCTTTCCACATCCCTTCAAAGTATGGGAGACGAAGATTAGAACGGGGAGACGATTCGCGCAGCGCGGCCTGTGCTTGCTGCGCCGGATGAAGACGACCGGGCTGAGAGGGGGCAATGGGCGGTGTTGAGAGGTTCGGGGGGGTCGGGTGGGCTTTTTGTGGGTAGGTGTTGGGGTTCTTTCTCTCTCCCTTCGGGATTGGGCGGATGGAGGTCGTTGGGTCTGTAGACCTTTTGTGAACGCTCACGTTGTTGGATATGAAAGGGGTTTGGATTGTTGATACGAGCTGTGGTACTGGTGTGACTACGTCGTGATGAGGAGTAGGAACGACGATCGGATACTGTGGAATTTCATCTTCATCGTGGCTGGGTGAGAGTTGAGAGGTTCTCCCTAGCTATAGTTTGATTAAAATGTTGACTTTGCTAAAAAACAATCTCTCTCGAGTTTACGGACCTACGGAGACGCAACCCTCGGTTCTCTCACGTCTCAAAAAGCCAGATAGACAAATCAAGCCCAACCATTTCCCCACAATCCGCCAATCTCACCCACTGCCGATGTCTTAGAATATCTTTGACCTTCTTCTACACCTCGCGCACACCGCACTCCCATTTCTCCCTACCGTTGCCTCGGGTGGTCCAACCCCTGTACTCAGCGCCGGCGCCGCCACAGACGGAAAGGTCGAGGTCACCGGATCCCCAGTCTGCTCTGTTGTTCCCTCCGCTATCCTTGCTCCCGCACTTTGCGCCGGCTCCACGGCGGAGTGAGGTGCAAAAGTCTCGGGACCTCTAAGCGCCGACACGATTGGCGCAGGGCCGATGAGCGCCGGCGCTGCTGATACGGGAGCTGGAAGTGTTACGTCGCCGCCGTCCGTACAAGTATAGACCGTGGTGATGGAAGCAAAGGTGACTGTCGCTGTCGTAGTATACTCAGCCGCGGTGAGTGTAGTTGTGTATGTCACCACGACGGTGCTGGGCTCCGTACTCGTGCTTCGTGCTGCGCTCGGGGTCCACGCGTTGCCGAGATCGGTAGAGGGCGTGGCCCACTTGATGGGGAGGGAGGTGATACGGAGCGTGGGGGCGCTGGGGGTTCGAGGATCGGTTGGGATGGTACTTTGGCTGGACGGGGATGGTGCTGTTCCACTGACGGCGAGGACAGCCGGCGTAGGTTCTTTATCAGCGCTTGCAACGGCAGCTACCGTGTCTGAGTCGGTCGATATGGCGGTCACAGGCGCGCTTGTTGGTGAGACCATTGCGGTATCTTGAGCTTGGGGCTGAAGTTGTTCGTCTGCGCATTCGGCTAGTGATGCTGGGAGAGTAAAGTAGCAGCCACAGTAGGCGTAAGCTTGCATTCTGTGGAGGCATTAGACAAGAAAGGTAAAGCACATGTCCTAAAGATGACTAACGTGTAATTGTTGCAGTCTTGGTAGCCTAGGAGTGAATCAGAGCAAGCCGTGTGATCATTATTGTTGGCCATCAAGCAGCCATGGAAAAGATCGAAATACTGGCCACAGGTGTTGGCGGCAGATTGTTGCATGTGTACGGTCCTGAACGAGCATCAGCACAAGAGCGAAGCTGGGATGGTTGACCAAAGCGCCCACATTTGGTTGGAACATGTGGGAGAGTCATTGGCAAGAGTCTCGTTGCAAACATTGGCAATGATCTGAATGATGTCAGTAGAGATTTCACTACGGCTTGTCGGAGAGGACGCACCGATGACTCGCTGACATCTGGCGCCGCTGGTTCGCAGACTCGGCGCGCGATAGCCTCGTCGGACGCAAAATCTCGTGGGACGAATCCTGTCCCTGCTACGGGCTGAGACAGTAAGAGGAGTGCGCAGAGGGTACTGATGCAATTGATATATCTCGTGGACCAAGGCATGGTCCTAGTACTTTAGAGAGCGGTGACAGCTTGATTGAGGACAGTGACGATGACAGCTGATGAGTAATAGAAAGGGTGACGACCTAGAAACCAGGGAGGGGTAGACCATGAAGAAGGAGCGCGTTACTTCTATCATTATTTAATTCCTCCAGCCCCGTCTACTGCTTAGTCGTTGTGAAAAGACATGAAGATGTGCTAGCCTCCCAACCTCCATTTCTTTGGGGAAACATGATCGGGACGCATTTTTCATACCCCCCAAAGCTATGAACCTTGAAAGAGTGCGCTGGGTAGGGTCTTGAACAGGAAGTTTAGTCAGGAGTTATACAGCTTTGGAAAGCCGACGTGCGATTGCGCTTACGAAATTGCATGGAAGAGTATTGTGAAGAAAGGTGTGCAGCTGCTGATGGGGTGGGGGTTGCATTCCAACATTCCCTGCTTGCGAAGAATGTTGTTGAGTCTTCTGCTGATAGAGGCACAATGCATTGGCCTTTGAAACTAGAGGTGTCACGGTGTTGTATTGCAGAGCTAGAGTAATGCAAGAATCTGTCATCCGAAGAATTATGAAGGAAATTCATGTCCACCGCGGTGACAATAGACGCAAGTTCAAGTGCATATTAGCCTGGTCCGGAGCCGATCATAGCGAAGCCATCGACGTATCTGAGCAATATTGAAAGCAAGTAGAGATCAAATTATGAGGTCCCAGTGAAGAATAACGGCCTCTAAGAGACACGCTGTAAATGTCCGGCAGAGGGCAACAGTTGCGCGGGTAGTGAATTTGGTGCCGTTGATCGCGCGCTAGTTCTGTACGTAGCCTGGAGAAACGCTCATCGATGCAAAGGTGGAGTCCGGAGCGTCGGAATTTGGACGCTAAGGCCTCAGTAGGCCAATGGCGGCGAATTGCCCGCTCGGACGCGTCTATTCGGCTCTGTGTGCCTTGATTGGCGTATTCGACGACGTCAACCGCACTTCAATCGAGAGCATGTCCAGGGACCTGTAGAAAGGATGACTTTGGAAGCGGGAAACATGGATGGGATAAGGACTTTCCCAGTCATGGAGGTGCACGCAGTCATCCAGGAGCGCAATTAGACTAGGTGGTGTCGGTTAAACAATGTAGATCACCGCCGTCAGGGTGACCTTGTCCGCCGTGCTGTTTACGCAGACCCATAGTCCGGTGGAGCCAAACATGAGCCGAAGAGATGCGATAGGGAATCCAAGTAGAGGGAAGAGTTTGACCTATGCGATTGGTCCCAGTGGCGGAAGAGGTGCGGGTAAGATACGATGGGAGCCAATAATGCAGCGTTCCCGCGTGAGACCTCATGCTAGAAACCTATCGGCCTCCAGAAGAACCTTGTCCCCGAGGGGAGGACGGGCCGCCAGAAGCCGATGGCGTGCTGGAAGATGACCGTGCGCCATCGACTCGGGGTGCGTCGCCTTTGTAATGATTCCAGAATCTGGCAACGGCTTGTTGTGCCACAGCATTATTGTCATAACGGCTGCGGTAGTAAGTGAACACGGCGAACTCCTCCTTTCTCATCACATATGTCGAAGGTTGGGTTTGGATACGACGCCAGATATCCCCAATGTTTCTTTCAAGAGTTTGTGTAACGGCTGGAGGGATTTGCCCGTTCTGATTGGCTTTGGCTATCTCGAGAGCGTTTGCCACCGTTAGTTGATTCGAAGCCTGGCCACCCATTTTGTGGTGTCAACGTCGAACGAAAGGGCTAATCAGGATCAAGGGATGCCGACGCAGCTTGCTGAGGAGGAAGAAAGAGGAATACGTCGGAGGGTTGGTAAATGGGACGGATACGCGTTTTATATACGGGTTGAAGAACAAGGCGAGCACGAAGGGATGGATATGAGATGACCCACTAAATGCCCATCACACATCCAAGGCTTTAGACTCGCGTAGAAGCTTCGGATAATGGGAAAGCATATGGTGAGGCATGTAAGGCCCATGGAAGGTCAAACGGGTCGCATATGGTGGAAAAGGACGAAGAGACCTACTACAGTAGCCATTGGCAGACGCTCCACGGAAGCACGCTCCATACCTAGCAGAGCCTGATACAGCGGTCAGGCCCGTCTGACAGCCAGCAGGACGAGGTCCGTGCAGCGTCGACTGCAAGCAATTTAAATATGCAAGGTATGTGGGTATGGGGAAAGTGACTTGAGGCAAGTATAAGGTTGGGCACCTGAACCGTCCGGGAGATATTCTTTTTGGGAGTGCCCTGCATGATGCATGTGACAACGCTACCTGGCAGCTTAATGCCTTGGTCGGATAAAAGATTTCAAGGGGAAGAAATTGTCTCAGCTCTGTTAGGGTAGAGTGAGCAATGGTTTTTAGGGGAAGGGCAAAGTACGGCAAAGTATATATGAGGAATGCGAGCTTAGTCGAGTCCAATATGATTGCACATTGGTGGGTAGGCGCCGTTCTAGAGAGTTTTAGACTCACTCATGCCCTTGGAGTAGACTGGCAAAGGAGGCAAGGCAAGGCAAGGCAAGGTAAGGCAAGGCAAGGCAAGGCAAGGCGGATGTTAATCAGCACGGATTATGAGACGAGCTAAAGTAAGTAAGATACGGTAAAATAAAATACTTATCTCAAGCCATCCCCCACTTCAAGCCGTGGATGATTACTCGCGTCTTTTGCATACTTACACCATATACACCTTTTCCATTCTATTCCTCTTGTCAGTATCCCCTTAAATCAGACTTCAGGAAGCCAGAATTATAATTTGGCGGAGTGTCATGTGGAGGTTACGTGGAGACGTTTAAACCGTTGATGGTGAGGATAAGGCTTCTACTCGTTGTCGTTGGAGGTTGAATTTTTCCTCTTTCGCCGAAGAAACTCCACGTGCCGCCAATGGAGAAATTTGGCGCTATTGCGGGGTTTTCATTATCACATATCACATCCCTAAAGTAAGAACATCATCATTAAAGTACACACACCTATCACTCTTTACCCCCACCTCGAAAGCTCGATGTGATTCTACCCTCGAGTATCTCTGACTCTTTTATGGACCACTCTCGCACCAATCGCTGAATTCTCATCATGTCAAAACCCCTTCAACCAAATCATATCCCGGTTAGAATCAAATGATCGCTCCCAGCCTTTAGACTCTTCGCATGAAAGAATCATTTAGCCAAAGCTAATCACCGCTCACGCTCATTGTTTAAAATTTGCACACGGATTAGAGCCAGTCACCAGTAATCAGTATACAACACTCCTGGCTTGGCCTGACAGGCCTAAGCAGCGAGATGACCACGACCAAAGTTTAGCAGTGATAATGTTATTTTGAACGGTGTCGTTCATTTTACCCGTTGCGGAGGCCGCATGCATTATCGGCGTCGGAGGGATACGAGGGTAGTGGACATTGCCATATTGGATTTGCTGGAATTGAGGCTCAAGCAGTTGATATGTCGCTTTGTGTTGAATTGTCCCTCGGAAGTTCCCCTTATAGGAGAGGCTGCAGTTGATCACTGCCGTGGGGAGGCGTGGGGACAAACCTGACAGCATTAGCTTCAGCCACAAGGATGAACTCTACTCGGCTAGTCTGCAGACTGCTGCACCTTCCCCCCCACAGTCCTAAATGTCAGACTTGTGAGTAGAATATTAATACCTTACATGCACGTACTTTACTTTACTCTACTCTACTCTACTTTACTTTACGCTTTCGAGCGCCACCTCGGAATTGAGCTGGTGCCGATAGGTAAGGTATCTCAATCAATTAGGTACTGAATTTATGACAACCTCTATTCTTATTAGAAATTCACACTATACGTGGCACCAGAACTCCACCAGCTCTCCTCTCCAGAAGCGAACGCTACAATTTCATTATCCCTGAAAACCTTCTGAAAACTAAAAAAAAAAGTAAGAAAGCTTTTCCTTCAGCCATTTCTTTAAGGTACATCACTACTACTCACAACTTGCTGTGCCTCGATAATATTATCCATCGCAAGCATGGCCACTCATGGCTAGAGAAGTCTTACTTTGAAGCAGCACCAAACAAGCACCAAAAAAAGGACGTGGAGCTGAGGAGTAAGGCTACAGCTAAGAACAATGAACGAAACGCTTTGACCACATCGAATTCTCTTATCCGCTGGCGCTGGGAGACGTTAACAGCGGGCCTATGACTTTGCCAAAAAGCCATGCATGGTGCGAGGAGTCATTATTAGTACGGAGTACAGGTCACTATGCTATTCCTTGCATTGAACCGTAGTCTGGAATGCCGCTGGGAATTGGCGCTGGCACCCAAACGCACCTGCAGCATGCAAATCCAGGGTTGAAGAAAGGAACGAGCCTGATTGGGGTCTGTAACCCGAAGGGACAGGGGAGGAAAGATAGCCTGCCAGAAACGCTTTGTGGCGATTAACATGCAAGATAATGTAGGGTTGAAAATCCTCTACATGTATGATCTTCTGGCGGGTCGAAGCGCTCCCATTCCCGTCCACCAGGTCTTCGAAATGTCGACGATGCACGTGACTCAGCCTTATCGGCAACCGGCCATTCTACGGAGTAGAGCACTAACCTCGAAAAAGAATATCTCTTGGCATCAACCGCAGGCCGACACCGACACCTTGACGAAAAGATGACAGTGACTACATCAAGGACGAGCATCTTCACAGCATCCACACCCCCATAACAACAACAACAACAACAACAACAACCATCCACCAACCATGAAGCCATACCAGCTCCTCCGCACCTCCCCCTACCTCCGCACCGCCCTCCAACAAACCTTCACCACCGCATCCCGAACCCGGCCACCCCACCCTCCCCCCCTCATCAACACCCTAACCCGCACCGCCCCCCGCCGCCGCCCCCTCTTCAACCCCCTCACCCGCGCCCCGCCCCGCCGCCCCTACTCCACCGACCCGCCGAAACCCGCCCCCCCCCACTCCCCGACCGCCTCCCCGCCCTCCCTCTCCCTCTCGCAGCGCCTGCGGAAGCTGTCCCGCGAGTACGGCTGGTCGGCCTTCGGCGTCTACACGCTGCTCTCGGCGCTCGACTTCCCCTTCTGCTTCGCCGCCGTGCGCTACCTGGGCACGGACCGGATCGGACGCTACGAGCACGTGGTCGTCGAGCGGGTCAAGGGCGCGGTCCCGGAGTCGGTCCGGGAGGCGTGGCGGACGCGGACGCCGGCGGAGGGGACCGGGGTCGAGGGGTATGCGGCCGTGACGGGGGATGGTGGGGTGGGGGTTGGGGTCGCGGGGTATGACCACGGGGTGAAGGAGGCGGAGAAGAGGAACGAGAGCGAGAATGCTAGTGGGGTTTGCCCCGAGCCCGGTCATTATTGAAGACGTGGACTGACGAGCGCTGCTAGGTATCTGGACGCAATTGGCGCTGGCGTATGCGATCCATAAGAGTTTCATATTCATCAGGGTACCGCTCACGGTTGCTGTCACTCCCAAGGTCGTCAAGGTGCTCAGAGGATGGGGGTGGGATATAGGGAAGAGGAGACCGAAAGGGGCGAAATGATCAGGAAGTGTCACTCGTGTATATATCGAGATGGGAGGAAACACGGAGTGTATGATAAGGGAAGGGGACTGCTACTCATCTCAGTGATGTGCTGCTCGCCGGGAGATTATAGCCGAAGAGAGCCGGTCTAGCAATACAGCATACGATTAAGTCTCAATCAGTACAATACGCGAGAATAATATATGAGTCTGTCTGATTGCTATATGTCCATGTGAGAATCGCGCTATCAAGTTCTATAATGCTGCATCAGCATAAGATTGTCCTCGGACATCTCTTCCGATCGTATGTGCACCTCACGGACAGTGGTACACTCCCCAAGCTCCACCGCTCCACAAGCCGAGTGTTGACACTTTTGTTGGATAGGAAAACATCCCGTCGGGTATCTCTAGAAAAAGTGCCGTAAATGCGCCACGAAATATTGTACAGGTCTTGGGAACATCGCTCTTATCGACGGTTGTACATTGTCAAGGCACTGACTTCCTTGGCCTGCCCCGACCTCGAACAGCGGGGGCCTTGTTCATAGCCGTGCTCTCGAAGGCAGCAGGCATTGACTTTCTCGGTCTGCCGCCCTTCTTTTTCAAGGAAGATTCGACGATCGTGGGTGCACTTTTTGCCGCCCCAACGATTTTGATCTTCTTCCCCATAGAGAATATGGATTTCGGTGCAGCCAATAATTTGCCGTTCGGCTTCCGTGGTGAATCCTCGTCACTTGAAGTCGAAGAAGAGTCTGAATCAGAAGACTCCTCTTCCTGGTCCTCGTCGTTTGCCCACTGAAGAGCTTTTAGCTTGGCCTTGCGATTTTCTTCGGCGAGTTTCTGCGTAGAGCCCACGGGAACAGTATTCGATTCGGGTACTTCAACCGCAGCTTGCGTCCCTGACACTATTCCATCTGCGAATGAGACTCTTGATGGCTTAGGTGGCCTTGGAGCTTTGGTTGCGGACTGAGTCGGGGGGAGGGAAGATTCGAGATCATGATTGAGCTGGATTTCCGGTGCACTTGGGTGGTGGGCTGGCGGCTCTTGAGGTGGGGAAGACTTCCTTCTACTGGGAAGCTCGTCCGTTGTAAGAGATCGATCGCCTTCGCGTCGCTCGGCTAGATACTTGGGTAACGGCCGCGGCCCCTGAGGTTTGTTGACTGGCACGAACGAGATGGCTTCCTCTTGAACAACCTCCGAGTCACTGGAGGGCTCGGTATACTTTACCGAAGTCTTCCTTGTCTCTTTCGCCGGAGCTGAGGCTGTCGAGGATTTAGGAGCTTTCCGCTTTCGAGTTGAGAACTCCTCGTCCAGCTCCTCTCGTGTTCTTCTCTTCTTGGGTGGCGCAGTAGGCACCTCGGCGGGAGCGATCGAGGGCAAGTCTGACTGTAATATAACCGGCGCTTCTTTCCTGATGGCCTGGATCTCGTTCGTTGTTCTAGATTGTGGGTGAGTGGCACGGACGGTGGCTAATTTGGGTTTGGGGATTAGCAACTTGACTCGTAGGCTCTTTCCCGTGATTGATGCTTCAGTACGGATGTACCGATCACCTAGCTTTGCATCTTCAAGCATTTGCTCGAGCTGAGTAAGGTGAGGGGGCTGGGGATCGTTAGGTCGTGGTGGCAGTACAACGTCACTCTCCACTAGTTTCCCCACATTTTGTTTTGGCGTGTTCGGTTGCAGGTAATTGCTTGGTTGCTTTGAGGGTGAGGACTGAGACATGGTCGGATCTGGATACTCGTACGCAATCCCATTGCTTGTGAAACGCTGGCCTTGATTGTTTTGGTTGATCATGTTCGCCATTGGCGCCATGTGGTAAGGGCGTCGAGTTTCCGAGGTCATATCTCGTTGATTTTTTTCCCAGTCCATTTCGTCATCCGATGAAGATACACTGCTTGACCTATCTCGGCCTCTGATCTGGGCTCGATTGGACGATTGGACGCGGTTTGTGTCTGTGCCTCTCTCCATCGAATTTCCATTCATGTGCACACTGGGCTGATGCATACTAAGCATGGGGTCAATCGGGATACCAGGTTCCGTAGACTTGGTGCCAGAATCGAGGTGTTGGCTTTGACCGTTCACTCGAGTGGGTTCTTCTTCGTCCACATAGTTATCATTCAATGCCGGATCTCTGGCCTTGATTTGTTCCGCCTCGTCTTTTCGTCGACTTAGTCGTCTGTTGTCTTGTGGATGGTCATCTCCGGTCTTCTTGATCCATGTCCCATTCGAAACACTGAAATCAACAAGACTCTCGACGCTTCTTGGATCCGCGACTTTCCTCGTATCATGTCCAAGCATTGTACCACTGGGTTCGTATGGTTTGAACCCGGCAACTGTGCTACACTTTGCAACAGAACATATTTTGAGACAATGTGGACACTCCCAATTCGGATCTTCCATCACAGTCAATGGCATCAAGTCGAACCCACGGAATAGGCTGCCATAGCCGTAGTGACGATCGCATTTGGTGCAGGTCGCCAGCTTCCATCGGTATTCTGGGTGTTGCGAGACGTGATCTCTTGCATACTCCTTGCCAAGTTTGTCAAAATTGCGTTTCTTTGGCTTTTTAATATTCCCTTCGTCGTCTACTTCAATTTCGTCATCCGCTTTCTTGGGAACACCGACTTCTTGTAGATTTCTTTTCTCGAACGATGTCAGCGAGGGTAATGGATTTGCGGGATCACTCCAAGGTCGGATCTTCAATTGCTCTTGACAAACTTGAGCCAATGTCTTCTTACCCAAGTTCCTTCTCTCCACATCCAAAGGCTGAGGAGACTTATCACTTATACCATTTTCGAATTTAATGATCTGGTGTCTCCACTTGTCATGTTTCTGTACAAGCTCTTGCCAGGGAAATTGCTCCACCCATTTGTACTTCGATAGACAGCTGCAGCTGCGGCCCATGGCAAAACATTCCATGCAGATGTCATATGTATCTTCGTCCCCATTCTCCAAGGTTATGATACAGGTGGTACAAGTCAGAAATCGGTTGAAAATGTTACAACGACAGTATGAGCATGTGACGAAGCTCTCGTAGGGAAGATACTGACCTCGTTTCTCAGATGGAGAAACAGGAGCCAGCATTTCAGAGAGCAGGATTGTCGTATATAGAGCGAAGAGGCGCTTGAAGTCTTTCTGAAGCTGGCGTATCTTCGGACTATAGTCAATTTCCATTCGTGCGTGATGACTTGGTGCCAATTGTCTCTGCGTATCAGCCTGCTTCAGGAGATCTGAGTATTTTATCAAAGCAAAATAAACAATGGCTTTGTTCTTGTACTGCTCATCTCGGCAGACAATTCTTGCTCGCGGTAGTGCCTCGTGCATGGCCATTTCGAGGGTCTCAACTGTTGTTCGATTCCAAGCCACTTTCATAGTAACCGTTCCACGATTCCATACTTGATGTGGAGCTAACGGAGGAATGAGGACAAAGTCTCCAACTCTTTGGTCCACGATGTATGTTTTGAATGGTGCAGCTTTCCAGGCGTTTACTTGGGCAAAATGCGACTCTACCTCGATGTCATGGCCCAAGGTTGCTAACCAATACTCGGACACGGTGTGTCGGTCATTGGTTTCCGTCATAAACCATATCGATGAACCGGGTTTCGTAGGCTTGCCATGTCCATCTTTGAGGCCTGAAGTCTCCACCATCAGATTTTGTCCTAGGCTGGCACACATCTCTCGATGCGCAGGTGTGTATGTGCCCTCATGGCCGATATAGCACATCATGTTATCTGCTCTCATGGACGGAGGAAGACAGCTCATCAGGTCCCCAGCTCTGGCGACACCTAGCCCTTTCATATTGCCTGAATTGTGTTCCTCTATTGACCCTGGCCCGCCAAAATCACCAATGCTTTCATTGAGGTAGAAAACGCTTGGCGGAACCTGTTCCTGTAGCTTGTCGTGCCATATCTGAGGACAGTCAATGTCTTTCAGATATATTCTCTGACGATCGCGTTCCTTGTAATTTTGTCGGTTCCATTGGTCAGTGAGCTTCGACATGTTGTTGAGATAATGAGCAATTGAGAGGGTCATGTTCTGCTGCTTGCTCAGATTGCGTGCTTGTTCGACTATAAGGCAAAAATTAGGAGCTGAATGCTTCAGGTACTGATTACACTTACATTTTCTTCCACAGTTATCTTGCAGCCATTGAGTTGTGAAGGTCCACTCATCTAGGCGGTGTTGGAAACCTTCGACGACGAGGGGCTTTCCTCCAAGGATGACGTGCAGCAAGACCAATTTGTCAAAGGCTTCTAAGCCTTGGGCCTCGATCATTTCACATGATATTCTCGTTACGTACTCAAAGTTTGGAGTATCCTCAATTAGAGAGGCAAGATCGAGGTCTGGGGGAATGGGGTCGAAAGCCGCTGAAGGTCGTTGAGCAACCATATTGCTTGCGAAAGAGAGGGCCGGATTGAGTCTATGCGTATGTACGATAATTCGTCCCGCAAGTTGGAGGTGGCCAAGCAAGATTATAGGGTGATGGCACGACGGAAGAAGTTGGGCGGGGCGCTCAGTCGGCTCATCTCAACTGCAATACCCCACGCGCAGCACCTGGAATGAGACTTGCTGGGCCTCTCAGTGACAGAATGGGTACGGTAGTCTCGAAAACCAAGCTCCGAGGAATCTTGATCGTCGGCGGTCAGTTGGCTAGCTCGTAGTGTTTACGAATTGTATCAAAAGTTCAGAGTGAACTCGGCAGAGCTTCAATGTTCCTCCACGCGGCTAGAGCCTAAGGTAGCTAGCGTGCCAAGCCGAGACCAGTACAAGGTATCGATGTATTAAGGTAGAGAGTAAAAGGTACCTTCGCGCCTCGTGAGAGTGGTAGAGTCATCCTCTTGCTATCTCACAAGTGTTCGCTAAAACTGTCTGAGAACCCGTCTTCGTTCCCATCTTGAGACTGCCTCGTTGCCGTAGGTCAGAAGCACTAACAGTTTGCTGCTTCAAGCATTCAAATAATACTTTACTTCTTTGTTCCTTCGCCTCCAAAGCTTCTTCTTCAATCGAGATAGACGCGTATAAGATTTCGAGCGATTCTGCGGAGTACAGCACGAGATCTCTTAAGTAGAATGGGATGTAGAATGTAGGGTATCGGAGAGCTTCGTCTCTCTCCCAGTACTTTTGATCACTTCGAGTGCGCCCGCTTTCTATTGTTTCGCTGTGGACTCCAAAACATACAGAATCAAAAGAGCTGAACAGTCATTTCCTAACTCTTCGGCACCAGGCGAGGATGTTAGCTATGAGTGGGCGGTCCCACTTGAAGGCAATGAAGGGATGCTCCTCGCAACGTAGCATATTCGTTTCGAGCAGCCTAGGCATTTCACAACACTGCAGAAACAGACACCTGTGCTGCTCAACGTCTTGGACCACAGAGGTTACCTCTTCGACGCAAAGATTCCTTACGACCTTGGCGAGGCAGCGACGAGCCTATGCGGCTCTAGACCAGAAATTTGCTGGTTTACCACCAATACAGTATGCGGAGATTTCCAAAATGACTCGCAGTGAAGCTACACCTGCTGTACCTTCCTCTAAAACTGTGTTACCAATCTACGAAGCTCCTCAGACGGGTTTCATCTCTCACCTGCCTGGGACCTGGATACCATACGCGGAGTTAATGCGCCTCGACAAGCCAGCCGGAACATATTACCTCTTCTTTCCATGTCTCTTCTCAACGCTGCTAGCAGCCTCCTATACAGCGTCTGGCCTACTCCCCGTCTTAACCACTACGTTGTGCTTCTTCAGCGGCGCGCTGATAATGCGTGGTGCTGGTTGTACCATCAATGACCTCTGGGATCGCAACCTGGACCCTCACGTGGCCCGTACACGTCTTCGACCAATAGCTCGCGGTGCAGTCACGCCTTTCAAAGCTTTGATCTTCACCGGTTTTCAACTCTTAGCAGGTCTAGGCGTCCTTTTGCAGTTTCCGGCATCGTGCCTTTACTACGGCATACCCAGTCTCTTGCTGGTTGCCACATATCCTCTTGCTAAAAGAGTCACACACTATCCGCAATTTGTGCTGGGGCTGACCTTTTCCTGGGGTGCGTTTATGGGGTTCCCAGCCTTGGGAGTGGATCCGCTAGCGGACTCTGCGGTCCTCAAAACCATGGCGGCACTATATGCAAGTTGTGTTTCCTGGACCGTATCGTACGATATGATCTATGCCCATATGGACATCAAAGATGATGCCAAAGTGGGCATCAAAAGTATCGCATTACGACACGAGAAAGAGACGAAGGCTGTCTTGTCCGGCCTGGCAGTTGTGCAGGTCGGCTTGCTGGCCGCGGCTGGAACAGCAGCAGGTGTAGGTCCAGTCTTCTTCATAGGCAGCTGTGGCTCTGCAGCTGCTACGTTAGGCTTCATGATATGGAAAGTGAGGCTAAACGAAATAAGCAATTGTTGGTGGTGGTTCACAAACGGAGCATGGTTGACTGGAGGGGGAATTGCAGGTGGAATGCTTGCGGAATATGTGCTCAATTCCCCACAGAAGATAGAAGCGACAGAGTCTGACGGCTAGTTTTGCATGTCAAGTTGGTTATTGATACCAATTCTTCAGCCACTTCACACAGGGAAGACCGTATGCTATTCCGGTTCTTAGCCAGTTTTTATACTTCTATTGTCGCTCTTTGCATGCAATGCGTTATACGTAACATCATGATTCAGTCGCTCGGCCTCCTCCACCTCTTTGACTCCTTCCGCCTCGCTGCCCTCTCTGATTGCCTTCCGAGGCCGTCCCATTAGTTTGAGCGCCACCCAGACCATCCCCAGTCCCCATCGTCAACGCGGCTGTCGCTAGCCTGTTTGAGAGGTCGATCTGTGTGCGAATAGTGTTTGCGAGATATGAAACGACAAGGACGTCTTGAATGTGATTATTGCTGCAAGAGGTTAGTATGTGTAACAAGGTCGAAAATCGTGCTTAGACTTACAAATCCCGCTCGACGTCCTCCGGGTCTACCTTTGGCGCCAGCGCCAGAGCATCGAGTAGGAATTGACCAAGCGCACTCGATGGTGGAGCTTCCTCTTCTATGACAGCTTCAACGTACTTCGATACTCTCTCGAGCATTGCAAGGACCTCCTCAATAGCCTTTTCCAAAGATTCAATGTCCGTCAGGACATTTGCCGTTCTGTCGTTATTATCTTTTGCTCCCGAGATCAACTCCAGTCCACTCTTCTCCGCCTCTCCATATCGTATCTCGTGTGGCACTGGCGTGAAAGCTGCACTATCCGCTGCCCTCTCAGCTGTCACTCCGACAGGTGCAGAAATATACGTCCTAGCCTCGATCTCCTTTCCAGCATCCGTACTGATCGTCAGATGAACCGCAGGATGCGGCCACGTTCCGTCACCTTGCCCGCCGTAGAAGTTCTGAATGAGTGCCGAGAACGTATTGAGCTCTGCTGATGTAGCATACCATCCGACGAGCACTTCCTTAGGATTGGCTTTAAGGTGGAGTCCTAGCATCTGCTTTTGGTACTCCATGTCGACCTCGACCTGCTCTTGTGTTTCTGTGTGCCCAACTGCGAAGCAATTTCTGATCTCCACTTCTTGGCCATCTTCACTGCGCACGCCGAGCAGGGTTCCAATTACGCGTTCTTGGTCTGCGTTGCGGCGGAGCGAATGATCTAAAATGGAGAAGATTGCCTAGCATACGGTCAACTAGGAATTTCAACAACCGTGAGCCCTGCGACAAATACCTGAGGTTGTATTATGACATTCAAGGGAGCTGTGGTTGGCTGCGAGCCTACTGCTGCAGGACCTAAAGGTCTTGCAAGATGGAGGAAGGAGTCGGCTTCCACCATAATTTCTAGATTGACCGAGCGTGTGCGTCTTTGTGCTCCGACTTTGCGATTCCAACGGCCCTCTGATCGGTGTACTTTCACTTTGCGCGTAACTAAAAATTGTCAAATGAGGGCAGCTTTGCAACTGAAAGTTGTGGGAGACGAATTGTTAAATCTTGGCAGATTAGTAAGCTGGACATAAAAAGCGACCACAAAATCTTCGTTTTCTTCATGGCACTTTCTTCCGGCAACCGGTCAAAACCTCGTTGGGGAAGCGAAAGTCAACGTGGAGGAGATAGAAGTCGCGCTTTTCGAGGTCGCGGAAGGGGTAGAGGCAGCGATGGTCATGCAGCAAGAGCAGGGAGGAAGAATGCTTTCTATTCAACACGGGTCGAAGAACAGATTGGAGACGTTCCTGAAAATGACGTGGAGAGCTTTGAAGATGGGTCAGAAGAGCTTGAGATGGTTTCCAAATCTTCGAGTGACAGCGACAATGAAGATGTTCCGAAGGACGTCGTCAAACCATACAGCGCACTTCTACAATCCCTGAGCACGGATAGCGAGCCACCGCGAAAAAGACGCAAGGTCGAGAAGGTTGAAGTCTCTCTGGAGACTGAAGTACCAGAGAACGCACTAGATCGAGTTGATGAGCCCGAAGATGCCGAGGACCTTGGTGTTGATGGCGCTGAGGAATCAAATGATCTCGAAGACGACTATGATCCTTTCCTAAAGCACTTTGCACAAAATGAGGATACAGAACTGTCCCAGGAAATCCAGGATGTCAAAAATGATACTTGGGCAACCAGGATGTCTGACTCGACGCTTGAAGGAGGCTATTTTTTGAAAGTTCCCCAGGTCTCAAGTTCAGCCCTTGCCCACGGCTCGAGCATTGTCTCAGATACAGACGATCTTCAGCTGAAGCAAAAGCTACAGGGGCCGGCGAAGAAATTATTGCCATCTCTTGATAGAGTGACTGGGAGACTTGCGTCGTCTATCTTCAACTATAGAGATGTGCTCTTTCCCCAAAGGACTTTGAAGAATGCGGAGACGTTGCGAAAGCTGACATGTCTGCATGTATTGAATCACGTCTTCAAGACACGTGATAAAGTAATCAAAGATAATGCGCGTCTTGCGAAGGAAGATAGGGAAGACATAGAGTTCCGAGACCAAGGCTTCACCCGTCCCAAGGTGCTTGTGATCTTACCCACGAGGAATTCATGTGTCAAGTATATTGATACCATAATATCATTATGTGAACCCGAACAGCAGGAGAACAGGAAAAGGTTCCAGGACTCCTATGCTTCAGGGGACGATCATTTCTCTGAAGACAAGCCAGAAGACTTTCGGGAACTCTTCGCTGGCAACGACGACGACATGTTTAGGCTGGGTCTGAAATTCACTCGTAAGACGATCAAATTCTTCGCACAATTCTACAACTCGGATGTCATCTTTGCCAGTCCACTAGGGCTGCGTATGGCAATTGGAGCAGATGATCCAAAAAAACAGGACCATGACTTTCTCAGCTCCGTTGAAATCGTGGTGGCTGATCAGGCGGACGCGATGCTAATGCAAAATTGGGAGCATGTGGAGTACATCTTTGAGCATCTTAACCTTCAACCAAAGGAGGCCCACGGCTGTGACTTCAGCCGTGTGAGAGGTTGGTATCTCGATGGCCACGCCAAGTACCTCCGACAAACCATCTTGTCCTCCAGCTTCAATTTCCCGTCACTCAATAGGCTCTTCAGTCATCACATGCTCAACGTTGCTGGGAAGATGAAATATTTGAAGGAGGAGGACGGCGCCATGATTGACTTGGTTGTTTCTACGAGGCAGACCTTCTCGCGATTGGATGTCACGAGCCCTGTCACTGAACCAGATGACCGATTCAAATACTTTAGCACTGCCATCTTACCCTCCTTAATAAAACACTCGAAGCATGGTGCCGGAGCAGGCGAAGGAGTGCTGATATACCTTCCGTCTTATGCCGACTTTGTACGGGTCCGCAACTATCTGGCCAGCTCGTCAGATACACAGGATATCTCATTCGGCTCAATCTCTGAGTATACTACTGTCCGCGACGTTGCCCGAGCTCGTAGCCACTTCTTCTCCGGTAGGCACTCGGTACTGCTCTATACTGAGCGAGCTCATCATTTCAGACGCTACCATCTCAAAGGCGTCAAAAGAGTCATCATGTATGGGCTGCCAGAGAATCCAATCTTCTACAAGGAAATAGCTGGATTATATTTGCATTCTAGCATTTCATCGGCTAAGCTAAATGCTCGAGAAACAAGTGTAAGGACTTTATTCTCAAAACTAGATATACTCAAGCTGGAGCGAATCGTTGGCACTGGAAGACTCTTACCAATGCTCAGGGAAAAGGGAGGCGATACCTTTGACTTTGTTTGAGGCTTCTACTTGGGAATAGCATGAATATCCGCTGAGACACTTACCTTGGGTATGAGTCACGATAAACTGGTATGTTCGGAACGCCTTTTTGACCCTAGAGTCTGACGGTACAGGGAGCCCAAGAATTGTCCACTAGTTAGCTCAGGTTCACCCATAGGACGTGCATGTTACACCACAGTAGGAGATGCGTTTAGTGACAAATTGCTGTAAACTAGGGGAAGGATCCGAAAATAAATCTCTGTTTGGACATTCGGAAAATTCTTGATGGCAGCGAATGTCTTCATGCAGCTTGTTGGCTCTTCCATGTGGTATGTCAGGAAATCCTGCAATTCACTCCTTTTCGCTGCCCAAGTTCATGACTTTTTTCACCTCACCTGGCTTTGGTCCCACCAGGTTACTGGCATGCATAAAGCAATCATTAAACCGAATCCTCACTTTGACAACGTTCCGTCTTGCTACCCAAATTGATCACCTCCCGCCCATATACCCACTCTAATGGCTGTACTTGCTACCATTCTTTACTATGTAGCTCTATAGCACAGTACGCCATGACTACAATCGAATTATTGCAACGCTATCCACCCCACAAGGACTTCACGCAACATGATGAAGCCCCAGATACATTGAAAGCCTTCAACGGCAAGAAGCCTGACCGCACCATGCCAAACCCGGATTCTTCCCAATACTTTGACGCAAAAACCAAGCTCTTAAATGACATGCTTGACAGAGTGGTCAAAGATCTAGCCAACAGTCAGTCAGAACCCGCCTCCGAGTGGGAGGGTACTCTTTGGAGGCCTCCTCTGCGCCCGAGATCACGATCACCTGCCTACTCTGAAATCTCGGAGTCGTTCGAATCGCCTGGTCGGATCGAGTACTGCACCGACAATCTTCTGTCAACTCCAATTTCGCCAACGTCTGCCCAGTTCAAAGGCCCGGATGGATGGCCTATAGGCATCGAAGTTGCTATGAACGATTTTCATAGGGGGAGACTGAGTACTTCAGTCTTGCAAGAGAAAGAGCTTCCCAACCCCTTGATTCTGCGCAGTCAAAAGCAACGGACGCCTCGTTTTGGCGGCAATGGCAATCGAGGAGGGCAAGAGACCGCTAGTTGCGAGAGTGTACCTTCTGAACAACACGGCGACGGTCAACACCAACAGGAGCGTGAGGTTCTCAAGCCGCTTGCATTCCAAGAGCAGCAGAGTAATCGGCTTTTGCAACAGTACGGCGAAAGGCAAGATCACCTAGACAGTGTGAGCCCCAAGCCCCTCGCTGCCCTACAGCAGAGCTTCACACGTCCTCAGCAACCAAGTGACTGTCAATACCGACAGGAGAGTGTGGACCTCGACCATGCTGAAATGCAACAGCAGAGTGATGAGGAGAACCATTTGACTCTTTCTGCTCGGAAATATAGTGATAAGCAAAATTCACTTGGAAACGCTAGTTCGGAGTTTTATCCCGCTCTAGCACATGGCAAACTGCCAATCGGGCTGGGTTTTGAAAACGCGAGCCTCGAACTTTCTACTTTTCACTTTCACGGCGAAGAACAGGATGGGTTTTATGCGCAAATAGATGGTACACGTCTTCTCTATAAGGATAGCCCGCAGACAGCGCTAAGCAATTCACCACCTCGCTACAAAGTCACACATGAGGATGCACACCAAGCAGAACTACGCATCCACGTATTGGCCGACGCGCTCTATGAGAATCCTGATTCGTCGAAAGCATTAAGCCCATCTGAAAATATTGGGGTGGGGAGCATTGATCGTGAGATTGGCTGTCAGAACACATTCGAGGATAGTGAAAACGACACACTTCAGGGCATTGGGCCAGTGACATCCGAGGACAGTGAGGCCGATACTGACAGTAACATCGTGTTCTGGAAGACGTCAGGCCCACTCGAGGACATTCTCGAGGAAGACCCACTTACCAGCATTTTCACACTCGATCAAGACCAGCCTCAACACTTCGCTCCAGGGTCCACCGAACATCTCGATCTTCCAAAATTAATCGGGGCAGGCGAAAGACGCGACAGCATGCTCGCACTCCAACGGCCTCAGACCGAACCATCCACTCTATCGTTGAGTTCACCGCGTGTTCCGCCCGCATTGAAGTTGACGATCAGCCCTTCCAGCAAACCGCAATTTGAATCGACCAAGCCATCAAGGCACCGCCCTACTGACGGGAAGTCTTCCGAATCAATTCTATCGGCTACTACAATGGCGGAGTTAAAAGATGCTACTCGTGGAAAAGGACGTCTCTGTGCAGGTTCTTTGGCAGAAATGAGAAAGACCGCAGAGTCTCAACCGCATTTCCAGACCGGGCCTGATTCACCAAAAGACCAGTCTCAAGCGGAAATCCATCCATTGTTGCGGTCCAAATCATTCTTTCGTCCATCGTACCAGCCTAGCAGAATAATTGACGATTCCTCACTAAGATATGTTTTCGAAGACGATGACAGCGAAGGTCATGAAGCTGAAGTAGGGGACAGCTCCAGCCATCAGATTACCATTCAGCATCGTTCATTGTTCCAACCCAAAGCTCAAGATGCCGAGAGCGTTGTCACTCAGATATCCATGAAAGAACATCAATTACCGCAGCTCGGCAAGGTGACAGATGATACAGTACCGAGATATACATGCAATGATGATGACACGGAAGGTCATGAAGCTGAACATGGGGGGACCTTCACCTCTCACTGGTCCACTTTGAGGTCTTCAAACGACACCACGCTCGTACCGTCACTGAAAACCGCAAGCTGCCTACCCTCTACTTCGCCGTCACCAACGAGCCATCTTTCCGCTTCGGCGGATGGGTCGCCAGACGTGATGCCGTCCTCTATCTTGCAGCCCTCGATCTCGCCATCAACGACGGGCTACTACCTGAATTCGGCGATTGGATCGCCTGCAGCATACAACTCTTGGGCCTCAACTCCACAATTTCCTGGACGTGGTAATTCTTCTAGCACACCTTCATCAGCGGCTACCCTTCCTACCAGCACGATTCCGACCCCAAACGCATCTTTCAATAGCAGTTCATCTACTTCTCGCGGAATGACGATGACACCAAGCTCATCTTTTGGCCAATCCGTCGACAACGTACCTAATTCTGGTGGCATCACAATGACACCAAGCTCGTCTTTCAGTGATTTTACCGGTAACAGAAATTACCGACGCTCAGTCTCGGTTTCCAGTATGTTCGCTCGTTATCATAAGGCGCGCTGCCCCGACCTTCCAACTGCCGCGATGACCGACTCCATACTGTCTTCGAAAGAGTCCGCTGAAAGGGCAAACGATCCGTTCACATCCACCTGTGACACTTCTACGCCATTCTCTTTGAACCTGAAGACACCCAGCAAAGAAGACTTGGCGGTTACCCTAAATACAGGCGTTGACCAATTTCACACTCCCACCAAGCGCACCCCTGGTCGCTTTAGCCTACACAGGCGGAGTCTCAGCACTTCGGGACGTCCCAACCCGAACGAAGGCATTGAGCGCGCTCTTTCTACCATGGTTTTCATTCCTCAACGCTCTCGCCTTCACAAACGAAGCAACAGCATCTCCACGTCGATCGATACCACTGTAAGACCAGACGGCAGCGGTCTCGGACAGAGACGCAGTCTCAGCATAGCCACTACTGTCGAACAGAAATGGGAGATCGCTCCGCCGCCGACTCCCCTGGGACTGCGTGATGAATTCTCAATGCGGTACAGACCGGAACCCAATGAAGCCAATAATCATTACTCCACGCGTAAGGACGCCTTGCAGGGGATGAAGCACGGATTGAAGAAGGTTTTCGGTCGCAAGTGAGCTTGGAATGCATATTCTGGGGCCTAACAGCGTTGGAATAATGATAGGGATAGTCTGGTCTGACGGCATGTCCTTAGCTTGAGAGAGCTACACACTCAAAGTCAACGTCCAAATGTATGCAGCTGATGAGATAGAGCAGCAAAATAAAAGCAAATATCGAAATGTCCAGTCTATTATTCCATCTCGTATGTCCGTGCCGTCTCAGAGCCGTAGTACTATCATCTCACGGACTAACAGCCGGCCTATTACCATACTGACTGCAACATTCCATGATTTGCACTCAATATATCTATTGTATCTTCATTGCATGCGGCCCTCCTGCTCTAGAGACGTAAGACCAAAAGCCTTCTGAAGAAAAACACTAATACGGCGTTTCCCACCACTCTTCCGACCAAACACGAAGTGTACGAGTTCTTCCGCATAGCAGATCGAACTGCTTCTCGTCTCCTAGGCCAAGAAAACCAATCAAACACCTCGGCGAGTCTTCTAGACGTGGTTATCACCAAGGAACGCAGGAAAACCGGCGTCTCCAGAGAAAAGTTAGGTGGGAACATATCAAGAAAATGGAGGAAATGGTAAATGACGGGAATATTCGACAACGAGCTCTACCCTAAGGCGAGTTAGCAAGGAAAGCAGGTCTTATAGGGGATAAGCAGGTCGGTTTTCGATTTAAAGGGCGCGATGATCAGTTACGTAGAATAACGGCTAGATGTGGATCATCGACAGCCGTTTTAGACGTGTCTTGATCAGTCCATGCATGCCTTTTCACTCTGTCATCGTGCTGCTTTTTGAACTACCAGAGGCATTTTTCAAAATTATTGTCGGCCAGTCAGTGAAATAAGCTTGCTACCTGATTGATCCTTGGTTCGTCGCTCTATGATAAGTACAGGACATTGAAAACAAAGAAGGTATATAAGTAAACATGTTGATCGTGTAAATAAGGAAAACGGAGAAAGAAGAGTATAAAGGGTCACAAGCGAATTCAATGAGATGCGTTGATTTTTCTTCTTTATGGAGAACAGATACTGCGCTTCATTGTCATTTTCGTACTTAACCATTCAGTTTCTTTATCTCCCATATGACAAGAATAGTGAAAGCAAAGTAGCTACGCTTTAGTAAGATCAAACAATTAATATCTTTCTTATCTCGAGAAAGAGACGAAAGAAAAGACAATGGATTCGGGCATCACGAAAGGTCAAAGAGACCATTCTCACAGGCAGAGATATATAATTACAACTTCCCTCGTTTCGACTTGATAACTAAAATCAACTCAAGAAAGCTTTCTTCACCTCAGATGCGAGTAAATTTCTAGAAACGAGAGTTGTGTAGGCTTTTCGTCTCCCCATCAAGATGCATTTTTCCTCGATCAAACAGGACACACTCGTGGCGCATCTCGTCATCATTGCTGCAGTCTTCCTTCAACAAATAAACGCAATCAATGTCCAGAATGGCGATACTCTAGCAAGAATTGCCGCCGAGCAAGGAGTCTCCGTCGCTGCCCTGGAGGCCGCGAATCCTGGGATTTCCGCCAATGACTTGCAACCAGGTGAGGTCCTTAGTGTTCCTGCTCCAAATGCAGTCGCCAAAAGCCCCACTTTGGGGGCGACCACTTTGCTCAAGTCGACGACCGCAACAGCCCCATCAAGCACACCTACATCAACGAGATCATCATCCAGTACCCCTCCGCCACCTCCGCCACCTCCGCCAACGACAACTACCGCACCAGCTTCGCCCACAACCTCCATCGCGGACATCACCAACATCGGCCTCCCGAGCTGCGCTCCCAGCCCCATAGGCAAATACTCCGACGCCAGCGACGTCATCTCGAAAACTTATGCATTCTGCGACAACAACGGTCACCTCACTCTGGCATCGCTTTTAGCACCGCCACACAACGGCCTTCTGAGCGGAGACAGCCAAGAGAACAATTCCGACGACGGCAACGGCGGACCGGCGAGTAACGAAAAGGGGTTCAATATGACGATCAGTGCGATACCGCAATGCGCGTATCCGGATAGTACCGACACGTTTACGGTGGGGCAGCCTTTGGGGAACAGTAGCCAGTCCGATTGGTGGTGCGAGGCAGTGCTCACGAACTGTTACAATGAGTGTGAGTTACCCTGTATTTGATATTGAGCTGCTACAGAACTGATCAGAGACCTGTCCTAGGCAACAATAAAGGTATGGGAGGCCAACTTCAGGCAGGATGCTTCCTCTATATTTTCGAACCCGATCCTTAAGCGCTTGGTTTGCCGGATTTGCGCGAGGTACTCAACCTCAGAGGTTTGTTTCAAGACTGCATTTTCTATCTCCTCATTTGATAGAGGGATCTAGCACCCCCCTGCTCGCCTCCTTCGAGGGAGTCCAATCACCCAGATTCACCCAGGCTCGCGCGACGATCACCCAAGTCGCGCGAAGATAGGGCGGCGGTGCGCTCACCCGATGCTCGATCGGGGGTGAGGTCGAGGCAGATTTCTGTCTTCTTGGCAGATCGGCCAATTAATTTTACCTACTTTGTTGCGTGTTTGCCAAAGCCATTAAACTCCCTTGCTTCCACATTCAGCAATTGCAGGTTTTGTTATAACAATTTTTATAGTCAAGGTGCATCATTGCTGGCAGCTGCTTGAAAATCTCAGTATTCATGCCACATTAATCAGTAAGACGAATACTGGCCATGTTTTGGACAAGTCGAGATTGTCGAGTTTTTCGCACTTAACCAAAGATTGAGGAACCCAGCTCATTTCTCTTACTTTTCAGATAGTGGCATAGGACACATTGTTTATCTACCTTGACGATTCAGCCGGTTTGTTGCAGTCTTCTTTTTTTCGATCGATGACCATCATGATTGCTGCTTCATGACTCGCTGACGAGGGCTCACGCATATTGCAGGATATCAGCAGAATTCAAGCTGGACTGATTGCAGTCGGACCCCCATCACGCTCTGCCATTCAACAAACCCCCGACCTGTTGCTGCTGTCATCTTCGATCCCCTAGTCCCTTTTCAATAGCTAGGCTTTCTCACTTCACATACAATGTCGTCCCACACAACATCACAGCGCTATCTCTCCACGCGTGGCGGCTCCTACGTTGTATGTTGACCTCTCAAGTCACTCACCAACGCTAACAATGCGCAGTTCTCCTTCGAAGAGACAGTCTTAAAGTGACTGGCTACAGATCAGGGGCTGTTTCTCCCAGAAGACATTCCCTCCTTGCCGTCAAACTGGCAGGATGATGGGTCTCATATGAGCTTCTCTGAGCTCGCGTTCCAAATTTGTAGTCTTTACATTGCCCCAAGCGAGATCGAGCCCGTGGCCCTTCGAAACATCATCAACCGGTCGTACTCGACTTTTAGAGCTCCGAGCGTGACGCCCACGGTGACGCTGAATAATGCCAGAACGATACATTTGCTGGAGCTGTGTCATGGAGAGACATTTGCCTTCAAAGACATCGTATGAGAACCCTCATAGCCGAACAACCCATGATTCTAACGTCGACTGTTGCAGGCGCTGCAGTTCTTGGGGTATATACCCTGTAGAGCCTGCTATCCTCCTTCCATGTGATACGCTGAGTCCCGAATCTTGCTGACTCCAAATCCTTGAACAGGAATGTATTTGAGTTCTTCCTGGTCAAAAAGAACGAAGGAAAGTCGGGCAAAGATCGGGAGCACTTGACAGTCCTTTGCGCAACAAGTGGCGACACTGGAAGCGCCGCGATATACGGCTTGAGAGGCAAGAAAGATGTCTCGGTGTTCGTCATGTATCCGACAGGGAAGGCACGCCCCCGCTCTTTTTGCAGCTCGGATTTTGGGGGCTGGTGAATAATCAAAGCTCTCAGGTTGTGCCTCAGTTCAAGAGATTTTAAAGTTTTGAGTGGGTGATGCTGACTCCGAACCCAGGTGGGCCCAATACAGGAGGCACAGATGACAACGGGTGGGTAGTTACGGCCGTGTTTTTTCAGCAGTCCCAATCCTAGAGCTAATCTCTGCAATATGGCTCGGGAGTGGAAGGTCGACAAAGATGCTTCCTGGCTTCTTCTCTACTTCTGATAGAGAATCGCTGACTTCCGGATTTGCAACAGTGACCGATAGAAATGGTATGTCACCAGTCCTCCAACACTCGTATTGTGCTCCTTGATGGACTTACAGTGGGAGACTTCTAATGACTAGTCTGTAGTGCATTGACTAAGCGTTGACGGGACATTTGATGATTGTCAAGTACCACATCTCCTGCCTCTGCTGAAAACGTCGCTTTTGACTAGGCCCTCGTAAATGACCTTTTCAATGACCCTCTGATCAATTCAAGTGTGAGATTTGCCGCTGGTATAGTTTGACGATTCAGTCTACATGGTGTACTAAGACTAATCTTTGCCTCGACTAGTAGACTCTGTTGACTTCGTACGAATACTGGCTCATGAAACGTATTACTTTGCATCCTACTTTTCATTAGTGCGCTGTGTCACATATAATCCCTCGACTGATCAGATCCGTTTCGTCGTTCCCTCAGGATAAGTGTTTATCCAGTCCTTCTTCTCAAGAGTCGAGGTTGGAGTCAAAAGACATTTCCCACGCACACCTTACGCGAAAGATGCCTCGTACGAGTTCACCACACTTACCCAAGAACTAAAACGCTGACTCAGAATCTACCACCAGAAACTTCGGCGACATCCTAGCCGGGTACTTAGCTAAGCGGATGGGCCTGCCCGTCTCGAAGCTCATCATCGCGCGCAATGAGAACGACATCCTCCACCGTTTCTTGCAGACCGGCACGTACGAGAAGAACCCCGTTCACGGCGCGGCGGCAGCAGGGGGTCTTGTACAGGATGGGGCAACAGCGCACCCTGAGGGAGTCAAGGAAACGCTATCGCCCTCGATGGACATTCTTGTAAGCAGCAATTTCGAAAGACTGCTCTGGTTCGTCGCGCACGACATCTACAGCTTAAACACCAACAGCGCACAAGAGAAGAGAGAAAGAGCGGGTCGGAACGTCAAAGAATGGCAGACTCAATTAAAGACCAACGGCGGATTCAGCGTCGAGAAACAAGTGCTGGATGCCATACGCGCAGATTTCGCAGCGGAGCGGGTATCGGATGTAGAGACGATTACCACCATCCGAGACGTTTATCGATGGCCCAAGGGCTAATATCCTAGATCCACATTCTGCAATTGCGGTAACTGCGGCGCTGCGATCTGCGGAGGGTGCACATCAGGTGGCGCTGGCAACGGCGCATCCGGCTAAGTTTGCAAGGCGGTGGAGATGGCGCTGGTGGAGGTGAAAGGGTTTCGGTTCAAGGATATCTTGCCAATGCAGTTTGTGGGATTGGAGGAGAGGCCGAGGAGGGTCAGGTGTGGACGGAGGAGCGAGGGGTTTGAGGGTTTGAGGAAGTTGATTGTGGGTGAGGTGGATAGGGAGAGAGCAATAGCGTAGGACTTCTCGACTAATCAGTGATGTTTTGCAAGATTTGTGTTGGGTTGTGCTTTGATATGGGGTGATCACGACAGCTTGGAAGGAGGCATGATATAGTAGGAGATGCCCCCGCCAAGGCCCGCTTGGCCATAGGGCTGAGTGGTGTGTCATTAGACGTATCGATAACGGGCTTCTTGCCCTAGCAGCCAAGACAACTACAAATTTAACACCCATTTCCCTTATGCCACCACTATCTCCGTCCACAGGCCTTACAATCACCAACCCGCTCGTCCTATACCGTGCTCTGCTCGCTACGAAACGAATTGACCCGGACCCAGCCCAACATCGTCTCGCGCTCCATCTCCAAAAGCTCTACTATCGCCTCAAGGACTACTCGCCCGAGGTCGACTTCAGCCACCGGCTAGATCAGATCAATCGGCTTGTTAAAAAGCCTGCCATTGATCCGGCTGAAGCGGAGAATAGGAAACAGCAAAATAATGGAAGACGCCACGGGATCTTCTCATCGTTGCGGGAGCAGAAGGCAAAGGCAGATGCAATGGCGCTCACAAGGAGGCTGACCAGTCATGAATCCGCTGTACAGTTGCAATCACCTCAGGGTCTACTTCTATACGGAGAGGTAGGAACAGGGAAGAGTCTGCTTGTAGACCTACTAGCCGACTGCTTACCCAACCGCAAGAAGAGACGGTGGCATTTCAACACCTTCATGCTCGAGACATTTGCAAGGCTAGAACAACTGCGTAAGGAAAGGCATACTGAGTCATCGGCTATGCCGAGAAGCGGAAGCCAAGATGAAGAACATTCTCTATTATGGCTTGCAAGGGACATGATCTCTACTTCTCCAATACTCTTTCTGGATGAATTTCAATTGCCGGATCGTGCCGCTTCAAAGATCCTATCCAATCTCCTTACTTCTTTCTTTCATCTTGGCGGAGTTCTAATTGCGACAAGCAATCGTATGCCAGAAGAATTGGCCAATGCATCAGGCATGGAGTTCGTCGCACCACCGTCTTCACGGCTAGGCCTCTTGGAGAACAGATCGGGTCTATTGGGATCCAGGAACCAAGGCGGGAGGAGCGAGAATATGTTTGCCGGAAAGGGTGATTTTGCTGCATTCTTAGAAGTTCTACGGGCAAGATGTGAGACATGGGATATGGAAGGTGGCAAGGACTGGAGAAGACGTGAAGCTGAAGAAGAAACCTCTACTGATACAATGTTAGACGAGGCCAGCCTAAAATCTAATGCCGAAGGCTTTGAAGGTCTTGAGCCTATGGCCCCTGGAAACTGGGGTCTGGGATACGAACAGAGCCTACATGTCAGGGAAACAAGTAAAGAGGTGTTTTTAAACAAAAAAGATTCTAAAGTAACTGCACCCAAGCATTACTTCGTAAGACCGTCAACAACAGTATCTCATGAGGAGCTTGTGACGCTGGACAGCGCTTGGAAGGCCTTGGAGCTCCATGCAATTCAAAGTCCTGCGGTACTACCAAATGATGACCTTGCCATACCCTGGAAGGACACCACTCTACGAGTCTACGGCCGCAATCTTCTGGTTCGTCGACACCTCTCTGGAGTCACCAAATGGACCTTCGACGAGCTCTGCAGCACAAATCTTGGCCCAGCAGACTACATCACGCTCGCCTCAACATTCCATACTTTAATCCTCACCGATGTTCCCATTCTTAATTTTCTCCAAAAGAATGAAGCGCGCCGTCTCATAACCCTCCTCGACGCACTTTATGAAGCCCGCTGTAAAATACTCATCAGCGCAGAGGCAGGCCCAGACGACATCTTCTTTCCCGAGATCAAACAACTCCCCGAAGACGGCGTAAGCACCGCATCTGGCGATGATGAAATCTACCCCGAAACCTTCAGTGAAATCTTCCAAGACCAGACCTCCCCCTTCCGCCCCAACACCTCTTCCTATATTTCCTCGGCTTCCCCACCGTCGTATTCCACAACCCCCCTCCCTTTCCCACAATCTCAAGCCTCATCATCCCGCTCCATTCTAGCAGACGAAGACAGCGACTTCGGTCCAGTCTACGGCGCCGGCCGAAGTCACGGACCAAGCGATGGTGCTCCAGGTGCAGGAAACGAGATTGGCCGGCAGTCTCCCGACTTCGCCCGTACTGGGACATTCACAGGTGAGGATGAGAGGTTCGCGTACAAGCGAGCTCGGAGCCGTTTGTGGGAGATGTGTGGAAAGAGATGGTGGGCGAGGGACGAAGAAGGGTGGTGGAGGCCTTTGGGGAAGGACGCCAGGCGCTGGGAGGGAGCCATGGACGATTTGGCTAATGTCACCTCTGCCCAAGGTGCCCTTCAAGCTGAGGAGGGAATCAACCAAGAAGAAGTGTTCAGACATGGCGCTAGTCCTTTTCGTACGAGTCAAGAGGCTCCTCCGAAATTTGGCTGGGAGCATGCATGGGGCCTTATCAAATGGGGGAAGAAGGCTGGGGCGTGGGGAAAAGGGGTTGAAGGACTGGAGGAGAGAGGCAAGCCAGAGGTCTCGGAGACAGAGAGGAGGAATAAGCGACGATGAGTAGGCCCCTATGACGATACCAGCTACGCAAGTCGATGTCCCGTCTAGTTCATGCGAGAAATGTGCCATTCTGGGTAAAGTATGTCCTGATACCTAGACCAACTAAGAGCTCAGTCCTCAACCCCAGATTGAGTCCTATCCTTGCTACGAAAGTCAAAAATGCTGCTGCAGGCTTGAGAAGTAATGACAGGCTCCTCCCTTGGCTAGAGAGAACAGTCGCCATTGTAGCTACCTATTTATCTCTGTCTCTCTACCCATCCTCCAACACTCGGTCCACAAGCCATCAAAATTTGCATCCGGAGATACGTCCGAACGCAACTAGACAATCGAGCACCTTCGATGCGCTCTATCAAAACCCAGCCTCTGCTCTACCCATAGCTACATCCAGATTGTACTGTAAGGGATTGACTTCCAGCCTCTGCAAAGCATCAGAGCCCGCCCACAGAGCCCACGGCGCCCGCAGGGATTCCAATGCCCGGACATCACGGTCATAAGCACCAGCGGCATCATAAGCCATCATCACATTCCGGTCCAGCTCGACTCGGCGTGCTGGCTCGCGGGGTTTCTTCTTGCTATCAGATGGCCGTGAAGGTTGCTATTCGTGGAAGCAGCTTCTCGTCCTCGGTCTGTTTCCTCCACCGGCACCACGCTGTTCGATGTAGCCGATCGATCCCCACCACAACGACACGCGCGTCCACAAGCGTCACATCGATGAACCGAGACATCTTCCTCACGTCCCGCATCGGAGTGTAGTGGCAGTCTCTGCGTCGCGGCAGCAGCGGCGTTGATGCCAGCTAGGAAAGTCGCATCGTCGTCTTCCATGACATCCTGACGAGATGAGATGGCCTCTGTCGTCTTAGGCACATGAGCGCTGGCGGTATGATTCTGGACAGGGTTCTCTGGGGGCGGGGCAAAGGTGTTCAAGGCGTGCAGCCGATGGCCTATATTTTGAGCTTTGGAAGCCAACATATCAGTTGGTTCGCGGGCTGTGTTTTTTCTTTTCTCCTTCTTGGCGATATGTAGCGCCTTTGCACGGTCACTCAGGTTTGTGTCTGCCGTGTGTACAGTGTCGTCACTCATATCGTCTAGTACTAGTGCCTTTCCCGGTGGAGAGTTCGCAATGTTACCATCATCGATGAAATCCTCCACTGTTCCCGCCGGGGTCCGCAACGGTCGTCTTCGTTTGCTGCTAGATATTCGCCTTCCGTCCTCACTCGGTGTCTCCTCATCATCACCACCAGATTGCTCAATCGATTCCACCACATCTTCATCTACTGCCGACCTCACAGGACCGCTCATTAGTCTCTTCTTGCCAGTAGCTTTGTCTTTCACCTGTGACACCTGCTCATCAACTCTGAGGATAGTGCCATCCTTTACGCCAGGAACAGAACCGAGAATAGCACGGTCGTCTAGCTGCACATCATGATGCAGTAAGGCCCTTCCTTTCATGGGCTGCCACGGCTCGAATTTGGCTTTGAGGCTGGCGATGGTGATGGATGATCTGGCTTTGAAGGGTGTGATGGACCCATCGAGCATTTGGATTGTGATTTGCATATTGGTGAATAGGAGAGAGGCCTTTGGAATGCTCTTCTTGGAGATCCTATAATTCCCTAATAGTTTCTGAGAATTTTTATTTGAATTGAGATTCCTTCGTCGAGGGACAAGTCTGAGCCGACGTGTGGTGAATTGAACGAATCACCCCTCTTCAGATCTGATTTGACTGATAACTTTCCGTCAAAAGCCGTTCGAATAAAGCCTTTGCTTCAGTAGACAGGATTTAGGCCTCAGCTCTCAGTGAAACTTCTGATGGTGGTGGTTCCTGGTCACAAGAGGCAGCCCAATAACCTCGTGCTTCCATAGTCTTCCTCATGAACTGTCGAACTGAGAGCGCCTTGCTTCGTCTCGTCTCAATGCAGCACATCGGCGCCTCCAGCATACACATCGGTCACATCCTTAGCTCAAGACCATATGCCCCATCGAGCTCTTCACACTACACTCATGCCCGGCTTCCAGATCTCGCCAATCCTCTCTACCTCCTCAATAAACCTCTTACTCGTGATCTCCCCTCCTTTCCCTCTCCCACTAGCAACAGCCATAGGCGTATGTTCATCCGGCACGTAAAACGGGTTCTGCAACAGCCGTACATACGCTGTTTGCAGCGCCTTAAAAGCCTAGAATACCCCACAAATCAGCATTTCTAGCCCCACCGACCCCCCCTCCCTTCCCATTCTCTCGACAGAGACAAAGGGTAGCAACTCACGCCCCTCAAATCCCCATCCGACACCCCCCTCAACCCCCTATTCCCCCCTCTTCCCCACGCATCAACCACAACCGCAAATCTCGTTCCCGTCCCTGTTTCCCAGCCCCAGATACTCAATCGCTCGTCAATTGCTTGCAGCATACCGAGGTCCTGATCGATGCGATTCCGGTCTCGAGCACAAGCATCGAAGATATCGAGGGAGGCGTTGAGGAGGAAGGAGAATTCGAGGTGCGCGGACGGCGCGCTGGTGTGAGGGGGAAAGAGGGCGATGTGGAGAGGGTTATCCTGTAGAGGTTGTCAATTGCTGGATGATGGTGAAATGAAGGGGAGTGGGAGAGGTACGTGTTTGCCTATTATGCCTATGCAGGCTATTGATGGAGTCGTCATGGTGGCCACTGGAGACTAAGAAAAGCAAATGGTTTGGAGATGTTAGGTTTGGGGCGCTATAGTGCTAAATAGGGTAGGGGCACAATTCTGGGCTTTATTACTATGGCTAGGTTAGAGGTATAACCGCCTTAATTCTTTTTCATTGCTTCTTCTATTGACTTGCAAGGAGACCCTCCTTCACGCATCGAATTCTTGAGAAACGATCTATCCTCGCATAACAACACAGAGAAGCCCTTTAACTATCTCAGGCAACAGAATGCAACGCCAGAACTGTTTGTATTCCCTAGCCTCTACGCCACTTTCACTATCGCTGTCGCCTTTGCCGTCGCTTTGGTGGTCGTCGTCACCGCCAGATTTATCAGAAGCTGGCACGTCCCTGAAAGAGCCCCCGTAGTCACACAAGTATATCCCAAACAACAAGAGAGGGTAGCTACTTTGCACGACGCTAGAGAGGACAACATCAGAAACCATCGGGAGCACGGCGGAAGATGGTGATGTAGAGATAATATGTAGAACGGATAACCTACCTCCAGCAGGGGTGCAAGCTTGGAGAGGACTCACGAGCCTGGTGTTGATTAGCACACGAACAGTAGCAATGCTGGCGGAAAAGCGGAGCTCTTACTCTTTCGCTTCGCGCACTGCCACAGGTGCCGCCTCAGGAAGAACAGCAGGCACGGCCTCAGAAACAGCCACTGGCATTGGCTCAGGTAACGCAAGAACCAGAGAGAAGAACATCATGGCACCAGCCACGATGATTTTAAAGGGCATCATGATTGCTTTGGTTGAAAAGGACCAGGTTTGCGGAAGGTATGGCTTGGTCTATGGGTGAATTTTAGAACGGTAATCGAAGTTCTTAGGCGAACTTGCGAAGTTTTCAAGCTCGAGAGTGAGGCAGGATCTGATGGCAGAATTGAAGGGAGACTTGGCGGAGTGCTGCTTTTATATCCAGCTTGGGGGGTATCTTTGGAATGCGGCGGCAACAGCAACGTGGAATGGGCCGAGACAGTCGAAATTCGGTCTTCGCTCATCACCGTAAATCAAACCTTCGGTTATCAACGTCTTCCATGCGGAATTGACGCCGTGAGAAATCACCAGACCCTACCTCATCGTACCAGTACCTCAGTCGCCCCGCCTCTGCATCATCGGTACGCCTGAACGATGACTTTATTGGGTCGAGCACGTTTCTAGAATTCAGGAATGCATGAAGAACTCAGAACTGATGTGTGCATTCCCTTTGCTCATTGACCAACGATATTTCTCGGCTTCGGCACTTTCAAGTGCTGCAAGTGAAAGTGCCGAAAGCCGTCCATATTTCTCCATCGCTGCTGCAAGCGACACTAAGCAAGTTCGTGACGGCCAATCCAGGGTACTGTGTTCGTGTTTAGATGAAGCAAATTCTGTTTCTTAAATCGGACGCTTGACAATCAAGTGTCGACTAGCCAAGCGTAGAGTGATGACGAGCAGAGCTAAGCTGTCATGGATACATGAAATGCTAGAGAGGCTTCTTATCTTGATGGATAGTGAATGCGGTCCCGTGGATGAATGGAAGAAGAAACTCCAGGTTCTAACGTGTGAGGATAGGTAAAGCACACTCAAGTAGAAGGAGAAGGGCTGGTTCCTATCAACGGTGGAGTTGAAGAGGCGGATTGCGCAGTGTCTTAAAATTAGTGAATGGTTGCATGGTGGGAGGTGTGCTTTTTGGCAGGCTTTGACCGAAACTAATACATAGGGAAGGGAAAGCGTCAGGAGTGGTACGAGATTTGGCAGGTACAACCTAGGCCGCTTTTTCAACCATAATTGAGAATCCAGTACTGAATCTTCTCTTGATATCATTATTATCAGATTTCAGACATATCAAAGAGTTTAAAACTCGCCTCTCCAGCGCCAGGGCATTCACAAGAGCCATGAGCTTCTCAGGCGCGTCTGACGAGGGAACCCGAGCGACGAACTCAACAGACACGAATGGACCCTCAAGCTCAACTTCGCCCAATTCCAAGGTTCAGACCGCTTGGCAATCTGTTAAGACCAATTTCAAGGTAAAGACATCAATGCCTGACTTGAAACGCTGGTTGTCATCCCCACGAGCTTCAGAGTCTAACAGCCAAGGAGAGGAGCGCCACCCCGAAGACGAAGAGGAGAGCCTTTTCGGCGAATCTCTCCTCGGTTTGATGCAACAGACTGGCAGATTTGACTACCTCGACTACAACAAAGACATATCCGAGCAGGACGATGAAAGGATTGTAATCGCAGAGAAAGAGAAAGTGAAAGAGAAACAGAAAGATCTACGGCGTTCACTAAAGCGATTTAGCTGGTCACGCTAGCGCCCATCCGACATCACCATTCTCGATCCTGTTCAATAATAGTTTTGCCCCACACCTCAATACATTCATCTATTCCTTAGCAGCACGTCTGCCATTGCCCACCTTCATCATGCTTTCCAATGCTAGATTGGCGGCCTCTATGGCTCTACGAGGTATGCTCTGCGCAAGCCTTCATGATTGCCACGTGCGACTGACCTATGCTTCTTCACAGCCAAACCAGCATCTGTCTTCCTTCCTCTGCGAGCAGCTCCATCAGCAACTATTTCGTCAACAGCGTCGAAGTCTGCTACTACAGAGGTCACACCATCACGCGATGCACAAGGTCCGCCGCTCAGCGTTACTGGCAAGCCTCGAAGAGAAGTTCCCCTGCCGAGTCAAGAAAAGAAAGAGGGTGCTATGCAATATGCCTTGTACGTCTCGTTCACTCACGCTTTGTCACAATGTTTGAAGGCATTGCTAACCGTCTCCATTTTCCAGAACAACTATGGATCAAATTGCCAATTGGGCCCGCCAAGGCTCCCTGTGGCCTATGACATTCGGCCTCGCTTGCTGCGCTATAGAGATGATGCATCTTTCGACACCACGTTACGACCAAGATCGCCTAGGTATAATATTCCGTGCCTCGCCTCGACAATCAGATGTTATGATCGTTGCTGGCACCCTCACCAACAAGATGGCTCCTGCCCTACGTCAAGTATATGATCAGATGCCGGATCCAAGATGGGTGATCAGTATGGGTTCTTGCGCGAATGGTGGGGGATATTATCACTACAGCTACAGTGTTACAAGAGGATGTGACCGAATTGTGCCCGTAGATATCTACGTCCCTGGATGCCCGCCAACAAGCGAAGCATTGATGTACGGCATCTTCCAATTACAGAAGAAGATGAGACATACAAGTAAGTATTTCCGGTTTCGGGATTTATCTTCATCTCATATTTTGGACCTTGAAACGTCAAACGAGCATTGTTCCCCCAATATGCTTTCAATGCTCGAAGATTTGTTCATTGAACAGTTAACGCTAACTCATTGCATTTCATCAGGGATTACACGCATGTGGTATCGAAAGTGAGGATCATGAGTAGTGCATTGAGAACCTCCTTTCCGACAGTATAGCTTCTACAAGGATGCATTCGTTTCAAGGGGGCTTGTTTGGCGTCATCTGGCAGGTTTAGCGATGTGCATAAGCAAATGCCAAATATCGTGGCATTGAATTCTAGAGAAAGCTTTCTACAGCCGCGTCCCGTGCAATCTCGCACCTATCAGGCTCATGAAGCGGCCGTAGAATCAACGCCAAGACTCTGACGACTCCGGAATACAGTTCCCCGCGTTCACGACAACCCCTTCAAAATAAACGAATATGGCACCATTTTGACATCTACACCAACATGGTGGCTGACGCGCAGGGAGCAAATTTGCCCTTTCGGCTTGGTGCAGTACTCCTACGAAATGAAGCAGTTGATCCATACATTCCGCCTGGATAGGCTGGGCAGCTGTTGTCCCCCACGCCTACACAACGCCCTTCGCATTCGACATAGAATAATAGTATCACTGTGCAAATCAAGTTGCACAAGATGGAATTCCACAATCGCATCAACTCGCCCCAAGACTGCCCTCTTCTTCCCAGGTATTATCCCCCGTGTCTTCCACCAAATCCTACCACTAACCGCTCCTTGCTCAGGCCAAGGTGTACAGCGCATCGGAATGGCCACTCCGTGGGTCGCCACCTTCCCACGAACCTGCAGTCCATTCCTCGAAGAAATGGACCACATCCTCTCCACGCCGCTCTCCAAAATCATCGCAGAGGGGCCCAATTCCACCCTCACCGCCACCCCAAACGCTCAACCCGCCATCATGGCTACCTCAATAATGATACTACGAGTCCTTGAGCAAGAGTTCGGCTTCGATACCGGGAAAAGAGTGGATGTGTGTTTGGGGCATAGTCTTGGGGAGTTTGCAGCGCTGGTTAGTAGTCGGCATTTGAAATATGAGGATGCTTTGAGAATGGTGACCAGAAGGGCGGATGCCATGGCCAGATGCAGTAGGGATGCCACTAATACCGAGGGCGGGGAGTATGGCATGGTCGCACTGGTATGCGAACCTGACCGGCTGTCGAGTCTGATCGAAGCCATACACGATTTTCTAGGCCATGGGGTCGGTGAGGGCGGCAGGGCCGATTCAGCGAGCCACACGCCGCCGATCGAACAGGTGGTCATTGCCAACATCAACAGTAAAAACCAGATCGTTTTAAGCGGGAGCATTGAGAAGATCCACGCGCTTTTGGTGAACTTGAGGCAATTCGGGGGTCACGATCCAAGGGCTGTCAGGCTCGCGACTGACTCGCCTTTTCATTCTCAAATCATGGCGCCAGCGGCGAAGATGATGCGGAACCTATTGGACGAGACAGACATCGGTTTCGAGCAGGCATTATTCCCATGCGTCAGCAACGTGAGCGCTAGACCCTTCAACAGTGTCAGTCAGTTGAAGGAACTGCTGTCGAGGCAGTGTGTGGAGACTGTCCGGTGGTGGGACAGTATACGGTGGCTCGACCAAGAGGAGGGAGTGAGGCGTTGGGTGGGCATTGGACCGGGAAAGGTCGGACGGAATCTAGTAGGCAAGGAGGTGGGGATGAGGGGACAGGATACGATCAGAGGAGGTGGAGTCTGGGGGATTACAGAGCCGAAAGAAGTTGATGCATTTTTGAGAGGTCTAGAAGAAACAGAAGGCGTGGAGTGAAAGGAATTTGACTAGCTTGAGGCATGATTGTCAGGGATTGTATATTATGCAAGTAACGTCAGTTATTTCCAAGCTGTATCTGCGGCCTTGTATATTAGCTCAAAAGATGCTGCGGCGACTACCCAGGTCTGCTGGGATGTGATGTAAAAATTTTGACATGGCCTCGAGCTTTTGAACCCTTTGTCGTCCGCACGAAAAACCGGTATAGTCAGTCTCCATCCTTCTAATCCATCTCAATGGCCTCGAAAACAATCAATCATGCTTTATCTTCTGAATCTATCATGCGACGTATCAGAAAAGCGGTGGGGTACGACACAGCGGAAAGCTGACTGCGCAATTCTATGTTTACTATCCCGCGGTTGCGGTTGGACGTCCTGCGAACATTGTTGCGAGACATAAAAATGATGGAATAGGATTCAGGCTCGAAACGAGAAGTGGCCGCCCGTTGACTTCCGAACAGCCATGAAGGTTCTTGCTTCAAGCGCGCTTCGAGATGTTATCACCTCGTGTTTCATACTCCCCATCATTCCCTACTCTCAGTAAGACGTTGAGATGCGATGCTGGAGCTATCATTAAGAGACGTCGACGAAGGTGTTACAAGGAGCGCTTAGAGGCGCCGCCATGAGTTCAATGTCCTTAGCGTGCCAAGTGATTTTAAGGTTTACTTTAGGCGGTAAATGGCAAGCGCCGCTCCTGCAATCCCCAGCTTGCATGAAATGGTTGGCCTGATTACTGCATGATGACAGCAACAAGGGGCTAGATGTACGTCCCGTTTCATACCTGTAATTGGGCTGTCCTTTCTCCTCCTGACCTCATCTGCAGAATTTCAATTTACTACCGAGGGGACGAGCCGTGATCGCAGGATTTTGGTTGGTCGATACTTGTAGTCCGGATAACACTTTCTCCTCATGTTTCTCCTCTTATGGTCCGCTGGTCCCGTCCTATCATCACCACTGATGATGAGCATAGCCATCACTTATCACGCCTACCCGTCACCATTTATTATTGTCTCCGTCGTCAGCAGCAAATCGGCATAGACTGTTGGATTCTTCATTTGATTTTGCAGGGTTGTCGGTCAGCGAGGCTTGAAGATGACCGAGGCAAACACGGCAAACACGCGCGGCGTCGACCTTGCAAGATTGCGGGGCTGTCTCAAGGTCTCAAGTCTCAAGTGTGTTTCTTTGTGCATAGTGGCGTAAGCTGGATCATTGTGAGACTAAGACTGTGCCACGGCTCCCGCCGATGCCCACCAAATTGGACGTAGATGGTGAGACCCGATCCATAAAGGTGTCAGCTTTGTTGGCCAACACTTTGCCGACGCTGATTGGGTCTCGGCGCTGCCAAAATAAGTCTCTGGCACTGCGGTATAAGTCAGGATGAAGTCGGCCTGCCAAGCTTTCGGTTGCAGTCGTCTTGCAAAGATGATGGTGGGCCTCACTCTCCACCGATCGAGGAGGGTGCATGAGTTGCCTCGGCGGCTTCCATGTGACCAATGCAATCGCGCCGTCAGATCCTCGTCAATTTAAACTTTACGAGCTTCAGGAAGCGCTAAATTTTTAGCCCCGTGCCGAGTGGTCAAAGCAACTTGGTGCTGAGTGCTGACTGCTGGCCATCTTGCCGCCGAGCTGACTCCTGCTGCCTGCATAATGGCCACGCTAAAGGTATTTGTTAAATAGGGTGACCTTCTTGGCCATAGTATTTGCGTAGGATCCTGCTGATGAGGTGTAAGCGCCCGTGAAAGCATTGAAGAGGGAGGTGGTGGTGAATCCAATCAGGAGCGGGTGGTGTGTCTTTTCTTATTTTTGGCTGCAGCCTCGAAACTTGAAACCCAATCATCGTGATCGGCATCTTCCCCTAGCAATCGAACTAGTAATTCCCCCGCTCCACAATCGCTCACTGCGTTAAAGCACAGCCGCCCTCCCAAACTCAACGTTCCATCCCAACTCCGGCTGCAATCCTGCTGAACCAAGCCGCTGGGTCTCTTTGCCTCATACAGTGAAAATTGAGAAGGTTCGCAGTTCTCAAAAAGGAAATGATGAGTGAAGAAAGTGTGAAAAATTAAATTTATAGGAGCTTAACACCGCGCGACAATTCACGCCAGGCTCATTAGCGCACCGAGGGCGGATCGGTGTTCCTAACCCTCCCTCCCCTCTCTTTCACTCCTTCCATCCAACACGATCGCACCTTGGTGACGGCTTCACGTGTCTCCAAGCTGCCCGTCCAGCTCATCTTTTGAATTCTGTGGATTGGGGCTCTCAATCCACCTCGACTCAGTCCTCAGTAGACGCATCATCAAGCGCGCGCACGCGGCCTTCAAACACCTTGAGCAAAGGCGTACTCGAAGTGAGTATCTTAATCTGCCTTGCTTTATGTAGATCATATTTTGTCTAAAGGCGCGATACCTGCTCACCGCGCTGGCAGGTTAAAAGAAAGAAATCTCGCGCCTACCACACGCAGTAAGCGACAAACTCGCGGGTGTGAGGTGAATCATGGCAGCAATTACTTCCAACCAGGCCAGCGCCGGCGAGGGGCAGGGATCTCACGAGAATGATCACTTGGCTGAGCCTAGATCATCGTTTACTGCTGTCAATGGCGGCACCTCTCCGGTTCCTCCAGCAAAGCCCAAGCCAGACCATGAGCCTCAGAAGGAGGCCCCAGAAGTCACCACTCACCGTCCAATTCTTCCAAACAATCAGCATGAACCTCCGCAGTCTCCGGCTCTACCACGCCAGGATCGACCAGCAAATGGACCGGAGCCACCGCGACAAGAGAGACGGCTGTCACCAGCTCCAGCTGCCGCTCAACCTCAAGCTCCGACACATTCTCAAGGCCCAGCACCAGGTCCAGTGTATGCTCACCCGTTGGACCGCCCACCCTCAACGGCTTCACAACGAACTGAGGCCTCCAGCGGAGCAAGAGCGCAATACCCAAATCATTCCAGGACTCCGAGTAATCAGCAACCTAATGGGATCATGAGTCCCCAGGTGCAAAAACGAAAGCGATCCTTTGATGAAGAGCACCCACGCCATCCTGAGTACGACCACCAAACCGTGTACCCTATGCATGGTCCTCCTCCCAGTCCTGGCGGTCAGCGCATGCACAGCATGGACAACGGCGCTCCACGGGAGCGGCCAGCCTACAGCCCTCGCCAAACATATCCTCCACCCCCAGAAACGTATCCGCCGCCCCCTCCAGATGCGTACCACGGACCGCCGCAGATGCGAGAAAGCCCTCCTGATATTTACCCGCGACCGGAGCGACACCAGCATGTGAGGAATGACTACGATCATCCTGTCGACCCTTCTATTGCTCCAGGTCAACCCAGACCATACTATTCAGACCAACAGATGGCTGATTCCCTGCGACAACACAATCGAAGCTACGATTCAATGCCTCCTCGTGACACTTATGGAACTCCAGAAGACGATGATGAGCACGGACAATACGGGGATTACGGTGCAAGCCGTAGCTCTGCAGACCTAGATCGCAAGCGTAGAAAGAGAGTTTTCAGCAATCGTACCAAAACAGGATGCATGACCTGTAGACGGAGAAAGAAGAAGTGTGATGAACAACATCCTGAATGTAAGCTCAGTTCTCGGATCATTGCTCACGTTGAGACCTTTTTACTCACAAGTGATAGGTAATAACTGCTTGCGCGGAGGATTTGTCTGCGAAGGATACAGCATGCGAAATACGTGGCAGAAACCAACCAACGCCAAACAACCCATTCCTCTCCAATCAAAGAACGGCTACCCGCCCCAGGGGACTCCTTCTCGTGCTCCATACCCACCTACCACTCGCTACCAGGAGACCAGCCCGGAGTACTCAGGCCCGCCGCCTCAGCATATGCAAAGATCGTACGACGGTGATCGAGTCAAACCAATCGATGTTGACAATGATCGTGACCAGGTCTATGGGAGGCAAAGTCCTCCGGACCCACAGAAGTCTGCATGGGCCAAAGCTCCACGACCATACCCAAGCCATCCTCCATCTATGTCCAAATATGATCAGAATGGCCACCGTGGTTCCGTATACGAGATGCCAGATCCCCAAGAGCAGAGTTCAATGCATCCGCCAGCTTCTGTGCATCGGACCAACTCCTCTGCATCGCAATACTCCCAAGCACCTCACCCACCGAATCACAATAACACTCCACCTAACCAAAACAACGTGCAAGCCATTGCACAAGCAGCTACAACACACTCAGCCGCTATACGTCCATCTCCATCACGTCGAAACGAGCAATACACCGAGCGAGAGAAGATGCTGAAGGGGCTGTACTACTTACCGTTGACCCCTGCCCTCACCGAGGACCGCGAGCGCTGCATTGCCGCCATCTGGCGTTTCAATAACGCTACCAATCCCTCCCATGGTGCCAGCCCCGAAGAGCGCTGTCGCCTCTTCCGTCAAATCATCAGCTTGCGCCCAACCCCGGAGCCACCTGGTACCAACGGCGAAGTCCCGCCTCCGCAGATGGAACTGCCTTTCGGTAGCGTGGGTGAGCGTGTTGTTGTAGAGGCGCCTTTCAACTGCGACTACGGTTACAATATCACCGTGGGCGATGACGTGCTCATTGGTGCTGATTGTCGCATCTCTGATACTTGCTCGGTCACCATTGGAGCGAGATGCATCTTTAGTCCTAATGTGAAGCTTGTGTGTGCTACCTATCCTATTGATCCGAGGAGGCGCAATGGGAGCGGTGGGGCAGCCTTGGGTAGAAACATAGTGATTGAGGAGGATTGCTGGATTGGAAGCAATGTGACCATCCTGGCTGGCGTGAGGGTTGGTAAGAGCAGCACTGTTGGCGCCGGAAGTTTACTACATCAGGTGAGACAGAACCTACTACTGACACATAGCACGCAATTAGAGACTGACGAAGAAATAGGATGTCCCAAGATTCACAGTAGTAGCAGGCAATCCTGCCAAAGTGAGCCGAGGCATTTACGACGGGAACGCTGACGGCCAGTGATCTCCGATCTCGCGGACTGTTGTGTGTGGTGTCTCAAATCTATCATGCACTGTCTTCGAGACCCAAGTGGAACGCTAGCCTTGACCATCTTGATGTTTCTCTAATACCGAAAGACGACTGAGATTTTTGACGGACAATGGATCATAAGCGGACGAAGACTCCGTCACCCTCCGTGCTTTCATGTTCATGTTTCCTTTTCCTCGAAGCCCGGACCGGAGGCTCGCTTTCGGCCCCTCTGGCTTTCATCAATACCAAAAATGGCTCGGAAAATTACTTTCATACCCATTGGCGCATCCTCTGGTGCGAGGCGCAGAGGTCAGGCCATTTTGTTAGAAATGTGCTTCAGACCGTAGTACCAGACAGGAATTGCAGGCGTCGAGCAAGGCGTTGGCGCCAGCACAGCATTTTATTCTAGCTACTCCATTCAGGATGTGCCTTTAAGAGATGGGAGGGCCGATAGCTCTTGCTCTAGCTCAAGCTTTCATAAGATATCAAAACTCTCCACCGTCAGGAGGTGAACCAGATGCGTAGAGACGGGTGTGATGCTGTAGCCAAGTGAAAATTCATGCATATCATCAAAGGTCAGCATTATCAGTAGCATGAGGAACGATTTGCAAGTCCATTTCAACGCGCTTTTTGTGTGTACCATATCTACTTGTATTGCTCATCAGATACGCCTCACAACGCTGCTCTGCTTTCCATCTCCAGCCACAGATCGCTTAGCCGTTGACCACGACGCCGCCGTTAGGATGCAAACTCTGCCCGGAAATCATACTGCTGTCCTGGCTGGCCAAAAAGACAAAGCAGGTTGCAATCTCCGACGGCTGTGCTGGGCGACCCATGGGTGTCGCGCTGAGTTGATCCTGTGCCTCTTTCGTCATGGTTGAGGGGATCAGTGGAGTCCAGACGGGCCCAGGGCAGACAGCATTGACACGGATACCGTGAGCGATCTGTTGGTTATGCAGTCCACGTGTGAAGGATACAATGGCGCCTTTGGTGGAGGTGTAGTCGAGCAAGTCAGGGCGTCCGATGTATGCGTTGACCGAAGCGCAGTTGCACACGGTGTCGCCGCTCTTCATGTGCTCGAGGGCATACTTGGAGAGGTAGAAGTAGGGGTGGATGTTGGTGTCGAAGGCCTTCAGCCACTGCTCTCTGTGGGTTGCGTTAGCATGGACGTCGTTCTGCAGAGGATGGCGGGAAGACTTGCTCTGAAAGCTCACTGATGGAAGAGATCATATTCTGATATGCCGCATTGTTCACGAGAATGTTGATGGTGCCCATTTCCGAGACGGCCTTCTTAACGAGCTCTGCGCAGTTCTCCCTCTTGGTGAGGTCTGTGGGGAACAGATAGCATTTCCCTCCGTGCTTCTCCACCTCTTCCTTGGTCTCTTCGGCATCCTTTTGTTCGTCGGGTAGATAGGCGATCATGCTATCCGCACCTTCCATAGCGTAAAGGATGGCAATGGCCCGTCCGATGCCAGAGTCTCCACCTGTGATGATGGCTTTCTTGCCCTTCAGCTTGCCGGCTGCGCGATAAGTCTGGTAGCCGCCATCTTCGGTGGGTACTTCCGTATTTACGGGATCGGGTCCTTTCATGTCACTCTGCTGGCTTGGCTGGCTCATATCCTGAATGGGGACTTGATGGCCTGGTTAAGAGGGTTAATGTATGCTGCAAGGCTTTGTGTGGTGATAGACGTCTTACCAGAGGTGAACTGGGAGTCCTGGCCTGTGGCCGCTTTGGCAGCATTCTTCACTGAGTCCATGATGAATTATAGAATTTCTATATCTAGATTTGGAGAGATATGAGTCTTTGAAGTCTTCTGATTGGAAAAGTGAAAGGGAAAAACAATGTCTCAGTGTCACAATAAATACTTTAAGGAATTGTGTCCGTCGCAACTACGTCAACAATGGCATGACGTGCACAACGGGCATTTCAGGATCTTCATGTTTGGCATTTGCAGTCTGAGAAGTCGAATCCAATACCTCCTTGCGCGGTTATATCTTGGAGTCCTTTCCATAAGACTGATCTCTTACTTTAAACAGAGTCCATAGAGAGGTCAATCGAAGATAGCAGCAGTTGCCAGTTCATACCCGGCGATTTTGCCTACCTGAAAGTCGCTCAATTTAGTGTATGCAAAACCCTCTGGATTGCTTGGCACTGCGAATTCACGTACCTCCTGATTGTTAGAAGAAACAATGTGTCCTGAACACATCGTACACTGATGCGAAGCAAGTTACAATTGGCTGGTGAAGAGCCAGAGACTGAGGCTGTCTCAGTATTCAGTAACCATGCAAGCAAGCTGTCAACAAAAGTCGCATTCTGAGACCATGTCTGAAAACCTCTTGTTTTCACGACGACTTTAGGGCACCAGTCCAGAATATTGTGTCGTTCGAGATCAAATGCGCTCGAGAAGGAGCGCTGTACGTCACAGAAACCTCCTTGTTGCTGCTGCTCTTGTCAAATGTTGAGCATTAGTACCATTCCGACTGCCACTTGTTCTGGCACCTTGCCTGCCACTCTAAGCCCCTGTTGTTCAACTGTCCTATCCACAGTAGTACTGGTAACCCAGATAGTCGGCCACAGGCACGCTTCAATGTGATACAACCAGGGACTTTGAGATCTTGCTACTCACTAAATGAGGAGGATTCCTTGCCTTTGCAGAGTGAGATCTGGTCAGCGTTAAGAAGTCACACACATCAAATGTCATAAACATCTGCAATAATTTGCTTCCCCTTTCCAAACCTTCCATCCCTCACGTTTGAGTTAATCAGGTCAATGTTTGTAAACACAATAAGTCTTCGCTGTTCTCCTTGAATAGGTGACAAGACTTTGCGACACCATTTGGGGGAGATAAAAGGCTGAAGCCTACACCTCCATCCGAGTCCCCTCGAATCATCACATCGTTACCCAAACAGATACCTGTCACCGCTACCATGGCTCTCGACTGCAAACCTTCCATGTCTGATGGGAGCGACGACTTCTCCAGACCAACGAGCTCTCAAGTCAAGCCTTTGTCTACCCATACTTCGATATTTGGCGACCAGATACCAGAGGATTGCTTGGCTTCGAGTCCTATGAGTATCGCGAGTACACCACTGCTTGAGAAGGAGAAGAAAGGTGCAGGAGAGGAAGAAGCTGCGAAGTCCTCACCGCAGGCTACTTTCGAGAGCAAGGGAGACCCAACAGCGCAATCACAATCCCAGGCACAGACTTCTCCTATACGGTACGGTCTACGCTACCATGGAAACGTCTTGCATACACATTTCATATCTGACTCTGGTGTAATATAGGTCACTTTTCAAAGAATACGTGCACGTGGATGTCGGTCCGTACAAAGTACGCTTCGGGGTCCACAAAGGGCTAATCAGCAAGTATTCGAAGTACTTCAACGCAGCATTCAATGGATCCTTCAGCGAGGCAGTGAATGGCGTCGTCGTGCTTCCCAAGGAATCATCTCGAAACTTTGAGATCATGCACACCTGGCTCTATACTAATGAGCTCACGCAGACAGTGGGCGGCAAGGATGCTGCCTGCGGCCCAGATCAGCTCGCCGATGCCTTTATCTTCGGCGATAAGTATGATATGCCTCTACTGCGGAATAAGGCTATCGACGTCATAGCGTCCAACTATTCATCTCCAGTGGTCGTCGTCGGATGTATCGCACATGCCTATGCGAACACAACAGCCGGCTCTCCCTTACGCAGACTTCTCGCGGCTATGTTTACCGCCAAACCCACACTCTGGATCTGGGTGGCAGGTAAAGCAACAGAAACTTTCCTCGAGTGCCCAGAATTCCTGTTTGATGTGGCTATGGAACTGGCGAAGTCTGGTAACAACGCTCAAACTAAGGGTATGAACCTGAATGATGCTCCCTTCAAAAAGGATCTGTGTGCATTTCACGAACACGCCGAGGGAGAGAAGGATTGCTCTGGGACCATAGTGTCTCTGCCGGGAAAGCCACATACTGGATCCGGTGGTACGTCCTGAGAATAGCAGCACCTCTTTCCTTCCGAACTTACCTGTGCACTAGCGGTCGACATCAGCGAGACTGCGATTCAGGATGGCAACCTGGAGGTTGGAAAGCCTCCAAAGCCCTCCTTTCATCGGTGGCGCAGATCCGGTCGTGGAGCGTCTACTGGCAGGTAGAGTGGGCTTTCTGTGAGAGTCTGTCCTTCACAATATACACCGAATGGCTCGATGTGTCCTACCTTCGGATATTTTCGGGGCTACTCGGAGAGAGATGCTGTCGCATTTGTGCGTTAGTCTTTGGAGACGGTCCTCTGATTACGTGATTAGCTGGAGACTCATCACGTGTGGTCACATGAATATGAGACTGGAAAGACGCAGATCCCCAAACACGTCAGACGAAAGCAGCAGTAGCGCATCAATCAGTACATTTTAGATACTCGTATGGCAATAAATATCGCTACATAGCTCATCAGTTCTGCGCATAAAATGTAAAGCCCGAACGCTCAGCGTGCAGGTCAATACCTGGTTTTTGTGAAAATGCTCAAACGTGCATCGTTCCTATCAACTAGACAGCCAATCCAAGAATTGCGGCGTAAAATAAGACACCACAATGGTTGCCCCTGCCCTCAATATGCCCTCCGTACTTTCAAATGCCATTGTTTTGATATCAAACACCCCTGCAGCTGCCGCTGCGTGAATCATAGCAAATTCCCCACTAACCTGATACGCCGCGATCGGCATGTCCTTTCCTATCTCCTTTGCGTCGCTAATGATGTCGAGATACGAACTCGCAGGCTTCACCATAATGATATCAGCACCTTCTTGGATATCGCGATGTATCGCCCGCCGAGCCAGACCTCGACCGCCCGGCGGTAATTGATAGCATTTGCGGTCGCCAAAGGAAGGGCAGGAACCCGCTGCGTCTCGGAAAGGACCGTAGAGACAGCCGGAAAACTTGGCAGAGTAGGACATGAGGACAACTTTGTGCGCTATGCCGGCCTCGATGAGCTTGAGCTTTATAGCCCGGATACGACCGTCGTTCATGTCTGATGGTGCCACACAATGGGCGCCTGCTTCTGCGTACGCCATAGCCACATCGCTTATGCGGTCGACGGAGAGGCTGTTGTTGAGACTACCGTCCTCGCGCAGGATACCGCAGTGGCCGTGGGAAGTGTACTCGCAGAGGCAGACGTCGGTGACGATGAAGAGAGTGGGAAAGCGGGCGCGGAGGAGACGGATGGATTGAATGACTGGACCCTGAGGGTCGTCCGCTGCGGTACCGAGGGCATCTTTAACGTTTGGCGCGATAGGGACACCGAAGAGAATTACGGAACGGAGGCCTTTCCGTACAAGAGGCTCGAGGTGAGGGATGAGTTTGTTGATGCCGCGGCGATGTTGGTTGGGAAGGGAGGGAATGAGGGTCTCTTCTTCAGCTTGGTCGGATATGAAGAGGGGGTAGATGAGCATTGACTGGACATATTAGCAAAGCGTGGTACACAAGGCAAAATGCCCTAGTACCTTCGTTAATTGTCTCTCGGCCTGCCAGGACCGTGTGAGCGGATGGCTATAACCTCCATGGAGTTGACTCGAGATGTCGCCCGAAATGCTGACGCTCGTTGCCGCCGTACTTGCGTACGATTTGGCGTATGAACCTGCGGTTGATCTTGCGGACGGTCTCGAGGCGCGTGAAGCTTGGTCGTTGGGATTGCTGTCCCGAAACGCCAGGTCTGAGACCAGCGAAGAGAACGACATTGTGTTGGTTGTATTCTAAGGAAGCTGTTGGATAGATGTACAAAATCGTCTCCTCAGGCCGCCTTTCAATGCTGACAGAGGCGCTTCCGTAGGGCGTACAGGACGGAAATAGTGGCGACTGTAACTACATCGACTCAGATGCACACTTGGACAATGGCAGAAATGTGAAGATGTGGTAAATGGCCTAGGAAACTAGATGTGGATGTGCAAGATTTTATGTCTGGCGAGTGATTTGGATGGGCAGTAAGCATACAATTGATTATCTATACTTGCGGACGAGGCTTCGTCGCTTTCAAAATCGTCATCCTTCAGGGGATGTTTAGAATAAGCTAACTCTGATTGGCCGCTCCGGCCGGAGAAAGCTCCTTCGATCCTCGCGTAAAGTAGACTGATGATCGCCGGCTTCTTTTCCACTCATCCAGCATCTTTCACCTTTCCGACACCCAATGTTTTTAATCGCTGTCTATATCATTGAAAGACTAAACGAGAGACGGCGAATTCATCCAATGATACTACATTTCGGTGATCAACTCTGTCGTCTAATAAAAGGCTCCCTTCATGACAGTATGCTTTGAAGACCATCACTTTTCGAGCTCCGTCTCGAGACCCCGGCTTTTTGGTATGGAGGGCCGGGGTTCATTATTGGGCTATCGAGCGGAGTGGAGAATTGCGAGGAATTGAAAAGTCCACCATCAAGCTCTGGATCCTTTGGGATGATTCTATTTCGTAGTTTGCTTGTATTTGTGCTGTTGCGCCTTCAATCCTGTTAGACAAACGCCAAAAAGGCGACAGAGATATGTCAACTTAAAAGCAAGCAAACAGTCAAGATTAGGTGGGTACGGATCCGGACCTTCATTATGTTCAACTTAAATTTCCGATAGAGAAGCAGCATTCCCTCAAATATATACAATGTGCATCACAGCATTTGCAAGGGAAGGCACTCTGGTCATTGCTATCTACTGAATCTCATATGAAAAATCCCCTCCTCCTTTTGACTATGTGACCTCAATACTGCAGTTCCAAGCATTAGCGATAGTTCAATTTTACCAACTTGGGTTACAACTTTATTGAAGTGACTGTCCACCTTAAGCTCCACAAAGCTTCAATGGCAACATACGGCAAGAGAAAGAAAAGCCTACTTTCCTCCTTCACCGTCTTCCAAGATGACAAGCCAGAGAAAGAGACTAAGCAGCAGCAGCGCTCGAGTGAGTACATCCCAAAACGTACAAATATGCAGATCTAATCCATCTCCGTTTGTCAGCCTACACACGCCTCGAAAGGGCGAAGTCGAAGATGCAGAGATCACGCAGCCGGGCGCAAGATGACGAAAGCAGCATTGATGAGCTTGCTGGGAATGAACTTCTAAGCACCGTACCCCACGAGCCGGTCCGTCTTCCCTCACTACATAGTCTTGCCGCAATGAGCACGACGGACATCCTTCGTCCAAAATCCAGCAGATCTACAAAGACAGTCCCAGACGATTCGGACAAGCCACTTCCGCCAATCCCAAGAGACCCTTTTGCTGAGCAGAGACTACACTGGCAGAATAGACCACCTCTCGCCAAAAAGACAACCAACATGAAGGCCTCCGACCCTGGCAAGGTAGCCACCAAACCCAAGATCTCTTCTCCAATAATGGTAGAGCCAGAGTCGAGCCCCGCAGGTCCGTCTCCTAGCAGACCTGCCACCAGTCATACTAGCCAAAGCACATTCGGTACTCAGCCAAGTACTGCAGATGCTACGAATTTTAGCAAAAAAATCTCAAATCTCATGCAACAAGCCGCCGCTCAGGAGACACAGACTAAGCAAAAGGCCGCCATTTACGCCGCCGAATCGGCCAAGCTGTCCCCTCTAGAAAAGGGCAAGAAGGCATTCGTCAAAGCCACTCGTGCAATCAAGGAACGACTGAGTAGCAGCAGCAGTAGCAACGACAAGCCCTTCAATTCGAGGAGAATGGAATCTATTGAGAGGAGCTCCAGTGGTGGCTGGGAGCCTCCTCCGCAGTATGAATCGCAAGAAGAGTTGACCCGAGGAAGGCTCGACCGACGCATTGCTGAAGGCGAAAACCTAAGCAATCCTAAGATACGAAAACTGACGGGCGATGGTAATATTCCACGCAAGCCGTTACCAGTCTATGAGAGCATGAGATCCAGAAGTCAACACTCTGAATCGGATAATCCTTTCTCAGAAGCCGATGACGAAGACGGCCATCTATCCCCTGAGGACTATTCTGGCTTTGACTTCGACTTCAGCAGACGCAAGCACAAAGGCAAGGCCGTGCGTGCACCGGTGCCAGCCGTGGAACAGGTGGACAGTCCTCCTGGGCGGTCTGATCAGCACTTGACTGTGCCTAAATCTACATCCAGGTTCTCTAACATGATCTCGGGGCTAGCTCAGCATTCCGATACGGAGTATTTCTCGAGTAGTCCTGTCGGCTACTCAACACCACGGATTCGCCTCGAACCTCAGCCACCAATGAATGGAAATAAGACGGCCGCCGGTGCGCTGCAACGGAGTCCATCCATCTTAGAGTTTAGCTTCGAGGGCCAAAGCGAGGATGCTTCCTCAGAGGCCCAATCTCCTAAAAGGAGAGCCTCGGAAGGAAGCACAAGCGTGAAAAGGAAGGGAGCCACGAAAGACTTCCGCTCACAAGTGGCACCAGTAACGAAGAAATTGAAGACAGACTCAATTTCTTCAAAGGATGCGGGAGGACTAGCAGCTGGGATCAGTCATCTAGCCACAGAGGATGATCGAGCTCTCCTTTCGCTTGAGAGTACGAACGCCGTGGTTGCGAAGCCTAGCCGGAATGCGAGCAAGAGGAAAGGTATGAGCATCTTTGACCTTAGCAAAGGAAAATTTCCTGAAGGGACGGGCGAGGACGAAGCAAAGAGACCCTGGGCTCATGCAATTGCCAGCAAACGATCCTTGGTTACACGACCAAGCAGTGTGCTCTTCAGCCGTGGCCGAGAGTCACGAGCGGGTATGCAACGACTGGAGCAAATTGACGGAGATGACATGGATGTCGACGAATTGCAGACGAATGATGTTACATTTCATGTGGGGGGGACAGAAGAACTAGTTACTGCTGAGTATATTTGGCCCTGGTATACATTACGTTGCATCAGATGGTTGGAAGCGTATGAGATGTTGCTGGACTTGCTTTATACGATATACCCTATTTGCTTGAGCATGCTTTTGTCAGTTCCGGCAGAGCAGTTGGTCATACTTCTAGTAGGTATAAGAGACATGGCTTTATCAGTAGCGCCAGTAGCTTCAATGATCGCGTAAATAATGTACGAAATCAAATGCGCTTCTCCCTGCACCGTGAGATCTGGTGTGGATGCAATGGAAGAGAGGCTTCCTGATACGGCCTACCACGGACAACAGGTCTGTTGCAATGCAAGAACCTTCCGGCAAAATATATATTGCCCACCACCAGAAGCGCTCCGAAAGACTTTCTGGCAACTTCATGTGAGTTTCTGCTTGATGAAGAAGGCGCGAAGGTGCGATAGCTGCCAAGCACAAGTGACGCCCAAGACGATCAGTTGTAGTAGAGTCCACCTCACTACCCTCGCATTCGTAGATTCTGATTGATCTCTGAACTCCGCTTCTCGTTCCTACATCAACCGCATTAGCACTCCCTCTCACCGGTTCTAGCACCCTCGAAACTGCCACTCACCCTCTGGAAAACCTGCTCCCGCCTGATGTCCTGCAGCCTCCCATTCAAATCCCTAACCTTCTGCGCAATCTCACTCAACTTCCCCTTATCCGTGCTCTCGATCGCGCTCGTCTCCCCAATCGCCAGATCCAGCGTCAACCTCACCTGTCCATGGCCCTGTCCCTGGCTCAACCACCCACCCTGCGAGGCCCCGGTGGGCGTGAAGCAGATGCGGTGCTCGCCAGCGTCGGCGGCGCTGAAGGTGAACTTGCCGGTGTGGGATCCTTTGGTGTTGACGACGCGGTGGTCGTTGTCGAAGACTTCGTCGACGGTGACGGTGATGGAGAGGTCGGGGTTCGTGGTGAAGACGTTATTTTGAGACTCGAGGGCGCTGTAGTGGCCTAGTGTTCCATGGGTTAGCAAGGAGAATGGATGATACAGGAGAAATGGTGCTTACCGACGACCAGAGTGTCCTTAGGGAGCTCTTCGTAGAAGCATTTTGGGCTTGCGGAGGCACCGTCCAGGTAGAAGTAGAGGGCTTGTGTTGGTAGTATGAGATTGAACACAAGGACTAGAAGTAGAGAGGGCACCAGACTCAATGGCCCTCGCTGTGCAGTCTGCATGGTTGGTGTCAAAAAAGTGAACGGGATTGAACACAAGACTCCTTTTACGAGAGAAGTTGAAGCCGCGAATATTTTTGGGCAGGGGTCCTCCGCCGCAGGCTTCCCTGGCGGAGATTCACCAATGCATCAACACAATCACTTTCGCTCTAAATCTGTAGCTTTGAGGACCTGGTGATGAATATAAATCTATGGAAAGCTATTGAGGTTGTTTCATTCTGATCGGGTCCGCTCCAAGAGCCCATAGGCGTCAAGATGATGGGCTCAGATGCGCGCGATGTGCTGGGGCTGCCCAGCGCAGGCCCACCCAAGCCGGCAACACCAAAAGTGCAGAAACCAAAGGTCAGAGGTCCAAGTAAGTGTTGTCGCTTCCCAGCTAATTGAACGCAGTGCTGACTTTCGTAGCTGGAATGAGCAGAGAAGTCCTCGATCTCAAATATGAAGGAGCACCACCAATATCAATCGTCGCCCCCAAATTCAAGGAGAAGCCAAAGCTGCCATTCAAGCCTCGTCCCTGGGAAGAGACACCTTTTGGAAACTCGGCTCGGAAAGATGGTCTTATACTTCGACATTGGAGGCGGAAGGGCGACGTTTCTAATGCAGCTGCATTGCCTGTTACGCCAGCAGATTCGAATGCCGCATCAGAGATGGAGCAGGACGAAAAGGCAGCAACTACGCTATCGGATTCACACTGGGCAAAGTTCAATGTGAAGGTCGACAAGCCTCAGTACACGGATGAGCAATACGAGACACATTTGAAGAATGACGATTGGAGCAAGGAAGAGACAGACTACTTGATCGACTTAGCTACGGACTTCGATCTTCGGTGGATCGTGATCACGGATAGATATGAATATCAGCCCAAGGAACAGCCCAAAGAGAACGACGACTCCATGGCCGTTACGCTACAGGCTAAGCCAAGAACTCAGGAAGATATGAAAGCCCGATACTACGACGTCGCAGCGAAAACTATGGTTCTACATAACCCTCTATCGAGCATGTCATCATCCGAATTCGACGCTCACGAGAAGATGACGAAATACGACCCTAATCAAGAGAAAAAACGGAAGATGTACGCCGAACAGCTCATGAACCGAACAGACGAGGAAAAGTACGAGGAAGAGATGCTGCTCAAAGAGCTCTCAAGAATCGTCCTCAACCAAGAAAAACTATTCAACGAACGCAAAGCCCTCTACGATCGCCTCGGAACCCCGCCAGGCGCACCGCAAACCCATAGCACGGCCATGTATCAATCCAGCCAAGGTCTCACACAACTAATGCAGAACCTCCTCACCCAAAACAAAAACAAAGAGCTCGAGAAGAAAGAGAAACGCCGCTCAGCCATGGGGGCAGAAGGCGACTTCCCAGGCGGACCGTCCGGTATGGATAGAGGTCAACGCCATTCAATAGGCGGTGGTTTAGACAAACGCTTTTCATTTGGACAAGGAGGACCACGCCAGCTCAGCGCCCGTGAGGAGCAGAAATATGGCGTCAGCCACCCCAACGAGCGTCTTACAGGCGGCGTGCAATTCCGGCACGAGCGCATCACTAAAGCCGGTCAAGCGAAATCTGGTGTTCAAACTAGCAGGATAGGTGCAGCGTTGACAGAGTTGAAAATACCGCAACGGTTGACCATGCCGACGGCCAAGGTGGTTACGGAGTATGAGAAACTGATTGAGAGCATCAAGACTTTGCTCGAAGTGAGGAAATTGAGTGAGAAATTGGACGGGGAGATCAAAGTGTGGCAGGCGCAGAAGGAGCAGCAAGAAGCTAAGGATCGGGGTGAGGAGGTCAAGGAAGAGGAGCCTAGTCAAACGGTGGAGAATGAGGAGGAGGATGAGGACACGAAAGAGATTGATGAGCAGGCTGAACGTAGGAGGAAAGCTGAAGCCGAGGATGACGACGAGGCCGAGGATGATGACGAAGACGACGACGAAGACGACGAAAATGCCGAGGGGAAGGAAGAAGAGAAGGAGGACAGCGATGAAGAGGTCAGTGCCAAAGGAAGCAACAAGGACGAAGAGGAAGACGCTGAAGTCGATGAGAACTTCGCCGGGGACCAAGACGACGACGAGGAGGAGGAGGAGGGAGAGGACGATGAAGATGAGGAGATGCCGGATGAGGCAGAAGCAGAAGCGGAGGTGGACGCGGACAATAATGATGACAATGCGGATGCGAATGAGGAGGTCGAGGACGACGGAGCTTCTTCGCCAGCAAGCGCGGCTCCTACCACCAGGGGCGAAGGGCTACGGAAACGTAGTGCGAGCGTCATAAGCCACGTCAGCAATAAGAGCTCAAAGAGGCAGAGGAGGTAGTCTGTCTTAGCAGTTGGCCTTTAAGCACACGTTTGATGCAGTAATTAAAACAATCTGCAAAGCCCCTGCTTATGCTGGCATACAGAAGGTTCTCTTCTTGAATTAATTCAAAGCTTTGCTCACCACGAGCCAGAATCAAACCCGAATCACAGACCATGAAACCCAAGAACCATAATGCCCAAAGATGAACCGTATACTCCTAGCTCCCAAACTTGCGACATCACTTCTGCCAGGCACCTCATCAACCCAGCTCCTCAGCACTCTCCAACGTCCGTCTCCTCTGCCGTTGCCCTTCCAAATCCACCTGGCGTCCAGTGGCACGAGCAGTCGACGGCCCAGCAGCACCCAGATCTGGCTCCATACGATCCACGTCCACAACGTCCCTCAGCTCGAATTGCCCCTGGCCATCCGGAACGATAGCACCACTGCGATTCCGCATGGACGGCGTGGGCTGCGGAAAGATGTTCTGCCTCAGCCTGCCTCTGTTGATGTTCCTTGGGCCCCTCAGCCGATCTGCCGCTCCGTCTAGGCCAAGTCCTGTGGCTTGTCCTCGTTCGCCGTCAAAGCTGTGCTCAATGGGCTTCCTGGGCCATGTAACTGCTGCTAGGTTGTCACCGCGCTTGGTCTCTGGTGCTGGGATTGTGCGGCGAAGACTTTTGCGGGTGCCCGACCAGGGAAGTGGAAGGTGATTCGTGCGGTAGTCGAAGATGGAGGCATAATGGCTGCGGTAAGCGAGAAAAGCAACCAGGACGCCCCAAGGAATGGACAGGAGGATATCGTGGACATGATGATTCCTGTCAACAACCAAGGTCCCAGCGATAAGACACGATCCAAAGAGGGGTAACATCACAGCAAGCCATTTCCAGAAGCTAGTATGGTAATCCGAGAAAGCCTTCAGCTTCGCGTTCAGGTAGAGAGCCAGAAATGTCCCCACAAAGAACGACTCCGAAGTGTGGCCACTAGGGAACGACTGCATTGCCGACACCTGTAAGTGTTTTAGGGATTCGGGTTTGCAGCAATCCGGTGTTACGAATCTGCGGAATGGGAACCGGTCGGTCATATTTGGAGGCAGTAAGACTGGGTTGCAGACTGTGATGAAGTAAGGGCGGAATCCACCTGATTTGGGTCAGCTTGCAGACCATGACACACAAAAATACCAGCAATTGCTCTTACCAATCCATTGTTTGAGGAAGATTTGGATGAGAGTCCTGACCACAATGTCAGTATGCAAAATAGTTCTTTCTAGCCATGCTCATGCAGCCCCGCGAGAGAGACACAGGAACAGGATAGAGGAGAAGAACAATCGTATCAGCTACCCAGCTCAGACCTCAAAAACTCACATCATAACCAACCCTTTGAACAGCCCGAACAAAGCCGCATTCGTATCCCAAAAACTCATCACCCACGTCTGCATGCCCACAATCACCAGCACCCCCACCACCGGTATCAGCACCCCGGTAAACACTATACCGAGTATAAACGGCGAGTGCGGATAGCTGAGCTCGGCCGGTCCATACCAGTGTCCAGACACCGGATCCCACGTCATGGGGAAGTAGCGCTGGTTCCAGCGGAAAACCACGTGCGAGAACCTCATGATGATATGCGTGATGGCGAGGGCGATGAGCATGAAAAGGATGTCGAGATGGACGAGGCGGAGCCAGTGGAGGAGGGCTGTCCAGGTGCGGTGAGCGAGAGTCCGGGGAAAGCGTGTGCGACGTTGTTGGGGAGGCGTAGCACGGTAGGCGGGTGGTGAGGGACGAGGAGGAGGAGGAGGAGGAGGGGGAGGAGGAGGAGGAGGGGGAAGAGGAGGGTAGCTGTTGTTGAATGGTGTTGCATTTTGTGGAGGTTCTCGGTATGGAAGGTCGTATGCATGGGAGACGCGAGATGCTGGGTAGCCGTCCCTTGGACCATCGAGTGAGTTGGTTGCGGGTCCGCGCTCCGGGCTTGGGTTCGTCATGTGGCCGCTCGTGACGCTGTCTAGAAGGTCGAGAGGAGGCATTGCTCTGGTTAGTGGGTGCTGTGGTGTGATCCTGATTCAATACAAATACTAGCAATGTTTCTGTGTCTGAGATATCTTGTATGGAATATTTTGTTGACGATGAGAGTACAGAAGAGGAGTTGGAAGCTGGACAAATGAGCTTTCCAAGCTGGAGAATGGAAGCGAGCGCAAAGGCTCTTTCCTCATCAAGTCGGACTGTCAAGAGAGGATCCTAACCACAATGGTTCGATCGCTACTTCCGTCGGTGAAGACGTGCTTCCATTAATCCACTGGCGGTAAGGTATTTTAGAGTGGAGCGATACGGAAGGATGCTCGATTATCCAATGGAATGCATGATTAAGATCGCTATGGAATTACGTACAAGGAAGTAAACAATTGTGTTGACAAGAATTTTTTTTCCACTTGAAACAGGAGCTATTTGGGAAGTGCCAATAGGCCAAATGCACCACCAACTACAGGACGAGCAGTGAATGTGAGATTAGGAATGAGTCCATAACTATTAAACATTGTCAGCATTTAGACCATCGAAACAACAGAAGACGACTCACTCTCCGCCGGTTGCGTTATACAGATCAGTAAAAGCCCTATTAGTCGGCGTCTCGTTGATCCAATTAGCAATATCGCTGAAAATCATCTGCGATGTATTCGTTGAGGCGATTGCAGCCACAAGCATCTCCCAATCAACTATCAGTCGCAGTTAGCGGAGTAGATTTACGTGGGAAATCTGACCAACCTTTCGTGTAGTCATGTCGTGTGTCCAGCGGCACACCGTACTCTTCCTCCACGGTGGGGTAAAAAGCGCTCTGCATATCGTAGACGGATTGAGGAACGAGGTTCAGACCGAGCTCCCTGTCGCCAAAGAGGTTGTACAGCAACCCTTTAGGCAGCTTTAGCTTATGCATTGATCGACTTAAAAATTAGGATCCTGCATACCATGTGTATCGTTCATCCCATAAGCAAGGGTCGTGTGCGGAGGATCTGCATCATGGGCGATACCTAGAACCTGCCATTGCGTGATATAATCATGTGCTATTGATGTGTAATTCGATCCCGTGATTGTGTTGCCAGTCAAGTTCGCAATCACAGCCATGGCTTCAATACCTATGATGCCCTTGAGCGCCAGATTTGTTTGGTTCCTTTGGAAACATCAAATCAGTATCAGTCGTATATTTCATGTGAAATGGAAAAACGTACGCAAGTGCTCCGGCAAAGTCGTCCGTTGAGATCTGATCGGCCGGAATCAAGGCTTCCTCGATGAGATACTGAGTCCACTGGTCAAGTATAGGATAATGCTGGCTAAGATATGCGGTATCGTTGGCCCTCTGAGCGTACGCCAGAGTCATGATGAGCATGTTCCCGCACTCCTCCAGGGGTTGCTTCTCGTCATTTCCAGCAACATGACCAGTTGCGTTAGGATAGCTGGAACCAAGGTCGTGCATTGAATACATATTAGGATATTGACCAGCCTCTTGGTTGATGAAAAGCGGATCCAAGAGGTACTTGAGTAGTGTCGGATTGGTGTAGATCAAAATGGGATGAAAGGGGAAGCAGACATCTTGATGATTTCCCAGTCAGCATCACTCTTTCGGGAGGAGTACTGAGTCGCGAGACATGTGTGACGACCCATAAGACAGCATGAATGAGGAAGAATTGCCTACCAACTGTCTGGACATTCCCGTCTGAACTGATCTCCTTAAGGAAAAGATATGGTGCAGCTGTCGTTCCACACAACTGAGTCCCACCAAAGGCTTGCCGGGCTGTGAGTGAAGCAATCGTCACAAAGTCAGCACCGCCGGCAGCCATCCCATCATCTGAGACTTGGTTATCAAAGGTAGTTGCCAGGCCAGAGGCAGTAGCAAAATCAGTGTGGAAAAAGGCCAGCTAAAGTAAAGTTCAGTGCTAATTCGTCATGAATAGACAACTTGACTTACCGCATCGAGCTCAGTTGAAAAGTAGCTTGTCCACAAGGATGGCACGCTCACGTTACCGCTCGCTCCATCGAACTGAACTGCCTGCTCCTGGGTCAAGCCAAGAGAGAAGATAGTGCTAACAGTGGTTGCACCAACGGTGCCCAGATCCACTGCGAACGCGAAGGTGGGATAATCATCATTGATTGCACGAAAATTGGTATCGTTTGTGTTTGCAAGAGCGCCTGAAGTGGTGAAGGCTGAGCGAACGTCAGTATCCGCGCCCGACTGAAAAGTCAAGCCTTCGACATTGTCTGTTGCCCAATACCAATTGCCGTAATCCGTCTGGTCATCGGTCTCGGACCAAAGTAGTTGTGTTTGTCTGTAAATTTTATGGTAGGCAATGCCCCCTGTCGCCGTAGCCTTCGTCGAACTGGTCACGTCGGTGTACTCTCTGCGGTCCAACAATGGTGCAAATGAATCGAAGAAATTGCGTTTTCTTGTTGTAGAGCTGTCATTTGACGTAACGCCATACTCCCACTCAGCAATAGCCGTTCTATCGCCAGAGACCCATTCTATCAAGCAGCATGGTCAGCAAAGCGAGCACCAAAAACGGTGAGCCTAAAGGCTTACCGGCCGTGATGTCCGTGTACAGCTGTACATCATGGGTAGCTCCGTCAGTGGCAGTCACTGAGACATCAACGTAGGAGAATATTAATGACTGCCGCATCAGATCTGTGGGAGTGATGGATGAGAGGAACGTAACGTTCATCTCTACGACGCCGGCAACGTCCATAACGAAACTACTCCTTGTCGAGGTGTACTCAAAAGAGGTTTGATTCACAACTGTGGGTAATGGCGCTGGGGCGCCCATCCACGTATAGGATATGTTGTCGACACGTATCAGTCCCGTCCATCCCAGTATTTGGCCTCTGCACAGAGTGTTAGCCGCAAGCTCAGTCCTAAGACTAGGCTTACTCACGCCCAAAATGTTGGCCATTCCCTGCAAATTTCCGAATCAGCAGAAATTCTTAGAGGTAGAATACGGATTATAAGACAATTCCAGACGGCTAAGTGAAAGTTTCAACACGATAATAGGCCTTGCAGCTCAATATGCGGTATCAAGTGGGAAGAGATTCCTCCGAAAACTGCGCTTACCCTGCAAGATAACCACCATTACCAGGACCTCCCATTTCGACATCACTCCCCGCTTGCTGCCAGCAGTTGACATAGGGAGATTTCACTGCTAAAGGAATGGCTGGAGGACGAGCAGGTGAGAAGGTTGATGCGGCATAGGAGACACAGACGAGCGCCGCAAAGGGCAGGGCATAACAATGAGAGAACATGATTCCCAAAGGAAGGAGTCTGTGAGGGCTGGAGGCTGAGATTGAAGGTGGACATCACGCTTCTTATAGCACTCTTGCTGAAAAGACCTGGTGATGCCAACACGCGCCATTTTCAAGCTTCTACAAATGACTGTGAAGCTCCGGTATTAGCTGAGCTCAATCTCCGCTGTCAGGCTCGTGGCACCAGCGAAATTAGAGCAGAATGCAGTCGTTCAGGGGAGCAAGAATTCTTGGCCTCTGAGTATCGCAACAATTTTCTAGAGTAACCGCTTCCCCATATCTACCCCGGATTTGAAGGCATAGATTGGTCCAAGTGGCCATGCTGCACGACATATCAGGGAACGTATTGCAACTAGTCCTTATGACGTGTTCCCGCATTTGGGATCATCCAAGGCCGGTGCATCCCTAGGGCAATCTAGGTGCTTTGGTACATGCTCCGTTGGCCCCCTTGTACGAGTCTAGTGGCGAGAAGATTTCTCTTCGGCGGCTGATATCTTTGCTGGTAGGCTGGTATGATTGGCTACGATTCATATAGCAGTAGTCATCCCTCCAAGGTAGCACGCACCACATCTGATCCATGTGAGAGGGACCATGAGGTTTTCCATCCCTGTTTGCTTTTAGCTTTGCCATCATGGGCAGCTCCAAATTCAAAATCTGGGGTCCCGAGACATAAAGTATGCTATTTCTCGCGGTCAACCTGGAGCGGCTAAAGGGCTCGCGGTTAGCGCTGTGCCTTTCACCTTCCTATTTGGGCGTAGTAGTCTGGAGCCAGACCTTGCCAAGCCCGGGGGTCCCCATTTTTACCCCCCCAATTTAAAAAGTTTTAACAACCCCTTTTTCCCAAATGCCCAAGCAAGGGCACATATGTGGAGAAAAAAATAAGGTTTTAGGTGAGGAAAAGCCTCCCCCCACCCCCCTTTTTTTTTTTCCCTTGAATTATTTCAAAACCTAAAAAACCAGAAACTGGGGGTAAATCTGGTCCTAATCTCAGTTGTTGCAATTTGCGGATTGGACCCCTGTTAATTGTAAGGTTCTCCTGCATACCCAGGCCGGAAGCCGCTCCGGCAAGGCAAATATAGAAAAACCAGACCAAATCGATGACCTGCCGAAGAAGTGGAATGGTTATAGTAGTGGAATCATGCCGTTGTTCCCCCCACCTTTTTGCAGGTTCCTCCTTTCGCATTTTGGCGTGCGTCCGTGCAAGTCGAGAAGGTCCATCGGACTGCAGTCCAGATAGGGAGTACAGGTCAAATGCGGGAACTGTTACCAGTTGAGACTGCAAGACACAGATACACATTAGTAAACCGAACTTGGTAAAGTGTGATAAGATTGGTCTTCGTGTTGACGCTAGCCTGATAGACCTGCACCCCACTGCACTTTCAATTTATCGTATTTTCTTCTGTCGCCAACACTG